ACTAGTCCTTATGATATTCTACAATATTCTGCAATGTTGTGCAAGATATAAAGTCGTGTTATTAATTACATTTTTATATGTAAACATATTTGAACCAAGTCTGTCAGGATTTGACAAAATAGGTAAATAGTGAAAAGGAAGTATCACTTTCATGTGTCATATTCACAAATGCATTTATAATGGCATTTATTTATTTTTCAAATTTAAAGTTTATTTCTATTTCTACATTTAAACTGTAGTTTTGAATATAAGAATTTAGAGAAACCAAACGAAATAAGGCAAAATATATTCATGTAAAGATAAAAAGATACTTTCCACAATAATTAACAGGAAAAAGTTATTTCCCAATTTCTAGTTCTGAGTGAGTAGTTAGCATGTAATGTTATACTTAATGTTAACTGCCTCACAATTAAGTTCTCTATTAGGAAGTAATTCTTGGTTCAGAAACTTAGCATACTACCACACAATGTTTTTCACCCAATACTGACAGAACATCATAGCACGGGAACCAGGGATTTCCGGTTGGGTATCCAGCAAGCTATGCTGGTCGTGTGACTTTGTTTCTGTAACTTTCTTTCCTGTAACCTTTTCTTCCTACAATCATGGTAAGATCTAATAATACTTCCACTGACAAATACAGGCAGTAATAGCTACAGAGTACAATGATGTAGTGCAGTGACTGCACACCGGGAGGCAGCTCGACACACTGGACTTCAGTCATGCATACCTACACTGTTAAAACAGATTCACTGACCATCCTTTATATGCTTTAACAGTTGCATCTCAAGTGTTTTCACGATCATTCTGGACCTGGTTTGAGTAGGAAGTGTTGAAAGGATTTTTGTTTTACTTACTTCAGTCAAAGTGAAGAAGGTATTTAAAAGCTTTATAGAATGCCTATCATGGGTAATTCAGGGTAGTAAACAAGTCCTCTAAGAAGGCTTCTGGTAAAGGCTCAATGACTGGCGACTATCTATTCTCAGGCTCTGTTGAAGAAAGCCCAGAATCTGGGCAATTAGTCAAGTTCTCTCAATGACAGGCAGTTCTCTTAATGACAGAAACTGTTATTTTGTATGTCTGAAAATGTCACATGAATAGAAAATATCAAATGATATCCCAACTGTTATAGTGTAATAATATTAATATAGGCATTGGTGCACCAGAGTGGGCAGGAATATACTACGTTTTACATCAAGGTTGACGGTAGTAATTAAGAAAATTACTGGAGCCTAAATTAATTAATACACCATGCCATTCAGAAAGACGACTTTCTAAAAGGCCTTGTGTATTCATAGCTTTCTGCCATTAAGTCGCTTTGACGCGCAGATGAATCCGCCCATTTTTGCTGAAATGGGAGAGAAAGTGAAAAGGGAGTGAACAATGGTCAAAGGGATCAGGAGGGGCCTATGCAACAGCCCATGACTGCCTGGGGGGTCCAGGAAGGGGCCTCCCCATCATTGTATACTTAAGACCTTCTGTAGCTTTAAGGGTTGCCTTTGATGCGCCAAGGAAGCTACCAGTTTTTGCTGAAATGGGAGAGAGAGTGAATGTCATAATAACAACTTAGATGGAAAAATTGCACCTTTACAAAAAATAGTAGTCTTGACTGGGACCAAATTTATGTCAAAGCATTTCAAGTTACTTGAGACTTAGAAAGTTCCAGTAAAGACTTCTGCATTGATTAATACCAACAAATCATTTTTTATTTCTGATGACAATGTCAGATCATGATCAATGCGGTTATGTCTTGCTAGAAAAGAAACTATTTTACCTGGGTTTTTTTAATGTCATGGTGTTCATACTTTTCGACAGATCTTCCATCTTGAGTAACATCAAACTGCGAACATGTGCTCATATCCAATTAGATGCTCAGCTTGTATTATCTGTAATAATGGAAAATGTCATTACTGATCATGTATTTCATCTCATTTTATTATTTGCCAAATGGTAATTCATAGAAGTATATTGAATTTTAAAAATAAATTCAAAACAGATTTTATACAAATAGGGCATCATATCATATATTCTTTGGAGATATAAGTTGTGTCACTTTAATACCTGGAATTGTATGTAATACTTTTCACTGTATTTTTGTTATATATTCTACATGTATGAGGACCATAGTTAAGCAGTACAGAATGAATGAAAGTGTCTCAGAATCTGTTCATATGGTTTTTTTATCCAAAAAGAGGATTGCACATTCCTAAACCTCTGTCTCTCAGACACATTAGAATAAATGGAGAAAGGGAGCCAACTCAAGTCTAGAATGATTTGGCAAGTCCTAATTACCTGAGCCCTGGGTCTGATTAATAAACATTGTTCTAGGCGCCATCTGGATTTTATTATATATATTTACCACAAGCATGATAACTCTTTTTCTGGGACACCATGTTAATCTACTCCCTGGAATCTTATCAGGGTTACTGAAATAAAAACAATATAGTTGCATCTTGTAGTTGACCAGCTTTTCTCACACGCAGAGATTGCTTTGCTCTGGCATATAACAAGTAGAGAAAGATGTAGTGTATAAGTATGGAGCATGATGACAAAAGGTTTTTACTGTGTTTGGTATGCAAGTAATAGCAAAGACATGTCAATGTTTCGATCAGGGCTAATGTGCACTGAGATAAGCGTTTCGGAGATAGGCGAGTTGGGTTGACTCTGTAATTCGCGGAACTTTCGATCTGTCCGAAGTCGAGGCTCGCAAATACAGCACAGCACAATGTTCAAGGACACATAAACTACATGTTATATACGAGATGTGCAGATTGTGAGGGAAACATCGTATCGCGCAATGACAGCCGAGACAGCGATGCGTTCGTTAGACGTCAACAGCTTTGCGGCAGATAGTGTCACGTGCATACACAAGCCACGCCCACTCATGAATATTGTAGACTTAAGACCATTGTAGATTAAAGGGTAAGGTGAGATGGTGTTTAACGTCGCGTCTGTTTGTACTTGTCCGGACTCATACTGTATACTGACTCAAAGCCGATCAGTCCTTGTTTTAGCCCCTAAATGCCGAGCGTCAGGCAGGGTAATAACAAGTACCACCTTTTAAGGTATTTTGGTATGTCGTGGCCGGGGTTCATATCCCGGACCTTCCGGTCTGCGGATGGATGCTGTACCATTAGACCACGGAGGCAGCCGCGTACATGTTAAGTTCACAATATATCTACGTACATTAAAGGAACCCGCTACTTGTACAGAATACTATTCAGATTCAAATCAACATATCATGGTTCCATCACCTTCAGATCCAGTATATTCTATATTATATAACTATATGTTCTGCTTTCTGCTACAATACTGGATGTTAAGGGTCGTGTCCATTAGATGTTACTGGATGTATACATAGTTGACTGTAGAGAATTGCATGTCGGTAATTTTGATCTGGAGGAACAGGTTACTAATATTCATATAAGGACATGTACATAAGAACTAATGGATGTAGTTCTCCCAGTTATTACCTTTCTATGGGTGGCTGAAAAGTTCTATGATGGTCTGCGTTTCGGAGGTAGTCCATCTGTTGAATTCCTTTTGAATACCAGAAAACCGAACCCATCAACTTGTCAGCTGATGGAACAGGCTTTGCCTTCGTCTTCGGAGTTGCCGTTCCATGTGTCCACTGCATTGACTGATGTTTAGGCGCCGTTTGACCATTGTGAAGCCAAGACTCATCCATGGTTGCAACTCGCTCAACAAAATCATCCAGGTGTCCCAGAGTTAATGAACCCGGAGCGTCTAAAGCCTTGGAACCCAGCATGCTTAAACCTGTTCATTCCTAAGAATGTTGTCCACTCTCTTCAGAGAAATGCACAGTCGTCGATCAGTCATAACCTTATGCTGTACTTTCTCCACATTTTCATCTTCCCGCGGCTCTCTCTTCCCTCTTTAAGACTCTGCAATTGCTGTCACCGCCCTGTACAACGTTACGCGGGTTTTTAGTTTCAATCAGGTATAATTTGTCGTTGTAATGTCAAAATCTCTTCGATTAATTTGTTCACATATTTCAGTAGACATAGTGCAATGATTTGTGGATGAATGTATATATGAAGTAGAGGTGATTGATTTTTATCAGTAGTGTTGTTTAAGGTTGCATGGGCAAGGCTAGTAAGTACGCTTACAGCATACGACCAATGTGTCATCTGTCAAAATAAAACTCCCACATGTTATTTTGAACGTTTTAGGGAAATCAGTGGATTTTGTTAATGAAATATTCATAAATACTAGTATTTCGCCAAAACGTAACTAAAAAAACATTATACATTCGTGAACTGTCTCTTGCTAAAGAATAGGCCTACTATATATGACAATATGAAAATAGATTGTCATCATTTTAAGAAATACCTAATGAAGTCCACTTCAAACAGATTATCAGGTGAAATACATCTTACAATATATGAGTATAAACTTGTTGGATGTTTGTGGCCAAAGATACGGTTTTCAATGCTTTATAGACACAACAGGGTCTCCTGCTGAGGACGGTAATTTGTGTAATCTATGGACAAATATTTTAACAGAGGGATGGTCTTGTTACTTTCTTTCATTGAATTATATAATATTTTCAAGCAGGACATGTCAAGAATGACTGAATGTTTTAATCGTTATACTATCGGCATGGATATTTGCCTTTAGTTGATAAGATAATGATACACATACCAATGATATATGTTATATTTCATACATAGTGTATTTAGATTTTTATTTACATTTGTTGTTAGACCTTGATTCTATCATGGCTACTCTGTGATTGTGGGGTTTAAAAGAATTATCTGATGTGAATGTGAGTAAGAATTAGCATGACTACTTTTACATGACCATTCAGATCACTTTCTAGGTGCTGGTAGATGGCTTTTGCATGAAATAATAAACCAATATCATGAATTGGATAAAGACATTACTTTATGTTTAAATCAGTTTATCAAAATATTGCTTAATTTACCAGAGGACAGACAATGCATTAGGATCAGAGGTTTTAATATTCAAATCTATTGCAGCTACCACAACCTCAACTCCAAGGGAGACACACAAGATGGCGACAACGCCGTCAGCGCCGACACAGGTTATTCTGACCTGTGTCCTAATGCTGCTGACATGTATACAACTAACAACACAGCAAGTCAGTTTTTACAGTAAGTACTTAATATCAGTGCAGTACTTCTATATTATATACCTTGGTTTTATCAGGTTTGTCCTGGAGCAGCTTCTGTGTCTAAAGATTGGAAAGTGAGTGCTTCGTGAAGTACTGAGTAATGAAGTGAATTTTACTCGTAGAGAAGAATGTCCGATTCTAGTGTTGGCAATTGGTCTGGATTTTATCATCAAACATTTTGCTCCATCCTATAAATCATCATATAGTTGGTTTATAATTTTCTGTATTTTACGTCATATCACCTGTTTTTATGAATAGGATCAATACCGTACTTGAAATGATAAGAATCCTATTTCTTGAACAAAATACTTTATATTTTGTATATTGAACTTGAAGATGACTTATTATTTTCAGATCAAAGGACTAATATATTTGTATATCAACATGACTCAACAATGCTGAACACACATGTTAATAGCATTATTTTTTAACTTATCCATGCATTTGCTGCTGTCTTTTGACTGAAAGACGAAGCTGTGAGAGGTCTAGCTGCAGAAGATGTTGTTCCAACCAGTGGTGTAACAATGCCCTCATACAGCTGCCACGTGACCCGGAAGTGGTGACGACCCATATGCCGAACGTGGCTGTCCCACTGTCGACGTCCGCTTACGGCCACTTCCCTGGACCGCTTGGTCAACAGTTACCTTACCAGCCTTACCACATCATGTCATGCCTGCCTCTTTTATGGATCCTAGTTTGATGCAAGCTTGGATGCAGCTGCTACACCCCCATCTACGGCCTCAGTGGTAGCTGCGGTGCCTCCTGGGACGTCGGCTCAACTGGCGGCTCCAAGCTTATTGGCACTCCCGACGGCATCGGCGCCTACTATCAACTCCTTGATTCATCTTACGGTGCCAACTGTACTACCGTCCTTTCCAGTCACCATCTCGTCAGCAGCGCCACCGGCGCTCTCCTCGTCTGCCTTCTTAACGACAGATTATCCGCCTTCTCTCCCAGTTCGTCACAACGCAGCGCTACATCGTCCAGATCTCGTCGCAGTGTCTCCTCTAAGGATGCCTTCGTCCTGAACTATGAACCTCCCTCTCAGGACTTGGACATACATCTTGGATGGCAGACAGGTTGGCCTCCATAGCGCCGTCCTCGGGACCAGACGTGGACAAGAAGGACACTATCTGGTCCCATCCGACGTCTCTTCCTCCTGATCCTCTGTTGACAGTACTCACTTCGGCTCTCGACGAAGGATTTGTGAAGTTTCGCTCACTTAGACACTTGGTTGCCGGTGAGAAATTGATTCGTGGGGCTCAGAAATCTCGCCAGGGAGGATCAACTAGAACTTCCGGTTTGGCCAAACCTTCTGCTTCACCCACACAGCATGCTACTGCATCCGACCACCGACAGGTTTCGTTTGCACGCATAGTGCATTTCCTACCTCTGCTTCCCACCAATTCTAGGCTGAATTTCTACTCTTCCTGCGACGCAACCGTCACCTCAAAGGTTCTACTATTTCTACATACCTAGTTGCCATACCTAGGTGCTAGCTATTCCGGAAAATACCGGATCTAGAAGCTTTGCTGCGCTCGTTTCGTCTAGAAGATCAAAAGGCCAAGTTCAGACCTCCGGCCGTTGTTGTGGGCGACTCCCTTTCATCCATTGCATTCTTCTTTTAACGACCTTACCAATTGTTTCTTTTGGCGTTGGCTATGGCCACAAGGGTAAGCTAACCACATGACGTTTCCCGTGTCCGGTTTGAGCAGGGAGCTCACGGGGCCGTTCATCTTGACCTGTGCTGGAATTTCATTGCCAAGTATAAACTCCCAGGACAGCCAGACAAGTCATTCACCTTCCTTCCACTTGCATTGATCGTGAAGTGGAGCTGTTATATATTATGCCTTATTATTAGGCTGTACGATGTTTTCTCTGTCTTTCTATGACGTTCCTTCACAGACAGAGGTCAATCGTAATACAATCTCCCCCTTGCTGCGGGCGGTCATTCTTCAGGCATACAAAGCAGCCGAACAGTCATCACAGCACTTTTGAGATTTGTCATTCTGAATCAGCTTAACTATCTCCCTGTAAACATGGTAAATTAAAACATTATCATATATAATAGAATAAGTAATTGAACATTTTGTTATTAAAATATTTTGTTATATTAAAAATGCATTGAAAACAGTAGGATCATTCAGTAAACAATTTGGGTGGCTATAGTACAGTACACACATATAATTGCAATATAACAGAAAGTTGCATACTGTGACTTGCATGAAGATAATTTTAGTAGCAAAGTTAGCTATGATGAAACTGATCGTAAAAAAGTTGAATTTCATCTGCCTCTCATTCTCATTTGACAGCACGATTTAGTTGTGTTGGTATGCTTGTGTAGCATGTTGTATGGTCATGGTGATTGTGTATATTTACATGTTAGATACACATTTTAGTTAAGAGACTTGTGTACAGTAGACTTGCTGACATTTGAGTCTTCGCGTTTAGACAAATCTTGGGAGTTGGTTGACAGCTTCCCACCAGTTGGACTAAGTTTTGAACTCAGCCTACAACTTGGATCTGAATATCAGTGTCTTTATGACGCCAACAGTGTGACCACCGTGTTTTAATTTGTTACGATGAAAAATCCCACTGTGATCACTCTTCATTTTTCAATTCCCACTGTGACCACTCATCGTTGATTGGGATCTTTAACTAAAAAATATAAAATATCACAAAGTATTCATATTATACATTTATTTACCGTTTGCATTCCAAATGTTTTGTGTGTTTATTTTTCATAGTCACTATTCATTTCACTTTAATTGTCAAACGATAACGGCTCCGCATGCTGGCAACATCTGAACCAATCAAGCAAAATGTCTGACCCGTGATGTTTACCGGCTACAATGTCACCTCTAAAAAATCGTAATTTTAAAAATCTTAATCTTAATTTCCTTAATTTACTGCTCACATGTGCGGAGTAGATTCTACGAACCACAATACTTAAGAAGGCTTTAAAAACAAGACAGAAGGTTTCTTTATCAGTTCAGAATTAGTTGCTAATCCATCCTTACTCAATTACTTAATTAATTGCGATCAGTTGTCCCAGTGTGGACACTGTGACTTCATCCAATTCCCAGTGTGGACACTGTGTTTAGTTAGGCGGAGATACGTCGGTGGCCACACTAGGAGGTTACCCGACACATTCCTGTGTGCTGATGGCACCCCTGTTGCTCGATTTTGTATATGTGCCGGGATTTTACAGTGTCCAGATGTCGAGATGTCAGATGAGAAGGATTGTTCCATGAATGGTTTAGGTACACCAAACTTGGATTTTCTGATATGGTTTCTATGCTTGGTTTAGATGGATATGTAAACGGAACATACAAAGTGTGCAGTTGTAAGACTACATAATGTGCATCTTGCTGCCTGCAGAGGATGATGGATAGATTTATTTCAAGAAAGTGCCTGATGTGTTTTCTTATATATTGGTAATGAAAGATTGATGGATGTGGGTTGATGTTTATGTTGTTGGTCTACTGTTGTTCAAATATGCATGGATTAAACCTGTTTCAACATGTTCAAGCATGTAAATTTAACCTGTGGATTGGCATGATATGCATACATTTGATATTACTGTCTTCTATTTGTTTTGTTGAATACACTTTCTGAATTACCCCTTTTGCATGCAAAGTTCAACTAAGCATGATGTCATGGTTATTACCATGATCTGAGAATGTCATGGAATGTTATTGCCGTGGTCCTATAACATCTATAATCGAATGTGTATTTTTTAACATTCTATTCTTAATTCAATCATTTTTCTGTGTTCATGATTTTCAAAGATGAACTTTCTATTGTAATCATGTTCTTTATATTTATATCTCGTCCAAGAAGGAATACAATGTAAAGGTCATTCATGTAATACATGTCAATATAATTGTTTGGGACTGCACAAAAATAAGGCCTGGGATATTTTGTGTATATGACTTGATCATATTATCATATAAGTTTCATTTTATTGATATTAATATTTTTGACAGGGTATTAGATAATATGTTCACAATTTCTGTAAACAATAAGGAAGACTTTGTGTTCATGCTTAAGTGTAACCAAAACTCCTCTTGAAAGTGGATGTAACCTTGATCTTGGTGATATGTGTTTTGTTTGTTTGTAGACACTTGCCAAGATGCATCAGCTGTGGGAACTTTGAGCGTGTCTATAAAGGAATCAGATACTCAGGCATCGATTGATGGTAAGTTGTATATCTGGATAAACCCAATGGTATAATTAGAAGATTGTGTGCTTGTTTAACATGACATGCCCATATTTTACTCTTATTTTATAGTTGATATGCAACCTTGCTACATTCATGGGTGCACCGGTGCATCATACTTTTCTATATCGATAAAAGACGAAAAGTTTGCTAATGTTACTAACAACTCGTTTAATGAACTCCAGTGTTTTTTGTCAGTCAAATATTGCAAAATGTGTTGCCATATGCATATCAAGTTTAATACTAAAAATACCCGCTAAGAACATGTGTCTACAGCTAGCCTTTCCTTTGGAACATGCGCTGAAATACTTATAGTCAAGACATTTCCACACGATTTGATGTAACTGTGTGTATCGCGATACATATTGCATTGTGACCTTGCTGCATCGTTTCACCTCTAATACTTACAGAGAAGCACTACTTCCTTACAGAATGAATGAGAAATGTTGACTGTACTTCATAAATATGTACGAGAACAAAAAATAGCCTAGGAAGATGAGGGACATGAGGTAACAAAGATGGTTTTCGTTTTAGCTTCACCAACAGAATACAGAGCTGGACTCAGCTTGGCAGGCAATACAAATAGTATTGGGCTTCAGTTTGATGCCAATGCTGCTGCTAAGCTTCCTCCTGGGGAGTACTTTGATCTGGAGTCTGGCGTCCGAAGTGGCAGCTTAACTGGAAGGGAATGGTTCCTGAGACTCAAGAAGCCCATTAACAGAGATGTATGTTCTAAATTACACCTGGCACTTGTGTGTTTCCTACACCCATGCATACTGTTGTTTATGCAATATATATTGGTCAGTCGATAGCAGGTTTACTCTTTCTGTTATTACTACATGTACTAGTGACTTTAACACAGTAAATCATATGATTATCATGGACCTATCTCAAGAAATTTCAAGTAAAACATTCTCTAAGTCCACATGAAGAATTAATGCTCACATTGTTTCCGTTACTTGTCTCTGTCTTCCTGATCTTTGTTTAGCGATAGCGAGAACTAAGATATGATTTTAATGAGATTGGGATATTATTTCAGAAACGTCAATACTTCAACATTGATTTGTGATAATTTTCATAGTTTTAGAAATTACATTGCTTTGGGGAACAGGATCAGGTGTTAAATACAATATTGATTTTTTAGGGTGATCGTCCAGATACACTTGATGACAATACTGTGTTTGAGTATACCCTCGAGTGTACAGACCTCACCATAAACACTGTAAGTAGTCCTAAATGTTGTTGCTTTTTGTTCAAGTCATGAATACAATGATGAATTAATAATTGACATTTCTGCAATGTATTTCTCTATTTGTTTTGACATTGTCATCCTGACCTATATGTACGTTGATAAACTGTCTTCTAGACTTCAGAATTTGTTTGACAAAGTCATCCTACCCTCCATTGATGATGACATTTTCTCCCAACCTACATAGATATTCACATTGTCAAATATAAATCACCTTTAGTCTTGACACAATCTTTAAGACCTTCATGATATTTTCACACAACCTCTTTATAAGTTTTCTAGCTGTCTTCCTCACTTCTTTCCTGACATCATCGTTGATACCAAACTTGACAGTTATGTTGATAGTATCTTTCTGACATAACATGGATACCAAGTATTACTGGCACTGACTAGCCGACCTCAATATTGATGCTGATACTGTTGTCATGACATTGGCATCTGATGTTGACCACATCTTCATAGGACCTTGTCATTGATGGTGACTCATTCTTCGTGTGACCTTGACAAAAAAATTTGACACCTTCTTCAAGACTTCAACACTTGTGTCTTCATATGACCTTGACATTAGCATTTACAGTTTGATATAGTCAGTATTCTGCACCTGACTATGAATATTTGCACTGTTTTACTTGCCCCTGTCATAACTACCTTCACTGTTCATCTACACAATGCAGCCATACATCAAACAACTTCGATTGTAGCTTTTGTTGGTTCTGAGTAGTTGCTTATGTGTCTATCTGCTTTTTGTATATAAATACTTGGGCTTTGCTTATTAGATTTGTGGATTAGGAGTCCTATTGTTTGTTTAGCGGTACACACCACTTGGTCTTTTTGCAAATCCTGACGCAGTGAGTAGTATGTAGGGCATGGGCATGAGGGCTGCATGTTGTCACCCTGTGTCTGTAATTGCATTGGGAGGAATGAGGCTAGCTTCCATGGGCAAGTAGGACTTACTGTTTGCTGTTATGGTACAGTTGCTGCATGATATAGACCATGAGAAGATAGCAGTGTTCGTAATGAGGGGGATTCTGGGGTCCTCGATGTTTGTTTCAATAGAGGGAGAGAGAGACAGAGAGTGTCTTATCATATACTATCATTTGAAACAAATATATCATAAAACATATAATTACACTGAGATATAAAACATGTGTACATAATCATTGCTTGAATAAGTTAGCACAGGAAACTGGTCAAATGTAAGAATGCATATAAGCATGTTCACATGTACCCCAAACATACATGACATATTTAATATTAGGATAATGACAAGGACCCTTAGAGCTTTATGCTCAATTTCAAAAACGGCATAGCCATGATAGGTACATCTTCCCGAGGCAAGAGAGTTAACTGACTACAAAAGTCCAGTTTCCACCCTTGCCGAACTAGGCTGGTATTATGGAGTTACGTGTTGTCTGGACTAACGAGTCTATACATAGTCCAATCAAAATCGCGCACCGAAATCAAAATCCGGTTCGTAAACTGTCGTGCAGATTTCGATCGATTGCAGGGTTTGCAAAGCATTTGCACCGCCAACTCATTGTCAGCAAATATGTTCCAAATCCTGTCATGTTTTAAATCAAGGTGCTCACGTGACTTGATGCATTTTGCGATGTAAGATCCGTTCTATCACAATATAGATCTTGATTATCGATCAGATCATCCTGACTGGGCGCCACCATTTTGTGTGAAGCAAACGCAAGTGATACGACAGGTGAAACCTGATTGGTCCATAGAAGAGGCTTAGAAGGGACATAATTGGTAATAGCCACTGGTGGAGCAACGATCGAGCCCAGTAATTCCAGTCTAGTTCGGCAAGGGTGGAAACTAGACTTTTAAAGTCAGTTAACTCCCTTGCCTCGGGAAGATGTGATAGGTAGGGCCATACCAATTCTTGTAAACATAATTCCTTGGCCAGTATGACTTCTGTGATTAGGATTAGATTGCAATTCATGATGAGATAGTTAGGCAGAACATTTCATACAGACATGAAAAAGATATGGAGAAATCATTCTTAAGATGATAAAAAACTAGACATAACTTGTTCACAAGTGATGGTTTTTTGAAGACATGTGTGGATGAAATGCCTATGTTTTTATGTACATGTACTTTGGGAAACATGCTTTTCAGAATTTCCATAGCTTGTCCAAACACAGAAATTACAGTTGTCAACATGGTTGAAGGGGCTTGTTTACTCATCATGCTAATGGCAGAAGTATACTGAACAAAAAAAGTTAGGGATTATGAATATTTTTGGGATATCTTTCTGAAATTGTGTGCTCAATCTTCACTACTAAAAGATATTCCAACAAATATTCATGATCCCTAACTTGTTTAGTTCAGTATATTTTTTTTGTCGTTAAAGCTGCATCAACTCACTTTCAGTGATGATTATGCCAAACTATTATTATCTCTTAGCAGATCCAAATTTAGCATGCTAACTCTTTTCATACATTCATCTTGCCCCTTGACGATGACAAGAGTAACTAACACACTGATGTTTGTACCAGTAAGTTCAATAATGGTTGCTTGCTGAGGTAATTGGGATATTACTTTTAGGTCAACTACAATGATTTTACAAAGCGTGGAATTAACTTTGTTTACATGTTGGTATGTAAAATATACTGATGGAAATACTGAAATTAGGGGAGCATTTATTTTTCATAAAAATCTATATGTGAACCCTGTTGTTGATGACAGGAGATTTGTACATATCTTTCTGCAATATCCTTTAATGTAATTAATTTCTTATGGGTTCCCTTATTTCTTTCCAACAGTATACATATGCTAGTTACCATGGTTACTGAAAATCATTAAAAACAATTGTGGGTATTATTGACCATGTTGACAATCGTCTTCAGCATGTTTGGTATATTGACAATGCAGAATTTCTTTAACATTCAGTGTGGCTTTTTAGGGTTGGTAGGATAACCCATAAGAACCTATCAATGTTTTGTATGTATTAGTTGAATGCATATGTATACTAATCTGGCAATATGATCATTATGAAGCTGACTGACCAACTTTACACATGCTTACTACATGCCATCCAGACCTCTGACAGACTTGGACATATGTAATGGGATGATTTCTACATACCCTTTTTCATACTTGCCTTGTATGACTACTTAGTTCTTATACCCCTCAATTTCAACAGATTCTTGACCAGTGACAGTTTGGCCAGTTACAGCATCAGTGTGCAGATGTTGACATGTATGGTGTAATTTTATGTTATACCATGTTTTTCGTCTTTGACATCTGACTTCAATATTATTATTCATAACCTTATGGGGACTGTGAGGCAGAACACTTTCACGCTTGCTGAAAGAGCCAACCAGAATGAAAATTGGGTGGTTTTATATTATGTAACCTGCGTTGTTGACTGCATGGATAGTTGCTCATGCTATTAACCACTGTTTTGCGCATCCCAGACTTAATTATTTACAGACTGTCATTATATAGCTGGAATACTGATGACAATATCTTAAACTATTCACTCACAATGTTCACTATTATTACTCCTAAGAATATGGTACATATCATATGGCACTCACAGTTACTGTTGCCGTTATTGCTGATAGTAATGTATGTTTTTGGGTTTTCGATACAGTTGAGAAAGTGTTTAGAAGGTTGTTTCTTGTTTCAGGTATTTGAATCGAAAATTACTTTTGTCCACTTAAATTTATGCAATGTCCAAGAAGATTATGTAGAAAAAGTAATTACCAGGTGATTACAGATTATATGATATCTCTTTTCCTTTGAATCACAGAATGGAAAAGTAAGTATTTTTTTGAACTGATGCTTAATAATATTTTTCAGTTTTCATTACTTTCATTGAACTAGTTTAGCGTGTTTCTAGGTTTTCTATTATTTTTAGCTGAACCTGAACCTGTTAGTTTTCTATTATTTCTACCTGAACCTGAACCTGTTAGTCCTAGCTAATGTCATGAATTTACTACCATCTAATACCAGCAGTATTGCTATTTGCCAGACATGTTGATTTGATTTCTCGTTAGATTTTCATTCCCACTATTCTCACTTAGAAAACATTCACATCACTTGATTTAATCACAACTTTAGCATGTTTAGCCCTCCATTGATGCCTTGTCTTGTGAGACCAGATCACCTTTTTTTCTTTTTTACATATGGGCCTAGCTTTGGAAGTGTGAACAAATATCTTTTTTGAAATTTGTATTTGATTGACAAAAGACTTACTTTTGATATAGTTACATTTGTTTTTGTTTTTGTTGTTTTCAAGAGTTAACATCAAATCTTATCCATCTTATATTTGTCTCAGACAATATATTTTTTAAAATTTTGCTACCTGTGTTTTAGCACATTTGCCAAGAAAAAATCAACTTATGAAGACCAATAGGACTGGATTAAGTTCATGTTGCAATGGTAGATGTAAAATAAACAACTGCTAAAATGATACTGAAATACAAGCTCAGGCTACTAGACTCACAGAACATAATTTTCTTTTTCATTTTTCACCATTTCCTTTGGATCACATAATGGACAAGTTTGAATCTTTGGATTTAATGCTTACTAATATTTTCAATTTGCATTACTTTTATTAAAACAGTTTGGAGTGTCTTACTTTGCTATTGTTGCTGAATCTGTGTAAGTTAATGTCATGAATGTTTTTGCATCTGATATGACGCTTGTTCACAAAAAGCTACATGGCTCAGCAGTCTTGCTATTTGCAGGACATGTTCCTTTAGGTCGGTATGAGATTTTCATTTCAACCCATGGGTCATTAATGTGATTAATCAAGTTGATGCATATGTTTTTGTTCTTTTTTATCTTTTTTTTAGTTTAAGAATTAGATGACTTTTATCCAACAGAGATTTTCTTTCTTTTAATGTGTTTTATCCATAATGTTCTCGGGTATAATGGTCTTAAATATTTATCAAGAACACAAATACATAAAATTTTATCTATTGAAAATGCCTTTCATTATTTTGAAACATTTAGGTTGTGCTTATTTAGATATTAGTAGATCAATATCATTGCATACTGTTGAGCTAAGCCATCATGTAATACAACATACATTTGATACATTTGTCTTCAGGTCATAAAAAGCAGGTATAGTGAAAATGATACTTTGGATGATACAGAATCACAGTTTACAAGATTATGTTTCATTCCCAAATGTCTGGTGTAAGGGACTGTCTTTTATTTTTTTTATGATACGCAGATGATTTGTCATTTCTGTCTCAAGATAAATTAATTTTTAAGAATTCTTTATGGATATAAAATTGCAATTACTGTCCTTCAGGCAGGTGCATATGTCATCAAGACCTGTGGCAAATTATGAATATCATACAGGTTTTAATTGTCATTTTTGTCTTCTTAGGCTTTTTTCATCTTGCTGAGGGTTCAGATTTTGGATGTCAACGACAACAGTCCAGTGTTCAAAAATGCTCCCTATGCTGTCTCTGTCAATGAGGTAAGTTGATAATACCTGGTAGATAGAGAGAGATAATAAAAAACTAGATAGTTCACTCTTATCTGGGGATTTTAATTGCTGTAAAGTCACCTGCAACTGCTAGCAAATGTGACATTAAGCATGGACATTACACTTGCCCACAAACCTTAAATCAAGCTTGCCTTAAGTTTATCGTTTTTGCCTTAATCAGAATTCTGTTCTTTGTTTCAGCTTACTCCAATTGGTACAACAGTGTTTCGAGATGTTACAGCCACAGACTTGGACTTCGATTTCAACAAGAACATTGTGTTTGATATTCTTCCTGTAAGAGTTGCTTTCTACATTACTCATGTTCTTATACAGCAGTGTAAAGGAAAACAAAACTTCATAAATCATTCTATTTAACTTTGTTTGTATGGTTTTAATTTATATGTCTTTTTCAAACAAATTAGATGTCTGTTGGAGCAATCGATAATAGTTAGTATGACTTTCTCTTTCAGAGTGCAGGATCAGATAAATTTGCTATTGATATCCCATCCTTGGGATATGTGACAGTCAAAAATACTCTGGATTTCGAGGTCATGAACGCAGCTGGAAACACGAACTACGTCCTGTCAATCAGAGCAAGGGTATGTATGCAGCATAGAATGTGATATAAATTGCAATTTATCTAAGATGTCTTAATGAAGCTGTTCGTAGCAATGTTCTTTTGATCATGTCTACAAAATACATGTCAACAATTTCTATCTTCCTGTAGGATTCTGCTGTACCACCAGAGGTTCAAAGAAGCAGTACAGCCACCCTGAACATCACAATAACAGATGGAGATGACCAGAAGCCCATCTTTGAATATCCAACATGTTACACTGATACTGCAAATAAATGTTTCAACCCATCCTACTCAGCATCCATCGTATCGGGACAGTCGGTAAGTCTGTCTGAAAAACCAAATTATCTTTTGTTGACATTGGGTTCAAATTCAAGTATCCTCGTGTTATGGTTTTAAGAGCACCTAAGAAGTATTTCTGATTACATGTCTTATAATCTTGATACACTAAAATTAGGTCTTACCTTTGAGAACATGTCTTTCTGTTAGCACTTGGATGGTCAAATAACAATCCATGTCTTGTTAATTTTCGAGTGCCTCATCGAGTGAGACGTGTCAGTCAGGAGTCATCTTGTTACCGTCACATGATTTCGAGCCCCTCCATGACAGTCAAGTTAAAAGTAGATGCACAATATGATCAGTCACATGACATTCCGCACAGGAAGTTTACAAACAGCATCAGATGCATTATTGGTGCTAACAAAATCATCATCAGTTCAAGTTTGTTTAAAATGTGCATGAGAGAAAAAGTATGTTTTCACTACTTAGTGAATATCTTACCTCAAGTAACTTAATTTGTGGCATAACTTTAGCGACAAGTGACAAACACTTTAGTGTGTTCAGTGGGCTTTGAACCGTCTACCTTGATTGCTTCATTAAGCACATGGTTACATATTGTTTAGGGGCTCAAAAATAGGTGAGGCTCGAAGACATGTTGCATAGGGATATATTTGACGAAAATGTCTGATTTGATGTGATTAATGAGGGACTGACTTACACCAGGAAGAAACACATTGATACTAATGCGTAGCGGGGGTAGAAAAAAATAATATATGGGATTTCTAATAGCCCGAATAGTGACAACATATAGCAGTACCCCCAAAAATGTTTTAAAATTCTACTAGCCCTTAGGATATATTTAACATTAACAAAACTGGTCTGGGCTTGCGGGCCAGGGCTAATTTCTACGCAGGGGCCTAGATACATGGGGGAGGAGCTGTTGAATATTGAGTTTATTTTATAGTCGTCATATATTTTGAGGGATATCTTCAGAAAACACTGCTTCAGATAACTTTGTGGAAAATGTGTGAGATCAGTGATGATAAACATCGTAATCTGTGTTCCAGCTTGGCGAGGTTTCTGTATTTCCAATTCCTGCTTCCAACCCCAATGTTGCCATCAACATCCAGGCCAGGGATCAGGACACTCTCAGCAGCCCCATTACCTTCACAGTGGAACTGAGTGAGCACTCCGTCACCTACACATGAATACCAGTGACCATTTTATAAACATCCAAAGATCACCAGGATGTTCAAAATCTTTGTAAAGTCTAAATTTCTTACAAATTTGTAAAAAAGGGTACTTTCCTTCTATCTCAATTCCTAATTTATAAGTGGCATGGGTAAACCGGTCCTCTAATGCTGTGAAGAATTGCCTTTCTGAGTGTGCCAGGGTTCTATGATAATGGCTACTATTCACAGAATCTTACTGATGTTGATCATTGGTTTATCAGCAAAATACCAAGCAAAATATGTGATTGATATCATGAGCATCGATCGACACAATTGGGATACGATGACATGCATCAATTAAGTCAGCAAGTCTGACCACCTGATCTCGTTACGACAAGCATGGGTTGCTAAAGACCCATTCTAACTCGCATCTTCATTGGTTTAATATAACTGAAAAAGCGTTCAAAGACGCACTTGAAAATTCACAAGATACTAAGTTAATGTATAGTTTAGTATACATCTAATAATTTCAAAAACATCAAAGGCATGATAAAAAGAATGAGTACTGTTGCGACAAGTTTCTTATATAGTTATACTAAGGAATTCCGTCCATCCCTTTGTGTACAACCTATTACTTGAAAACTATGCTATGGATTCTTTAAAAATTTAGGGAACAGTCTCCATACTTTTAGAAGAGGTACAGTGCAAAGTTTGTGTATTTGAAAATATGAACTTTTGCAAGTTTTGAACCTAGAATGTTTGTTTTACTCCAACACTTGTGCGACCTGTAGCTTGAGAACTACTTTATGGATTCTATTCAAATTTAAGGAACACTTTCTATACCAATAGGAGAGGTGCTGTGCAAAGTTTGGTTTTGATATGTGTATTTTCTGAGAAAACATGATTTTTTTCATGTTTTGAAATTCAACATTTGTGCAACCTATTACTTGATAATTTCTGCCTGATTTTTTTCAAATCGGGGACACAGTTTCTTTACCAGTAGGAGAGGTGTAGTGCAAAGTTTGAGTTCGATAAGTTGATTTTCTGAGAAAATATTGGTTTTTCATGTTTTGAACTTAGAAATATGTTGGGAGTCAAAGTCAGGGGTATTTGTGAGCCCTGTTCACTTTTTGCCTTGTTTCTATCAGTGTTAGTCCAAAACTGAAATAATACAAGAGACATGTTTTTTTCGTCAGCTGAACCTCGTGGATATGAGAATAGATTTCAAGTGACAAGTGAGCAAATCCCAGGTACCAGCACCTACAGAGCACGGCTTCAGTTGGTAGCAGCCATTGACAGAAGTCAAGTTAGAGATCTGAAAGTCATCATTCGGGTAAGATTTCAGAACTAAATGAATTTTCTCTTAACTCAATGTCATTATGCTAGTTATATAAAAGTTCATGTTAACTTGTATTGATAGACTGCATGGTACTCTTATGACCATTTGACTTGAAGTTCTCAGGTGTGAACATAGGGAAGAGAACCAAGAATCATGTCCCTGTTCCTAGATCCTGTTATTGAAATTCTACTGGAAACAAGTGGGACTTCGATTTGATTGACAATTGTGTCTGTTTTGTAGAATTCATCTTGAAACTGTTTAATATTTGTTAACATAATCTCTTAATGACTTGTTTATTGTTTAGAAGTATGCTATCCAGGATCCAGATGTTCTTTGCATCTTTGTTGATTCACTGGTGTCTTAGGGCAAAGAAAATATTTTCTTACATATGGAACTACACCTATATACATGAAGGCATTGTTACCCTAACCTTGGATTTTGTTTCCCAGGCACGAGAATCCTCTGCCAATGCGCGATACAACCGTGCTGTTGTGTATCTGACTGTGACCCAAGCAAACAATAACCCACCCTCTGTGTCAACATCCATCGGCTCTCCGATTGGGTACATCCGAGAAGATGCTCTGGCCCGAGCTTTTGTCAAAGACCAGCCGCTTCAAAATCCTCTAAAGCTTGTAGTTACAGATGCAGATATTGTAAGTTGAAAGATTAAATGTGATACAGATCAAGATATTGTGAGTGAGTGAGTGTCTGAGTGAGTGAGTGAGTGTCTGAGTGAGTGAGTGAGTGAGTGAGTGAGTGAGTGAATAAATATTGTCTAATGCTGCAATCATCAATGTTCCAGTTACGTCACAGTGACTTGTCAACAATCGGGTTTGGATCAGTCAAACCAGTAGTTGATATCATGAGTAAAGTCCAATGCTGCTGGGATGCAATGACACTCAATTAACCAGGTCACCAACCCTCACAACCTGTTCAACTTTTCTGAGGCAAATTCTACTTGGAAATCCCGATGGGATAAACATGATATAATAAGTTGATGGATAAACAGTTTTATGTCATACATACTGTACACTGGCAAATGAAATGTTGAAATGGAGGAGGTAATGCAGACCATAAACCTTTCTTTGTGTCCTGTTGTTTCAGGCTGCTGGAGACACCCCCCAGAGGTATACATATGAAGTTACACCGTCAAGTCCATTCTTTGTGGATAACGATGGTTTCCTCCGAGTAACAGCTGGAAACTTGGATTATGAGTCTGTGCAACAGTACACATTTAATGTGAGTAGCAGTCGCAGTGAGAAGAGATCAAGGAACTCCTAACTTTTCACTTTTAACAATGCAGAAATAAGTCGTGAACATTACATCTAAGTTTATATCTCCAGTGGAATCTGATACTGCTTAGCTTATTTTTTTGCTTAGTTTGGGATTTGCTTCTGATGGTATGCCATAATTTGTCTCTGTTTAGGTGATTGTGCGGGAGCAGGACACCACACAGCAGCGCTCAGGAAGCATCAGCCTGACAGTCAATGTTGTGGACATCAATGACAACACTCCTTTCTTTGTTGGAATCCCGTACAGTAGATCTTTACCTGAAGGGGACTACACACAAGGAGCTGGAGAATTTATTGCCCAGGTAGGTCATCGCTTGTTTGTAATAAGGGTATTGTATCTTTAGCATTAAGAGTGAATCCAGCTATTGATGAGCCATATAAGGTGACTTGACAGAAGTGTGTTGGACCACTTGCTTTATCCTCAACCGATATACTTTCATGTTGAAAGCAAATGAAAGCAGTGCAGTGGTGCACCAATTTCAAATTATTGCTTGAAGAATAGATGAAAATATACTTCATGGCTCTTTAACATCAAGCTGCGGATAGACAGAGACATAATAGGTTGCTGATTTACTCCTGTAGGTACAATCCCAGGACCGTGACTCAGTGGACACAAGTATTACGTATGAGATTCAGAGCGTCTCTAGCGGAGGTGCTGGCAAGTTTACGATAAGTAGTACCAATGGACAGTTGCTTCTTCGGGCCGTGGTTGGAATTGGTGAGGAGTACACGATCATTGTCAATGCTACTGACAGCACCGTACCAAAAAGGAGGTACTTGACTTTATGTTTTTGATTGATTTGATTTGATTACTTTAGTAAAAATAATATTAGAAAATTGCATCCTGTCTGCTTTTAATGTGTTAGTGAGAACCTGTATAAGTTTACTGGTCAATCACTTCGGAAGTGATTTCATATTCAGAAATTATTTTTATATATTTATTTATTATCATTATTATCATTTAATAGAATAAACCAAATGATGTTAGTTGAACTAAGAGTGAGATGTTTTTCTTCTGTTATTGTTAATCCAATCTATTGTTTATCCACTAGGCATGAAGGACCTGTATAATTAATGGCATATTTGCGTTATATAATTGGCAAAATTTAAAAAGGCTGTATGTTCTATAGATATGAACCAAATTGTATTAAAGCTTTGCATATGTCAGTGTTTGATTCCAATCATGCCACTACCGTCAGCTGTCACAAGATTGGCCTAAGTTTGATTGCTGTTAATTTCAACCAAATCATGAAATTAATGTTTTAATGTATTGAGGTTCTTGTGAAACAGATTATTTGCCTTTTGATAAACTTGTCCAGTTCCCTTCTGTGATTGTTCTGACTGTTATTGTCCATGTTGCAGTGCCTCAGTACCTGTCTATGTCACAGTAACATCCTCTGGCAACAAAGACCCCGAGATTCCAGCAGGACTGTACACAGTCTATGTCAGTGAAGGCATTGATGCTAACAGGGATATCTTCACTATACCGGTTTGTTGACTCTGTGGATGACATTTATAGTAATAGTTGATCATTAATTTCGCGCTTCTTATATTGTAAGAATAAAGTGCTTTCCTTCAGAACCTTTTTTTTATGTTTTTGTATGATTAATACTGTTTGCAGTATTTACTTATTTTATTTGGATTTATTGAATCATATTTATTAGTAATATTATTGTATATAGTGCACTCATGGAAATATTGAGTTTGTGACAAGAATGTTGATATTTCATAATTATTAGAGAATGTTGACAATGCAGGGAGATGAGGTGATTGGAGGATATTCTACTGAGTAGTGGAACACATTTGAATTTATAGACTTTTCTTATGGTGTGAAAACAAAGATAATGTTAGATTAGTAATTTCATTTACTATTCATGTTGATCATTCTGAAGAATGTTTAGACAATTTTGATGACATCTTTTGCAGGCTACAGATCCAGATAATCAGCCTCTTACATTTTCCATTATTAATGGAAATAATGGCAATACATTCTCTATAAACAAGTGAGTTTTTGTCATTTCTTTTCTATTTGAAATTTTGACATTGCTTTTGGAACAGCACTGTTAAAAGTTAGGAAGTGTTCTAGGTACTGTTTTTAAGGAGAATGTCCAATAGTGTAGATGGTATCACATGAAGACAAGTTGTATTTGTAGAATGTCCAATAGTGCAGATAGTATCGCATGAAGACAAGTTGTATTTGTAGAATATCCAATAGTGCAGATTGTATCGCATGAAGACAAGTTGTATTTGTAGAATGTCCAAAAGTGCAGATAGCATCGCATGAAGACAAGTTGTATTTGTAGAATGTCCAACAGTGCAGATAGCATCGCATGAAGACAAGTTGTATTTGTAGAATGTCCAATAGTGCAGATAGCATCGCATGAAGACAAGTTGTATTTGTAGAATGTCCAATAGTGCAGATAGCATCGCATGAAGACAAGTTGTATTTGTAGAATGTCCAATAGTGCAGATAGTATCACATGAAGACAAGTTGTATTTGTAGAATGTCCAATATTGTAGATAGTATCGCATAAAGACAAGTTGTATTTGTAGAATGTCCAATAGTGCAGATAGCATCGCATGAAGACAAGTTGTATTTGTAGAATGTCCAATAGTGCAGATAGCATGGCATGAAGACAAGTTGTATTTGTAGAATGTCCAATAGTGCAGATAGCATCGCATGAAGACAAGTTGTATTTGTAGAATGTCAAATAGTGCAGATAGCATCGCATGAAGACAAGTTGTATTTGTAGAATGTCCAATAGTGCAGATAATATCACATGGAGACAAGTTGTATTTGTAGAATGTCCAATAGTGCAGATAGTATCACATGAAGACAAGTTGTATTTGTAGAATGTCCAATAGTGCAGATAGTATCGCAAGAAGACAAGTTGTATTTGTAGAATGTCCAAAAGTGCAGATAGCATCGCATGAAGACAAGTTGTATTTGTAGAATGTCCAAAAGTGCAGATAGCATCGCATGAAGACAAGTTGTATTTGTAGAATGTCCAATAGTGCAGATAGCATCGCATGAAGACAAGTTGTATTTGTAGAATGTCCAATAGTGCAGATAGCATCGCATCAAGACAAGTCGTATATGTAGAATGTCCAATAGTGCAGATAGCATCACATGAAGACAAGTTGTATTTGTAGAATGTCCAATAGTGCAGATAGCATCACATGAAGACAAGTTGTATTTGTAGAATGTCCAATAGTGCAGATAGTATCGCATGAAGACAAGTTGTATTTGTAGAATGTCCAATAGTGCAGATAGTATCACAAGAAGACAAGTTGTATTTGTAGAATGTCCAATAGTGCAGATAGTATCACATGAAGACAAGTTGTATTTGTAGAATCAAATGATAACCACTGGTTTGACAGCTCCAGAGGTTCAACAATAGTAATGATAGCATCAGATATTTGCCATTGGTATTGATATTGTCACAGGTTTGATAATGATGTTGATGTTCTTTTTCAGTGACGGCATTGTGAGCAACCGTGTGACATTTAATCGAGAGACAGTACCAGAGTACAACCTCACCATCACTGCTGCGGATCTCGGATCTTCTGTAAGTGCCACTTCCAAATTAAGATAAGTTTCTATGTACACATGACTGTGTGCAGAACTGTATCATGTCTCTTACAATTATGAGCAAATTCACTTAAATGAAGCATGACTTGAATGTGGGAACATGTTACTGTTACAGCCAGCATCCACTGTGTTGAGAGTCATTGTCACTGATGTCAACGACAACTCCCCAGTCTTCCTCAACAGTATCAATAATAGATACTTCTTCAATGTCCAGGAGGCTCAGACACCCCCTGCTACAGTGGGAAATGTTGCTGTAGGTATTTCTTAGTGGCTATAGTATTGTTCTTCTTAATGTCAGGCCAGGTTATGGTGTGGAAGTGGCTGATTGTTCTACATATGGTAATGAAATGCCAAACGTACAGAATTCCAGTTATACCAGCTAGTATTTTTCTTGTTATTATGTCAGGGCAGGTTAAGGTGTGGAAGTGGCTGATTGTTCTACATATGGTAATGCAATGCCACACATACAGAATTCCAGTTATACCAGCTTGGTATTTTTCTTGTTATTATGTCAGGCCAGGTTAAGGTGTGGAAGTGATTGATTGTTCTACATGTGTTAATGCAATTCCAAACATCTAGAATTCTAGTTATTCCAGCTTGGTATTTTCAATAGAATTGTTTGTTATGATTTCAGGCTGTGGATGGTGACCAGAGTGGTACACCCCAGGCGACTGTCATATATGACATGGTTGGACAAAATTCATTGTATGTAAAAATTCTTTGTTGAAATTTGTTTTTTGTGGAGAAATGTAGAGACTAATCCTGTTTTCTTTGTCATTTACTATGTACCTTGATATCAAATGACCCAAAACATTAACCTGTGTAAAAAGTTGGATCAGTGATCATAATGAAAAGAACTTTAAGTTCTTTTGAAAACATGTTTTATTTGAAATTGAACTCTTAAACGTAGTGTCAAAACATGTCAAAATGTCAAACTCCCTTTCCAAAATTGATGATTAAATTTGTTTATTAGTTATCATATTCAGTGATAAGAAGAACTAAAGAAAATATTTGTCGACCAAAGACAGACAGACAAACAGACACATATATAAGAACAATCGTCTTGAATGTGACGTTAAACCCATTTCATCTCACCTCAACGTTTAATTTCAATGCACATTTGTGAAGTTTTCAATGATAAAATTGTTTCATTGTCTTGTTTCTTCCCAGCTTCCGTATTGATGGTCAGACTGGTGCTATTACCACACTTGTTCCTCTGGACTTTGAGACCCAGAAACAGCATGAGTTCACAGTGAGGGCCAGTGACTCTGGGGCTTCACCCAGGGCAAATGTAGCAACAGTTGTTGTCAGTGTCATTGATACACAGGACAGCATACCACTGTTTGTTAACGTTGACTATGAAGGATCGATACAAGAAAACCTCAACGGAACATCTGTCCTCACAGTTTCGGTAAATTACTACTGTGAATCATTTCACCTTTGCTTAAATATGTTCATCCATCTGTGAACACCTTGAAATGTTCCTCCAATACCATGATATTTCATGAAATATTTGTTAATCCAGATGGCTCCATGACCTCAATGACCACGTATTCACTTTTAAGGCTCTTTCCTCCCACATGATTGTTGCATTCATCAAGATGAACCGGTGTGTAACATAAACGTTTGTGATTTTCAGGCAATTGATGCAGACCAGACAGACAACATTGTCTACCAGTTTGCTGGCGGAGAGTTCCAATCATTTTCCATCAACCCATCAACTGGTGTTATCAGTACTGTCATACCACTAGACTACGAAACTAAGAACCTGTACACTTTGACCGTGACAACATCTGATGGGGTGAACACAAACACTTTGTCATCCACTGCCACTGTCACCATCAGTGTTATTGTAAGTAGAACTTATTGGTTGCCACTATTTTATAGATGATCAGGACCTAATATACCTCAGGTAGATATTGTAACATTTTCAAATTGTATTGTCAGAAGGGATTCTCTATTCAAAAACTATAAAATCTGTTTACATATGAGTTACATAGTTGATCTTGTTGATGCCACATAAGTAGAAAATTGCCAAACTCAATTTCTGTATTTCAGGACCAAAATGACTTTACCCCAGTGCTAAGAACCACCAATGGTGTTGACGCTATCACAGTATTGGAGAATCTAGCTATCAGTGAACAGCTGGTAGACATTGATGCAGCGGACAATGACCCACCGGTAAGTAGAGCATGCAGAAAGGTTTCGTTTAATGTTAACTGGTTTCGTACAGGCTTGAAAAAGCCTTGAATTTTAAGGTCCCTCTTGAAAAGCCTTGATTTTTTTGGTGTGTCAACCATGAAAAGCCTTGAAAATCACCAAATTAGCTTGAAAAGCCTTGAATTTGTACAAATTGACTGGTTAATCAATTATTAAAGCATAAAAAAATATGTACCAAAGATGTTTAATTGAGATTTATCCCAGTGTTAGATTTGTGTGACAAACACCCTGAAGAATTCACGAAAGACTTAAGTTATTCTTTTGTTGGGTGAAAAATAAATCTTCTTTGAAAATGTGTGATGGTCATACTGCTCTTTAGGTCTTATGACTAATATATAGCATGCTGAATTTAATAATGGCAGCCTTGAAAATCCTTAAAAAGGCCTTGAATTTTGGTGTTTACATCTTTATGAGCCTTGGTTAAGCATGTTAAGTGTGGCAGTTGATTGTAATTTGTTAGAATGTTGTACTTTGGGGATGCTGTATTAACTTTGGTTTCCTTATGCAATTTTATTGTAATGTTTCAGAACACCCCTAACAGCCGTGTGATGTTCAGTATCGGCAGTGTGGTACCCACCTCTGGCAGACCACTGTTCTTTATCAACCCCACCACAGGACAACTTGTGTTGAGCAACCCATTCACTGATGACCCTGGTGTACCTAGATATACGGTGAGGCCTAGTTTTAGGTTACTGGTTTTGTTTCTCATATACCAATACAAACAGTGTCATCCCTTTACATGTTTCAGTTCATTACAGTAATTACAGTGTAGCGGTATGTAACATTGTTTTAGGTCACCGTCGTAGGCACCAATGAAGGAACTCCACAACGAGCTGGAGTTATCACTATAACAGTAACGGTGATCAGGAACACGGCGCCTGTCTTCAACCCCACTACTCTCCAGGCTAATATTGATGAGAACAGCATCACTCAGGTCGTTCCCGTCATCACAGCCACTGCCACTGATACTGACACTGCTGTGAGTACTTTGTTATACATTTTTATGTTCCATATATCACACTCATAAAGTATGCAATGTCATCCTAATTCAGATATGTTTTGAGAAATATCTATTTTAGAGTGTTAAACACATAGAACAATTACATTTATCTGGAAGAAATAGATGTACACTAACATGGGTTTGTTAAGCTACCAAATCCTCTGAGACCACCAGTACCCTTTGACTTATTGCAGACCCCCTTCAATGTGCTGACCTACACACTGCGTGGTGATGGACCTGCTACTGAGTATTTCCAAGTCAACTCTGCCAGTGGAGAAATTCAAACCCGAGCCTTACTATCGTCAACTGCTGACAGATCATTCACTGTATGTTGTGTCATAAGAAACAACTTATTGTGCAGAGTGACAATACTAAATCTGGCATGAGTTTATATGTTGTGCAGTATATGTTCAGGAATATGTACAACAACTGACAGATCATTCACTGTAAGTTGAGTGATAACAAACATCTTATTGTGCAGAGTGACAATACTAAACCTGGCCTGAGTTTATATGTAGTGCTACAACTGATCAGGAATATGTACATTTATGGTGCAGTGTATGTTCGGGAATATGTACAAATATTTCTATTATTAAAGCTAAGTATTGAGGATCACTTCTCTCTATCATGTTTGTATCAACTTTTTCAAGACTACATTTCATATTCATATTGAGAATAATGCAATATATGCATCACAATGATAACATGTCCTGTATCTGCTACATGTGTACTCTACAGCTTCGTATTCGAACAACCGATGGCGGTGGACTGTATGCTGACTTGCAGATTGATCTTACTGTCAACAAGAACCTCAATGCACCCAGTCTGAATCAACAGAACTATACTGAGACCATCTTTGAGAATCGTGCTTTGGGATCTGCCATTGTTACTATCAGGGCTACTGATGCTGACAGACAGGTAGAGTAAAAACATCTTTTCATTCTTTCTTTTTATCATTTTATTTTTGTATTGTGTGATCACGTAATGATTCTGTTGTTATACTTCTATACTTGATATTTTCTCATTGAATGTGTTTTGTTTTACAGCCCCCTCACAATCAGCTGTCTTACAGTATAACGGGAGATGCCACTGCTCAGCAGTTCTTTGCTGTCAACAGTCGGGGTGAGATCTACCTTATTAGATCTCCTGCAGAAAACCAAGCTATCAGCGCATTTAATGTGAGTTCCACTAAAACTACTTTTGGAGTTACAGAGCTGTAAAAAACTTTATTCAGTGGGTACCTTAATAATGCATCTCACAACCACATTTGTCTTTCACCGTAGTTGTTTACAAAACTCAGGTCCACTGTTGATACATGGTATTGCATATTGTACAGACGCAGTGACTTTCCTTTGTTTCAGATGATCGTGGAAGTCCGTGACCAAGGCCTTCCAATCAACAGGCCAGCAAATCCCAACCCAGCCTATGTCATCATCAATGTGATACGCAATGCCAACCCACCCGTCTTTTTCACTGGAGAATACAACCGGGTCATTCCAGAGAACACTACAATAGGCCAGTCTATTGAAAGAGTAGTCGCTACAGATACTGATACGCAGGTACTTGTTCATTAAGAAATATCGTTTACTGACTAATAGTGTAAACTACATGTATGGACGATGGTAATTTAATAGACCAAACCAATATTCCAATGATTACATCCATTTGATACATACAATGTGTTGTATGATGATATTTATAGATTGATTGATTTTATCATTTATATTTGGGTTATATTGAAATTACTATTAACACATCACAATAAACAAGTCATAATTTCTTGTATACTTAAAGATCAATTTGTCTATGTAAAGAAAGACAAGTGAATTTTCAATACCAATTATTGAGTATCAGATGACAGATAAAGAAAAACATGACTTGGATCAAACAAAAGGATGCCGTTGCCAATGTCTTCTAGTTATATATAGAAAGTAAACTGAAGATCAACTTTACGTAGTACTTCTCAGTAGTGGTTGCAGATTACTGATCAAGTCAAATACTATTTAAAGGTCGCTTTTCTTTTAACATTACAGGGAAACTTTGGTACACTGAGATACAGCATTATTGGCGATGGGACTGCTGATGACATCTTCCAAATAAACGAGAACAGTGGCATTGTTTCAGTGAAAACAAGCCTGACAACCACACCCATCAACGACTTCACAGTAAGTATGAAGAAGCCTCATTCAGTGAATATATGTAAGGTGTTTAGATAAGTTTTAAGCAAGTTTTTATCTAGGTATTTACTTGCAGAAGTCATGATAAACAGGTTAGTTTTCCTTCTTGGTTCCTTTTGTAGTCTCACTTTTCTGTGTTGATTTTTTCCAGGTCCGTATTGTGGCACAAGATGGCGGATCCCCTCCACGGTCTGCCACAGCACTGCTGTATGTAACAGTTACAAGAAACTTTGCACGGCCACTTTGGAGTTCTGCAACGTATGCGACCAGCATCCCAGAGACAGCCCAAGTGCTTGAGAATATCCTGCGTGTCACAGCCACAGATAGCGATGCTCAGGTATTGATGACCTCCCTTGAAAAAATCCAAGTTACTAATGTGTTTGAGTTGTAACATTGCATCATCAAGTTTTGAACATTATTACAAACGTCATATCTTACATTTCAGCCCCCCAACAATGAAGTGTCCTATGAGCTTGTAGGAGATGCCATTCAACTGTATTACTTTGAGATTGTCAGTTCCACTGGCGATATCCGCCCCAGGCGTCCGCTCACACTGGATACATCCAAAAGAAGTCGGTTTGATGTGAGTTGTTAAAGGAATATGACTTCCATATACACATATTAATCTGCTTTTGTTTGATTTATTCTTCATTCATTTTTCTGATGTACCTACCTGTAATCATGATATAATCTAGTAAGATCAGAGAGAGATTTCCTCAATGTCATATCACTCTGTACTAAGAATATATGGACCTTTTGAGAGTTTGAACTTGCTTGTTTCAGTTTGTTGTGAACGCTCGAGATAATGGCAGCCCACGTCTCAGTGCTGCATTCAATGCCACTGTGACAATATCAGTGTACAGAAACAACAATTCCCCTCGGTTCATCCAGGATCCCTACTCCATTACAGTAAATCAGGGCCTAGGCAGCGGCACGGTGATCTCTGTCAGGGCAGTTGATGATGACCCTACTGTAAGTGAAATCACCACGAATATTTGGCAACTATTAATAGGAAAAAGACTGATCTTGATCCTGTGATCATTAAATAGCTGTAAGTGCATTGCTTTGATGGGCCAAGACTTACCCTTTGACAACTATGTCAGGCTATGATGAACTTTTGTAACAAGATCATTTAGTAATTTCCATATATTTCTTCTGTGGAATAACTCATTGCATTTTGCTTCTTAAATTCTTTACTTGTGACATACCTGTATTAAAAGTAATGTTAATAAAGATATTAATAAAACAACTGAAGTATTATCCTCTAATAATAATAAATGACATTTTACATGATATTACATCATTAATGAAACTTGAAGACATTTACTGTTTTCTTCCATTTTATTTTTGTCAGAAGGGGTTTACACTGTCATATATTCCATATTTCCTTCACAGACTGAATTCAACCAGATCACATATTCCATTAAGGGTCCAGCAAACGTTCTAGCTCTGTTTACAATCGATGGGTCAGGCAATATTCAGCCAACAAACCCTGCAGCTATCAACAGTGCCTCCCAGACAAGTTATAAGGTATTTGTGAAACCTAGTATCCCATTTTTTGCTGATAGGGACATTGCATAAATGACACAGGTGTCGGAGTCGTGTCACAGTTTGCAAGTGTCAAACTCTGAGGGTACTGACTTGGAAATACTACCTGCAGTTCCCATTATGTAACGATGTGCGGGAGGGGTTGCAGTCGTAAGAAGTCTGTTTCAAGACTTGATCAAATCTATAAGATTATACTTATTTTAAGCACTTCCAAACGTTAGTCCTTTTTGCATTATCTTGATGTGCAATCTTACAGATTTATGTGCGAGTCGAGGACAATGGCAGTCCCAAACTGTATGACATTGCCCTTGTTGAGCTCACCATCAACCGGAATCTGAACCCGCCAATCTTCAACCCAGTCAGCTATGAAGAGACCATTCTGGAGACAAGGGCAATTGGAGACGTTGTTGTCAGAGTGACAGCTACCGATGTTGATAACCAAGTAAGCGGATGTCGTATGTTGAAATATAAACTGTCAAAAAACTTATACATTTGCGTCAGTAGACACAGTAGACTCTCTATCTCTTGTGAGTTGAAAAATGTCCTGTAAGAAACTGACTTATTTGCGACAATAAATAGATTTCTCCAGCCATTTTGTGTGTTGAAAGATATTTTTTATATGAAGATAGTTCAGAATTAGGTTGATTGAATTGGAAGTTAAGTGTGTTTTGAACTGTGTTTGTTTAGCTTCTTTATGTTTACAAATCATATCTCTTTCAGAACCCAAACAATGAGATTACATTTTCTGCCTTTGGATCCGGCCTGGCCTTTTTCAATGTCAACAGCCAGACAGGAGAAGTAACAGTTGTCAATAACCTTGTCCAGGATTCTACCACAAGATATCAGGTGACTAAGCTTTCTCCAAGATCAACTGTTGCTGTAAAATGTCGATGTAATTCTGTGAAACTGTTGTAATGCTTGATCATCTCTTCTTCTGTCTGTTATCTGTTATCTGTTCACCATCATATCTGAAGCTGAAAATAGATTTGACTTATATTATATTGAGTTTATTATAATGTATCCAGTGCAATGTTTGGGAACAGGGGGACCTGATCCAATATTTTATTTTATGTTCTTCATATATTCATGTTTAGGCTTGATATGACCTTTGAAGTAGGGCTGGGAGGGGTAACTTGGGTACCCGGGTCAGGTGGATACTGAGTAGGACCCAAGTACCCACAGGACTACCCGGACCCGTGGTTAGTCACATGATATATTGTTTAATGGCAAAAAGTATCTAGAAATCTATGGTTACACTACAAATCACTAATGTTCGCATTTCTATCTGACTATGCACCAATTCCTTCTGACTTTTCATATGGTTGAATAAAGATATAACTTAAGTCAGCTTCAGTTTATGCATGACCAGATTGTTTAATACATGTATCTAAATACGTTTTGACAGGGCCATGGTAAAAAAAATGCCCAATCAGACATGTTGTACCTATCTCTTGAGACCTACAGTGGGTACCCAGGTAGGGTTGGGTAATAGGGGGTAGATACCGGGATAGTAAATTTGGACTCAATTATTACCTCAAATAGGGCTCAAACTGGCTATATATCACAGGCACCAGTGCAAGTGTGTGTAAAAAAATTCTCATTTTTTTCTAACTGATAAACCCTTCCTTGTCCAGACATGTCTAAACTTTATTTTTACCATACTACATAACTAATTCCGGTGTTATGTAATTAATGACAAATGACACAGTCATCAGAGAACTGATTTTACTTTTTTGTAGACTAGTTTATGCATCTGTGTTTTGGGACCAGGTGCAACCTGGGTTTGTCCGGTGCAACTAGCTTTTCATGTCAAAATGCACCTGGTGCAAGTTAATATCAAGTTCCTTTAAATCGAGCCCTGCATACATCTCCTTGACACAAATTGTCTTTGATAAGTATTGAACTAGTTCTTTTATTTGGTCACAGCTGTAGTTGTCCAGCCAAATAAGTCAACATCACTGATCATAAGGGAATCTAACATCACATAATGATGGATATATATTGAACACAAATTAGGACATCTTGTTTAATTTGTTAACATTTGAGTAGAGTGATTGTAATGTGAGCACATAGTTGTTCTAATCAGAGGGATTGCAGAGTAATTGTAAAGAAACAACATTGTTGGTCTAATCAGAATGATTGTAGAGTGATTGTAGAGTAATTGTAAAGAAACCACATAGTTGGTCTAATCAGAGGGATTGCAGAGTAATTTAAAGAAACCACATTGTTGGTCTAATCAGAGTGATTGTAGAGTAATTGTAAAGAAACCACATAGTTGGTCTAATCAGAGGGATTGCAGAGTAATTTAAAGAAACCACATTGTTGGTCTAATTAGCCTGTATGTTCTTAAGCTGACAATCCAAGCTCAAGATAAAGGTGCCAGCCCTCTGTCGTCAGCCCAGCCTGCATCTGTCACTATCAACGTTGTGAGGAACCAGGCCTCCCCAGTGTTTGCACAGACTCCTTACGACACCACTGTGTTGCGAACAGCAGGAGCCAACACACCAGTTGTCACTGTAACTGCTACTGATGCCGACACAAGGGTACGTTCCTTACTGAAACATTGAGTGATTGTCCTTATTGTTTGTATGTCCATATATAGCTTGTTTTCATGTTTGTCTGTTATATATTTGTCTTGTAAATGTTTCAGAGTCCCTACAATGAAGTCACATATGGTATTGCCAGCATGACTATCAACAGATTCCAAATCAACCCATCAACAGGGGAGATAACTCTCACACAAGCTATTGCCTCAGATTCTCAGGCTCAATATGGGGTAAGAAATTGTTTACAGTTCAAGAAGTGGTCAAATTGTTTTCCAGGTTTCCATTCACTTTTTTTAACACTTCTGTATATATTTATGCTTATGATTTGTATTTTCTATTTTTAGGTAACAGTTTTCGCACAAGATGGAGGAAACCCAAGGCGTGTGACCTACAACACATTTACAGTGGGAGTTGATCGTAACCTAAATGCACCATTCCTTATAAATCCCTCTGGACCAAACTTTGAAAATTCCACCACAGTACTGGAAACTATTGGATTTGATTACCTTATCTATGATGTGGATGCCTTTGATGCAGATTTATCGGTAAGAAGGGTATTCATTTAGGTACATATTCTGCTTTAGAGTTCAGTTGAAATTTGCCTCCTGCTGTGTATCGTTTGTTTTAGACATATCATGGATGTCAAGTTCTTTATGATCCTGTGGAAGTAGTTTGTTGTTGTTTGTTTTATCATATACGTATTACCTGTGTTTTGGTAAAGGCCAAGAATATGCATACATCTACAATAGAATGTTGTCAGACTAGGTCTTCCACGTGTATTGTAAATGAAGATACATTCATCCAGATTTATGAGGAAGATGCATTGAAATTATATAGTAGTAATGTATTGTGTTATAAAATATTGAGGTGGTGCTATTTTGTTTCTGTTGTGTACAGGACCCATACAAGTCTCTACGCTTCTCCATCATTGGAGAAAATACTGCTCCAACCTACTTCCTGATAAACCGCGACAGTGGTGAGATCCGTCTCAAGTCCTCTCTGCTTCAGGACACCCTCCAGACTCTCCAGTACAGAGTAAGTACAGTGATCAAGTACAGTATAAGTTTGTTACTACCTATGATATTGGCCATTAAAAATTTATTTATTTACAATCTCTAATTTGTTTGTTTTTGCAGCTGGTTATAGCTGTAACAGATGGTGGCGATCCACCTAGGCCTGCCCCTACCACTGCCACCATTACAGTTAATGTCATTCGCAATCTGAATACTCCACGCTGGGTCAATGAGCCTTACAGTGCCACGATTGATGAGACAATTGGTGCAAATGTCAACATTGTCAATGTCCTGGCAGTTGATGATGACACGGTATGCATGTTTTCTGTTGTATATCACCAAACTCTACATTCAGTGATAGGACTGAAATGCATAGAGTTGTAAATGTTGACTACTTGTTATCGATTACTTTTGTTTGTCTGCTGCTTATCACAACATATAATGTATATATATATACCTCTCATCACTTGGTTGGTGTCATTCCAGCTTGATAACAGTGTCAGAATATACATTGAAATGCTGCTATATGCAATAAGGCTGAAATTGTCATCCATAAAGTTGTATGTTTTCTTAGTGACTGAAATATGTGTGCGATCCAATACTTGTACCACGATGGAATACGTATGGCTCCTTAGCATAGCAAGGGCTGGATTATCATATGTCTATTGTGACAGTGTATCATTTCAGCCCTAAAATATACATTAACTGCAATTTTGCAAAGTAGACACACTTGTTGTTATCCATAAATTGTGTCTACTTGTCATCCGTCAACTTCTAAGTAATGTCTATCAAACAATGCAATTTTGCAACATAACAGTAATTGAGATGGTAATGAAATAATTGAAGATATTGCTTTGATAAATTAAAAAACAAGAGCAAAACATTTCATTGTAGTAATTGACTTTATCCCCAGAATGCATTCAACCGTGTGAGCTATGCAATCATCGGAGACGGCACTGCATCAGCATTCTTCGACGTGACGCCAGGAGGTACTATCATCAGAAAGCAGTCACTGCAAAGTGTTTCTGACACTCGGTTCTATGTAAGTTTTACTTTTTACATTATCTGAAAATATAGGTGCACAAGATAATAAGATGTAATATAATACAACAGTAAAAATCTTACTGTAGGTGTAATTACTAGGATACTATTTTTGTCTCTTGTTTTGTACTCAATCAAGGCTTGTTTGTTGTCACTGTTGGCATAAGTCCGGATTTGTTTTGAAGAGCGAGATGAATGCTTCTAACAAAAAACTTTACCTGGTAGTTCACATGAAATATTATTTTACAGTTGAGAGTTGTTGCCTCTGACAATGGTGTTCCTCCTAAGACCAACACAACTGTGGTGTCAATCATCATCAATCGCAACCTGAACACACCTACCTTCTCTCAGCTGGTGTTCACAACAGAGATTGATGAAACTACAGAAGTAGGCACGGCAGTTCTGAGGATCTCGGCCACTGACCAAGATTCCGTGGTATGTGTATTTACACACTCCGGCGCAGTGATGCCTCAGCATTACATCACTGCCACAGGCTAATTTGCACATCACGTGACCAGACTTTTTTAAGCGTTGGTTGTATTTTGAAATTTAAGCTGTTAAAAAACTGATATATTTGTGTCATTAGACAAACTCTATCTCTTGTGAAATGAAATATGTCCTGTCAGAAACTGGCGTATTTGCAACAATAAATGAATTCTTCAGCCCTTTTGTGTGTTGAAAGATTTTAAAACTGTTTTTTTAGCTTTTGATTCCTGCGCAAGGGTGTATAAACTGTCTGATTGGTTAAAGTTCTTCATAAGCATCAGCTTAAGTATTATAAATTTGATTATCCTCAATAGAATATGAAATTGAACCATGATTTTATGTTACGATGTGTGTCATGTGCAGGGTTTATGAAGAGTCATGATGTTTTCAGAACATATATTTTAGCCCTAAGACAAGTTCAGTTGTATCAACGACATATAAGTTGTTATGTTATCCATGGTTCGATTGTTTACAGGTCGCCAGTGCATTGCAGGAGAGCTACTGAGTGGAGTTACAAACATACAAACACTTACTATTTGTGTAAGTGGCGGGTGCTACCGCTAGACTAGGACACTACCTTTCCGCGAACGCCTGGTCTCATCACTGTTTTACAGTGATCCATTTATATATTTTTCAGAACTATGTTGTCTTTTACGCCCAAGGGAACCTGTTGCGGCAGATAATCAAGACTGATTATGATTGTTTTGGGTTTGGATGTATTTCTTAGACAGGTGATGTAGCTAAAGTCAAAACGTTGATGACTACCGTGGATGTGATTGGTCTCACAACAATTTCCACCAGTGGCTTTGGTTGTTTTGATAAAATGTGTTAATATCTTCTTTTTCCTTTCTGGTGTCCATTGCGTTACCTGATTGTAACCTTGATTTCTATGCTCGATGAATGTTTTCCAAGACCAAATTCACTCACGACTAGTGTTATAAGTAGGACAGGATATATGAACTGCTTTCGAAAACAACTGTTACGGTTTACATTGATTCATGAGTATAGAAATAAGAATTCCATTTTGTTTGTTGACTTTTTTGCTGTCTGTTGTGACAGATTCATCAACATAAAGACACGTGTACATAGAAGGTATTGAAGTTTTAATGTCTTCTTAATCCAGGCCCCATACAACACTGTGCTGTATGAGATCAACAGCCTCCTGTCCAGCCCTCTTGGACGCCTGTACTTCATGGTGGACCCAAACACTGGCGACGTCAGCCTTAGGTGCTATCTGGAATCGGACACAAGTAACACTAGTGTATACACAGTGAGTTGAATCACCACACATTAATGAAAAGCAGAAAATCACATCAGTTTGAGATATAAATATAAATATAATTTTGCTTATTCTAATTGTCAATGTCATAATTATCAAGAGATCCCGTATTCATATTCCCCGTTTGAAGTCCGGGGAAGAATAGGTCCCAGCACATGGTCCTGGTCTGTAATGTTATGCTAGATAATAGACCTGCAATGTTAGTGAGTGCGACATAAAATAACATTCACACACTCATTTGTAACGGCTCTTCATCTGTCCCACTATCCACCAACAAACACCGTGTCCCTGCCTGCCTGCAACATACTGGTCGGAGTCTTACCAGCTTGCTGATGGAATTTGAATGGAGATTATACACATTTATTTTGCTTATACTATTAGGTTGCAGTATTTTAGCAACATTATATGTTGCCTGTTTTCCAGCTGGTTGTTGATGCAGTAGATGGAGGTGGTAGAAAGGCAAACCTGCCTGCCAATGTTAAAATCACCATGGACAGAAAGACACCGCTGCAGCCAACTAAGGACAACAATACCATGTCACTCAGAGCCTCTGTCTGTTGTCAGGAACCTCTACCACCGTACTGGGGTGGAAGCAGTAAGACTTATATCACTTGAGTACTCGGTGCCAAAGGTACTCGAGTTCCATCATATAAAACAATGATATTTAAACAGTCACAATTTGCTAAATACTTAAATTTACAATACGATCTGGTTACAATATGTCATAAGCGTCTTCATCTGTCCGAGGTAGATTTCAATGAAGAGGAAAGTCTTCACACATGCAAAAAATATTCTGTGATTATTTGTATTCCTGCTGAGCACTTTACTTTGCTGATACTTCAGTGCTACTTTTCAATGATCTGATGAAATTAATTTTAGTAGGTTGATATTCTCCCTTAAGGGAACGACCATAAAACTTGCAAAGGAAACTGAAATCTAGAAAGTGTCAGTCCATCATCTATTCACGGGGTCCGGTACATGCCAGTGAGTGAGTTGGATGGAAGTGTGTGTCTGTGAATATATATTTATCACTGTGTTCATATTTACATGTATTATTCGTATTTGTGTTGTCAGTTGTCAAACTATGCTTCGATTCATAATTATATATTGATATCAATATTATATTTTACAATGGTTAACACATATACTTTTTCTTCAGAACAACTGTTTTGCTCAACCATTTCCAATGCTGTTTTTGCAGTTGACACAAACGATGTGCAATGGTAGAATATTATTGTATGTGTATTCTAGTCATTTGTGTATTCAATCATCTTTTGCACTGAGGGAATACAATATCGGAATGTTATATGTGTATGAGGAAGCAAGTATCATGCAAGGGGGGTAATGATTATCCAGTATTTATTTATTTATTTATTTATTTATTTATTTATTTATTTATTTATTTATTTGTGCATTTGTGCATTGCTTTTCCTGTGCATTTGTGCATTGCTTTTCCTGTGCATTTATGCATTGCTTTTCCTGTGCATTTATGCATTGCTTTTCCTGTGCATTTATACATTGCTTTTCCTGTGCATTTATGCATTGCTTTTCCTGTGCATTTTGTAATTAGGTATTATAACATACACCATATATGTTTAACTTGCAAAGTGACTACCGTAGGTGTTAACTATTAAGTAAGATGTCAGATGAATTAGAAACATTGCTTGGTAAGAAATTGCATTATGTTTGATTCTCTCATAATGTCATTGCTAAGAAATATTACCAAACAAGTTATACTGTGGGTATAAAACTGACCCTTTGCCGTAGCACTGTTTTTATCATGATAAATATGAAAAGAGCTTTGTCGCTTTTATGTAACCCTGGGCTTGTTCGTTCTCTCTTTTTTCAGGGATCCAATCATATGATTGTCAGCGCTATTTTGCCTTGTTTACGCCCAATAAACCCTGTCACTCCAAACTATCTCGCGTAGGCTGATATCACCATGGCAATCTGGAGTAGCTTTAGGACTTAATGTTTCATGAATAATCACTGTTGCTTTCTACAATTAACTGCGTTTTACTGTTTTCTGATAGAGCATCCATGTATCAGGTAAGTCACATCAAATGTCACAGGTAAGCATAAACGTGAACCAAGGATATGCCACACCCCGCCGAACAATGGACATGACGCACCCTAATAAAATGCCTATGGGTAATGGCGGCCAAGACAAAGAGTCGACCCATGAAAGAGATTGGTGAGCTGGAAAATATACAGTGGGTAACATACTTGTATATGTCCCAAAGTGATTTCTTTCGTCAGTTGAATACCATAAAGAAGCATGGGTTCCTGTCGTGTATTCACCAAGCCAGCAGTATTGGGGCAAATCAAACACACTTAGAACTTGTTCAAAGTTCAACCAGATAGGAATCTGCTGATAGAATGCCAAGGGGAGCCGTGCTTCTCGATTATAGCAGGTCATATCGGGGCCTTCCTCACGTTCAGCTTCATTCAACAAAAAGGTAAAACATGTAAGTTATACAATTATAGATAAAGAAATAATAACATGAAAGTTGATTCATCATCTCAATTTGGTGTATGGTAGTGTATTAACGCTCGTCATACTCATTTGAGAACACTGTGAAACATTACAGATTTATGTGCGGACCGAGGACAATGGCAGTCCCAAACTGTATGTCATCGCCCTTGTTGAACTCACCATCAACCGGAACCCGAACCGGAACCGGAACCTTCTAGAGACCAGGCCAACTGGAGACGTTGTTCTCAGAGTGACATCTTCGGATGCTGATAACCAGGTAAACGGTTGGTGTAAAGTCTGTTGCTGTCACTCAGACATAACCAGTCATTATCATTACCAACTGCTGATTGTGTCAGAGAGTAGATATTTGTTTAAGAAATATTGTTTTTATTTCATTATGTCCACTATTCACGAGCTGGTTCTAACAATCATGACATTGCAGCTTCGGATCAGATAACTGAAAAAGCGAATGTGGCATGCACGACACAACCGCGCGTTTACAGTGTCAGTAGGTTTAAGGAAAATGCATTTATCTAAAATATGTGATACACCCTACCAGAAAGAAGACACAACTGTAATAAAGCGGTTAAGCATAGATATAGGCAATAATTCAGAACTCCGATTTTCAACGTCCACATTTGATAAAACATTTTATTCGGGTTTTTTTGTATTTTGTACAGGACCCATGTGACCGATCGAAAAGGAGTCGCCCTACCTGTTTCCTGACACACCTGGAGGCATCCCCAATATTCAAAGTGTCCACACTCTCTCACACACGCACACACACGTAGGGCCCCCAATATTAAACATGTGTAAGAAGTCGACTTATGAGAATCGGATGGTTACAGAGTTTGACCTGGTTGATTGTGTGTCAAAGTGTATGGTTGTTCATTACTTCAGTCACTAGTTTGCCCGACCCGTGAAGATCCGGGTTAGAATAAGCCTTCAGCAACCCATGCTTGTCTTAAAAGGCGACTAAAGGGATCGGGTGGTCAGACTCGCTGACTTGGTTGATGCATATCATCGTATCCCAATTGTCTTGATTCTATTCTTTACAGACCGCCGTCACATAGCCAGAATATTGCTGAGTCGGCGTTAAAAAACAACAAACAACCAGTTTTCCTGGTACAGATTTGTTTGTTTACAGACCGTAACTAGCTGCAATATATCTGCATTCGGCATTAAAAACGCATTCACTCAGATCTTGTGTACATCTTATGAATTAATTCACATATTTGTAACACAATAAACAATTGTTGTTAAATTGTTGATTGTTGTCTCTCAATATAAGGATTCCTGTATATTGATGAGTGAGTGAGTGAGTATGGTTTTACGCCGCTTTAAGCAATATTCCAGCAATATCACGGCGGGGGACACCAGAAATTGGCTTCACACATTGTACCATGTCGGGAATCGAACCCGGGTCTTCGGCGTTACGAGCGAACGCCTTAACCACTAGGCTACCCGACCGTCCCTTGTATATTGATGATTATTTAGTCTCAAGTAACCAAGTACTATAACCCAGAAATACACGTGTCAACCTTGTAACACTGTCCAATGTAACTGTATAGTCATCTCTTTTCCAAACAGCCGGTATCATCATTGTAATTTGACGCTACATGTTGGCCACTTAAAGACCACAAAACGACATTTTCTTTTGGACAGCGTGTTTCAAACGCTTTTCAGACCTCACCCAGCAATATCTACCTAAGTTATAACTGTAATCACACTGGCCCCATACGTTCATACAGCATCTATCAACAAATTGCATAATACTCTTCATTCGCATCTATATCAAACACTCGTTTCCGTTATGAAATTCTGGACTTCCTCATTGATGTCATCTATGTAAAATGTGGGGGTAAGACATTGAGCCAAGAAGTAGGCATCCCCATGGGCGCCAGTTGCGCTCCCCTTTCTTTATGCATTTGAATGAGAATGTCTGCTCGGATTGGCAAAGTCAAAACAAGGCAATTTTGCCATGACATTCAACATAAGCTTCAGGTACATTTGTATATCGATGATCTGATGTCGTTCAAGAAACATCAAATACCAATTCCCTTTCACCGATTTACCCGTGGATGGACCTCTGTGTGAAAACCACAAGCATGGCGTAGACGGTAATAAAATGATTGAGCCACTCCATCATGTCACTTAAGATACTGTGTTTGTGCCAAAGCTGGGCATCCACTGGCAATATGTTGGACAGTCTCAATAAATTCATTTCATACTCTACATTTCATTACATTACATTTTGATGCAAAATCACACATTGGCGGTTTCGAGTGGGAAGTGACTGGTCATGAGCAACAAACAGAAAGCCTTCTGTTTCACTTTTCAGGCCAGCCGACTTCATCCAAGCGAAGGGTTCCGCAGGGTTACTGATTGATCCTCTCCACACACTGCAAATAAATTCGATGCAGTGGTCGTTCGTCAGATAGCCTCTTCTTGAAAAACTTAGTCTGGGTGATTTGATATGGCACTTCACATGGTTGACACTCATTTCTGTACCGTCCAGCAGTACAGTACCTTCAACAATATCAACATTGACATTGAGATTATGTCCCTCATCCTTTGCTCGTAGAAGAAAACTCTGGAATGCCTTGTTTTCATCATGAGTCTTCACATGCTTCACAAGAGGATCATCAGAGAAATGAATGTGTGTAAAAGTGCACAATACAATTATATCATGAAGAGCCTCCACGTTAATTAAACCACGCCCTCCCATTATGATTGGTTAATATACGCGACTGAGGGAAGAGCGAGGGTAGTGAGATCTATTGTCTGACATGATTCTTCATGTAAGGGTGTCAATACCCTGAATTTCTCGTTTCATCCAATCAAAAGGACCAAAAGAATATGAAAGGCGATTACAGCATAAGTATTGGTTGTTTTAACTTGACTGCGAGTGTTCAGCTCTGAACTCAAGATTTTCAACTGCATATGTGCGTGTGCATGTGTGTGTCCGGATTAATAGAGATTCCTTTACGAGTCAAAGTAGACAATATATGGGTAACAACTTCTTTATTTACTGTAAAGCCTAAAGTGGAAAATCACTTACTCACACTAACCACTACAACTGCACTAAGACCCATTTCAGCCCATGTTTATCATAAATAGATTAATCAAAGTATGGCACTTTCGACATCAAGGGCCAACAGGCCTACTAGACAGGCTACAGGTGTTGGAACGGCACTAGTTGTCACACCCCAGCTTCACGTGTAGCCCTGTAGATTTATAGTGGGGGGTTTCTAACTTGAAGAAGACATCCCGTCTATACTATACCATGTCCATGTTTAAGTGCCATGGTGTCGTAAACAACAGAGGGCACGGGTAGCCCAGTCGTCTGGGGCGCCACAGTTCGGTATGTAGAATTGCGTCCCTATTCTTGAACCTATGATTGTTGGTTCGAATCCAAGCTCCCCCGATGTTTCTAGGATTGTCAGCACCATACCCGTGCCCGTGGCTGTCCCTAATGTGGTAAACGTCTGAGACCTGCATCACTTCGGGATTTCCTCCTACATTAAGCTGACACGCCGTGTTATAGATGGGATACTGTCCAAAGCGGCGTTAAACCCAACTCACTCACACACGTTAACAATATATACTGGAAAGCGAGTACCGCTTTGTATTGGCACGAGGGGCAAAGTCTGATCCATCAGCTGGCAAGTTATACGAATTCGGGTTTCTGGGATTCCAAAGGACTGGTAGGCTACACCCCGAAAGGTCAGGCCATTAATGTAGATATTATGCTGACCTGCTTAGGTAACTGTGTGTGACTTCCAAGGCTTAATGTCGCAGTGTCTTCAAGTAGGAGAATGCAATTGTTGTCACCATGGTGACAATGCATGAGTTCTTTCGTATTCACCAGATTTAGCACAATCAAATATCCACCTCTTCCCAAACTTGAAAGAACCTTTAGGCAAGCATTATGAAAATGATGATGATGCCATTCCTGTTGTGGGGGACTTTTCACACCAGGAGTGTTGCGGTCATAACAAAAAAAATATTTTTCCAAATTATTAAATTTTTTCTTTAATTTTCATTCCAAATTTAGCATGTACAAAATTATTATTTTATGAATGCCTCAGGAGTTTAGCCAAGAAGGTTACTCTGTTTAGCCTTCATGCCATGCATGCTATTCAGTTTCTGCGAGGATAGAATGAGGACCCATGTGGTCAGTAATAAAAAAGAAAGAAGTAAAAGTTAGAAAAGAATATGGCTCTACCAAAATGGTATGTTGTCATGCATTTGTATTTCTATTCCATGGTCAATATATTTCTAAAAGCAATTTTATTTCCCAAAATGCATTTGTAACTTTTCTGAAGTAATGATAATGTGTTCAGTTTTCAATCACTAATGTTTACATTCTATTAAATTTGAAGTATTTTCATCAAGTATTTTCAATTTAAATTACATCATATAACTTTATATTATACATTCTTTCTGTGCAAATGCTCTTGCAATTATTTTGGCACAATTTAATGTCCTCTGTCAACTTTTATTGTTTAAGTAATTGTCATACATTGTTATGGTTTTGTTTCCATATTGAACCGCAAACTTATGATTGCTTACCTTTCCTTTGCAGTCAATCTTCCAATTCCAAAGAGGGAATTTATTGATAATTGATGATGATGAGATGAGAATAAGAATGGATATGGAAATGAGAATGGTAGTTTTGATCTAGGATGAATTGACATTTATTGTGATCCATACAAGGAGGAAGGCTACTACACAAGTGAGGTTCAGGTACTCCATCATCGTTAGTAGAAGTGTGTTGACCTCGAATATTTTAATATCGTATAATTGGAAGACTCTATTAATGAAGTGTACAAAGTAAAACGAATGTTACCTATCTTTCCCAAATATCAATGTCCAGCTATATATCTCAAAGTGTAACCAGTGTATATACCTATCACCGTCCTTGCAACTTATACCCATATATCTCTCGAACTATACCCGTATGGATGTTACCTATCACTTCCCTTCTCTTGAATATCAGGTTATCTCTTGAAATGTTAGTACGCTTACCTCAAGGGGCACAACCCGGCTGTTAAATCGTTGTATAAAAACAACCGTTCAAGTGTTTTCGTAAAGGGCCATTTAACCGATGATTCCCTTATCCATAGCGGTGTAACGCAAGGTTGCGTGTTGTCGCCGACGTTATTCTCAGTTTTTATTTATGACTTGGTTGATGATATTAATGACCTGAACTGTGGTATCAATATTGATGGGTCTATGCTGAGTATGCTGTTATATGCCGATGACATCGCATGAAGACTCACTTTGATAGCGTATGCTGAATTGTGTAGATAACTGGTGCAAAAAACGGCGTTTAAGCATTCATATGAAGAAGACTAAAATTGTCCACCGTAGAATGCAAACTGTACACCAATCTAGCTATGTTTTTAAATGTGGACACGTTTGCTTAGAATATAGTCATGCCTATAAATATTTGGGTCTTTGGCCATATGAGCATATGACTTATATTTTACAGATAAGGAAATTGCAAAATCTGCAGGAAGAGCACTCAGCGCCATAATAGGTAAATTTAGATCGATTGGCGACATGCCTAACGAGATATTGAACTGTGTACAATAATCTTGTCCATCCCATTTTTACATACGGTTCAGCTGTATGGGGGTTCTGAAAATGCAGATGCACCAATGACAATCGGAATAAGGCATGTCGGTTTTTCTTTGGTGTGGGCAGAAAATCTCCTGGTCTGGCGATCCGAGGTGAGATGGGCTGTGTTTCGTGTTTCACTGAACAACGTATTGAAATTATTCGGGGTTTTCCTGGAGAGTATATACTGTTCCGTTTGATCGTATCATTAGTTCAAATAAAATTTGGTCTTTAAGATAGAGAGAATGGTGTTATCAAATTACAAAACACTCTTCATATACCACATGATAACATACATTATTGTTCGTTTCCTGATATTGAAGAAAAAAACCACTAAAAATAAGATTGATCACGAAATGTGGCTAAGAGGTCTTCGGGAAATCACAGGCTTAGTTAACGGTAATAAGCTTAGGACATAACAGGCAGTTCAAAACTACTCTCTTTCTCTCTGTGGAGCCTTACGTTCGCACTGTTATGTGTAGATCCCAACGTGGTATAGTAGCCTAATTCAGATGTGGAACTTTGACATTAGAAGTTGAGGTTGGTAGATTTACTAGACACCTTTAGAAAATCGTATATGCAAATACTGTAAAGGTCAAACTGTTGAGGATAAAGTACATTTCATAGCAAGCTGTGATCTTTATTCAGACATTAGATATTCGTTATGGAGATCTGTAACTGAGGTGTATCGTAACTTCCCGAAACTATCACGTGCTGACCAGTTGATCATTTTAATGCGTTCTGATGCCATTGTAAAATTACTGGCTGCCTATCTTTCTATGATGTTAAGACTGACGAAATCGTTTGTGTTATAATGATCTCTGTTTACTGATATTTAATATGTACATATTGTGAAATATTTACGATATTTATAGACGTGTAATTGGAAGCATGTAATGCTACGTTAGTATGAGTACGGAGACATGTAGGCGGTTATGCATGTAGTTACAGTTATAGTGGGATGGATGTAAGGGAATGGTAGGAGGATGTATGTATGTAACCTAGAATACGGATACAAGAGGGCGGATATAGTTATAGTTCGCTGGATGTTGGGGAATGGTGGGAGGATGGAGTCTGTATGTAAGCATGCGCATGGATCCATGATGGCTGACGTAGACATAGTCAGATTGTGGTAGGGATATGGTTGGGAGAGATGAATACGTGTATGTGTCTGTCAGTGTGTGTGTGGGGATGTGGGTGTGGGTGTTGTGTAAAAAGGTGCCCTTTTACAGTATGACACGTACCAATCGTTGTTGTAAACGAAGCCTTTAGTGACACCAAGAGCAACTTCACAACTTCCCTCTTGTCTCTGTTATCAACAGAATAAACAGAACTGTTGCTTCTTGCAGTAAGTTTCATTTACGTTCTAGTATTGCTGCCGGTCGGACATCACAGCAAGAAAACATGAAGACGTATGGGAAAAATCAGAGACGTTCAGTGGATATCTTTGAGTCGGGTGACCTATTCACAGGAAGGGGCGTTCCTCCACTGGTAAAGAAAAGAAAACGCACCAAATCCAAATCAATCTAAAAGATGAATGTCAAGACAAAAGCCTCTCGACAGGCTAAACCCAAGCTACAAACAAAAATCCTGTCTCAGATGGAAGCTACAATCAATCCAGTAAAGGCTGAAATATAGGCTGAACGTAACAGGAAGAACCCGCACACGCACGCACACACACACACACACACACACACACACGCACGCACGCACGCACGCACGCACGCACGCACGCACACACACACACACACACACACACACACACACACACACACACAAACACGCACGCACGCACGCACGCACGCACGCACACGCACAGATACATACACACACGCACGCACACACACCACACAAACAGACACACACACACACTCACACACATACACACTCACACACACACACATACCCATTTTGTTGATCGCTTTACTTTAAGAAAGGTTACAGAGTGAGAGTCTAACAGTTTAAAAGGGTATGTGAGTTTACAAATACAACAGATTTCATATGTTGTTAAGAGAGCAAATATTTTAGTATATTTGTCATGATGAAATATATAACAAATAAACAATTGCGAGTTCAAATTTTAAGATTCAGTTGCACTGTAATATTCGTAAATTCATTTTTGAATATTTTTTTGCGGGGGTAACAAAACTTGAAGAATGATAAGATATAATAGACTATATTTTATATATTTTATCGTATCATATATTAAAACTCATACAATTATCTTAAATGAATAAACATTAAATGTGTTTAATTATATGACTTAGTTCTAACACAAATAATGTCATAGGATCATTGTACATTATTGATGGTTTAATTGTCTGCTTATGTCTCTGGATACGTGACTTATGACAAGTGCAATTGGGTCGACAGACTCTCTCTGAGGCACGCCCTGGCGACAATGAAATCTACCGACTACAAAGAAACACCAAAATGTTTTAAAACCTTCCAAAACAGAATCCGGCTTTTTGTTGTGAAGGACAACAACCCAAACATATCTTGATAATATGTCAATACAAACGAGGAGGTAACGTATACCATCGTTCTGCTTGGTGTATCGCGATAAATCGGCTAAATCCAGGTCAAACATATCATTCATGAAATTCACTCTGACTTGTAGACGTCGAAATCTATGCTTGACTGGCTTGTGTAGGCTGTAAGCATCTCGATCGTTTAGAAACTGCTTCACGCGACTCAGTCTGAGCCGATCTTTGTCGCGTCTTTTCAATGTCTTATGGAATTTAACAGGTCCATAAAAAGCGCCAGGTTTACAGGAGTTAAAGTAATAATCTTCCAGAGTTTTCTTATCACTATCGCTAAAAGACAGTTGCTTTGACGTAGACATGATTCAAATGAATGAAAGTGAAACAGTCTTCTTGCTATATACAAAAACCATTTTATTAACAAATATATGGTTTCGCAGATTTATATATAAATTTTATGATGAGTAACATATATATTATTAGGATGAAATACATGTTATGTTCGTTACAGTGTATGTTAAACATACACACCTTCTAAATGTAACATTTTTACAACTCTCGGGTTCAGTTCATTGATCCATTGCGTTGTCTTGAAACTAGCATCACGATAGTCCTTACATTGTATTGACATAAAGTAAATGTTGAGACATCTTTAACGCACGGGTCGTCACGAACAAGCTGAATCCAGTTTTCAATGACATGATCATCGTTCAACTCACGCAAAGACATGTGGAAATACTGGTTGACTTTCTCTTCTTCTGTCATATCCCGACATTCACCAGTTGTGCATATTGCAGTCCCATTCTCCCTCTCTTTTCCACGATCACACCATCATTTATTTTGTCCTTGTTCCGTTCTAGTGTACATTCTATCTTATACATACACCATTCCGTCGCTCATCTGATTTTGTGAAGGCTGAAGAGGAAGCCACTTTGACAAAACAGCCACTCGCAGTCAACTATAATCTTTGTTTCCACACGCTAAATTTTGTGTTTGGTATCCCCACACTATCTATTTAAAAAAAACCCGGTTCAACAAGTGGATGTATTTATATCCCTGTCTATTGAAGGAAAACTAGTATATTACCGGGTCAACATTGTACCCCAACATTCACTGAAGTTTACCGTGTTAACATCTACCTGGGCGCTGTCGAGAAGGTGAGAAATGGCACATATTTGAGTATTTAGATGATGATATTGTTGTATTAGGTTTGCATTTGAAGACATTTGTCTTACCTCAAAGTACACAAACTCATGTTTGAGAGAAATCGGAATGTAGAATGAATCTGGTCACGCACCAGCCGACAAGTTTGTCTCTGTCCGCCATATCGGTTGACTGGTACATAGAGGTTATGTGCTGAGCGTCTCGTTTTCGTCACGTAGATATACTATATTTGAAGGATTTCATCTCACCCCAAGGTTCACAGGCACATGTTTGAGAGTGATCGGACTGTTTTTGTTTAACGCCGCACTCAGCAATATTCCAGCTATATGACGGAGGTGAATAATCGATTTTGGACCAGAAAATCCAGTGACAGACACCGTGAGCATCGATCTAAGGAATTCAGATACGATGACATGCATCAACCAAGTCAGCGAGCCGGAACAAACACACACACACACACACACACACACACACACACACACACACACACACACACACACACACACACACACACACACACACACACACACACACACACACACACACTGACACACACACACTGACACACACACACTGACACAGAGACACACAACGACAGAGACACACACAAAAAGACACACACGGAGACAGAGACACAGAGAGAGAGACAGACACACACACACACACACACACACACACACACACACACACACACATACAGAGACACACACATAACAGACACAAAGAGACAGAGACTCAGAGACAGGGACACACAGAGATACACACGGAGACAGAGACAAACACACACAGTGACAGAGACACACACAAAGAGGCACCCACACAGAGACACACACAGAGAGACAGAGACACACACGCACAAAGAGACACACACATACTGAGACAGACACATACAGACAGACACACACAGAGACAGAGATACACACACACACGCCGCACTCAGCAATATTCCAGCTATATGACGGAGGTAAATAATCGATTTTGGACCAGAAAATCCAGTGACTGACACCATGAGCATCGATTTAAGCAATTTAGAAACGATGATTTGCATCAACCAAGTCAGCGAGCTAAACCACCATCATTTTACACACACAAACACACACACACACACACACACACACACACACACACACACACACACACACACACACACACACACACACACGCACGCACGCACGCACGCACGCACGCACGCACGCACGCACGCACGCACGCGCGCACACACACACACACACGCGGAGACACAAGGAGACAGATACACAGAGACAGTGATACACAGAGATAGAGACACACAGAGACACACACAAAGAGGCACACACACAGAGACACAGACACACACACACACACACAGAGACACAGACACACACATACTGAGACAGACACACCGAGACAGAGACACACACAGCCAAACACACACAGAGACACACACACAGAAATACACGCATAAAGACAGACGCACGAACAGAGACAAACACACACATACACACAGACACAGACACATAGACACACACGCATAACCACAGACACACACAGACATACACACAGACACACACATAGACACACAGAGACATACAACAAAGAGACACACACGCAGAGACACACACAGAGAGACAGAGACACATAGACGCACTCACATAGAGACAGAGAAACACAGACACACACAGAGAGACAGATAGACGCACTCACATAGAGACAGAGATACACAGATACACTAAGACAGAGACATACGCGGAGACAGAGACACACCGACACACAGAGACAGAGACATGCAGAGACACACACAGAGACAAACACACACAGAGACAGATATACACAGAAACAGAGACACACAGAGGCAGAGACACACGCAAAGAGACACACAAACACACACCGTGACACAGCCACACAGAAACATACACACAGACACAGAGATACACAGACACACACATAGAGACACATACAGGCACACACACAGAGACACACACAGGCACATACAGACAGAGACATACAACAACAGAGAGAGACACACACACACATAGAGACAGAAACACATAGACACACACACACAGATACAGATGGACACCCACAGAGAGACAGAGAAACACACACACAGATAGAGACACACACAGAGACAAACACACACACAGGGGGACAGAGAGTCACACAGAGAGACCGAGACAGACACACGGGCAGAGAGGCACACAGAAACACACACACACACAGATGCACATAGAGACACAGAGAGAGACACACACACATAACCACGCAGAGACAGAGACACACAGAAACACACACACAGAGGCACACACAGACACACACACGGATGCGCACAGAGACACAGAGAGAGACACACACACAGAACCACGCAGAGACAGACACACAAACAGAGAGACACACGCACAGAGGCACACGGAGACACACACGCAGTGAGGGAGAGAGAGACACACACACACATGGACACACAGAGAGAGACATACACAGAAACACACATAGACAGAGAAACACAGAGACTGAGACACACAGAGACAGAGACACACAGAAACAGAGCCACAGAGACAGAGACTTACAGAAACAGAGACACACAGACACAGAGACTGAGACACACAAACACACACAGGGACACACAGAGAGAGACACACGCACATACACAAACACAGAGACACACACAGACACACAGACACACAGGGACACACACAGAGACACACACGCAGACAAAGACACACAAAGACACACAGAGACAGAGACACACGGAGACAGAGAGACACAGACACACAGACACACATACACAGACACACACACATAGACACATACACACACACACACACACACACACACACACACACACACACACACACACACACACACACACACACACACACACACACACACACACACACACACATAGACACACAGGGTATTCACTTTAGGACACCTGACAGCCTGACAAGAACAACGGTTGCATAAGATTTCATTTGTGAAAACCAATGAGACAATTAAGTCATGCCCCCCTCTTCTTCTCCCCCTTTCCCATGGCTACTTCAGCCTTTGTCGTGTATGAATACTGATAGGACTTAACTGGTGAATGTCTTGCAGCATCTAATATAACTGATCAAATATAAACAGTCATAAAAAATGTTTCATTTAATTCACGAACGCCTTATTATGTTCACTTGGGATGTATCCTATATGAAGCTTGGGCTCTTCTCATTTTTTTAGGTATTGTAACGTTTCCAAAATGAAGTAAGGCATGCAATAGTTGCAATAAGTGGATGGTTGAAATCATGCTGTAGACATGTTGTGGATTGTTAGAAATGATCAGTTCATTGATATTCAACTATCTTGAAAAGCATCCGTATTTGAAGTTTTGTCTTTATATTGATAAATTATTGATATGAATATGTACATTGTATGAGAATACTGTCAGGTCTTCATCGTTAGCGTATGACAAACAAACCAGTGGTCTATATTATGTTATTTGTAGAAATATAAAAAGTCAACGCCAGAGAACAACCATTCCCTTAAAAGCAATGACAATTTTATGATTCAACCATTACAATGAAGAATGCTTGATTCTGATTGGTTAAAAAGAGGTTTCGTTTTTGCAACAGAAACCTCTTAAGTATATTGACCCTTTTTACACAAAAAATCGTGCGTATGAATACATTGATAGCCTACATATGGATCAATAAAAAGATGTCTGCTGGGTCTCTTAAAAACTTAATATGTGGCTGAGCGTCTAATAGAGTAACTACGGTATATTTGATATGGGATGTTTTTGGTGATGATTTTGAGGTTCTAGTCCGTACCTCTGACTGCTTTGATGAGATTACAAGACTTAACGAAGCATATCTTTTGCATACAAATGATAACTTTTATGAAACTGACAGGGACATGTTTGGTGTCGAACATGTAATTTCCTCATTTAAACACACGATAATGAAAATATTGAATATAACATTATAAAAAAGTGTTTTGAAAAACTTTATATTCATGACAACATGTTGTTTTGAAACCTTTTTGTGATCTATATTTATTGCCACAAACTTTAGGATTTGGCGGAGGGGATTTTAAATTCCATGAAAACACTCCTCCCTTCGAAAGACCACGCACACTGACAAGTGTCCCGTCGTCACTGAAGACATAGCACAGTAACTTGATCACCACAGCTTCTCAAATTTGATGAAATTCATATCAGAACTCGCACAATTAAGCAAAACATACACGAACCGCTGTGTCAGGGCCACAACTGTCACATTTCTTTCACATTGCATCGAATGCCATACTATCTTGAATCCCTCGTGTAGGGGCCACAACTGTCACATTTCTTTCACATTGCATCGAATGCCATACTATCTTGAATCCCTCGTGTAGGGGCCACAACTGTCACATTTCTTTCACATTGCATTGAATGCCACACTATCTTGAATCCCTCCTGTAGAAATGAGGGCTGGTAAGCTGCAGCGTAAAAATCACATACGCCATGTGGTTCCATTGCCTATCACCTTGTACCTGCAGGCTCATTCCCTGTAAATCTACAGGATAATGTTGAACCATATCATAGATCGGAATGCCATTGGCAGCCATTTTATGACAGTTGTGAGTTGTGAGAAACCGCGATGCCCGTCAAGTTTTTCCACATCCCAGTTCGGGGTGGAGAGACATTTATTTTGAATTTGTATTACTTGCTTGGGCTAATTGCTGACTAAATAGACTTACACGTGTAAAATGAATAGTAGAATGTTAATTAATCAAGTTTGTTGGAGAAATAGTACAATGTTAATGAATAAAGTTTGTTGGAGAAAGTTCGTTCAGCATTTACAAGCTATTTCTACAACCTGTCACCCCTACAATGGGAAATGGCATATTCGATTTCCAAGAAATGACTTGTCGCGCTTATTACCAAAAATGACTTGGTGAGTCCTCACAGTGCACAACATGTTGCAGTGAAATTATAACATATCTTTGGACTAAGTTTGGAGAGTTACTTGTCAATTTCTTTTTGAAAAACTATGTGTTTTGAACCCTTTAGTACTAGTCAAGACTATTGGATGTTTGATTTTGAACTTAAGTATATTTGCAACATGTACAACTACCTGTGACCCACCCCTTTGCGGAATGGTCTACGATAGTGGACCTTTGTATGCTGTGTAGTTACGGACCGTTTTCAAAGCGCTCTTAATGTCATGGGAGACTGGAAAGAAACCTCCTTTGTTTTGGAATTTGATGTAGTCCCACTGTGGAGTAGATTCCTCTCATTTAAATTTGAAACCGATGGCTTTAGTGCGAGGTTTCAAAATGTATAAATCTACCGAGGGACTACTCTGCAGTGGGACTACATCAAATTTTAAAACAAATAGCTTTATCTCCTAATTGGCGTATGCTGTTACAATGTTAACCTGGTGTATGTAAATGTTGAATACCACTTGACACTAAACTAATCCCATTTCTGCATGTTGTCGATCTAACTTAAATTTGTTCCTTTATTCTATTCACAATCAATCTGATATTCATATAATTTGCATAACGTATTTCATAGAATTGCTGTTTTTCATATATAGACTGTATAATACTCTATTTACGATATAGCACGATCTTGTCAGTATCTAGCATCAGTCTGTCAATAAATAAAATTGACAAAGCCCTTTCCATATTCATTTCACGATTCGGACTTTACCACGAGCATGTGTTTATGAATCACTATCAAATAGTGATGATTGATGATACCAGGTGTTCGCGAAAAGGTGAGCGTATCCTGCCCAAACCGGTGGCACCTTCCACAAACATATGCAAAGGCAAGTGAATCGTTTAAAAAGGATTTCCCCGGAACTTATGGTACAATTACAAATAGGAAAGTGCATCACTTTTGTCACTGATGCTTCAAATTTGGAAAGCTTTTCTGGGTCTTTGGATGATGTAATCTTGATCAAACAACTTCTGACGTTCTTGAAATCTTCGTAGAGAGCATGCTTGATGTCTACATTACAACTTTTGAGGTACAAACTCTGGAGCTTCTTGGATATTGCTTGACATAAAGGGATAGTTCACCATTGGAAAGTTGAAGTCATCCCCCGTCACATACAGTCTTGTACAGAGTTGTGCGTCACTTTGAATCTTTACGCACAGATCTACATATGAAACAGACGAGGTGGTCTCATTGGTCGCCTTTATTTCTAGTTCGGGTGGGTAAATCAGTTAAAAATGGAATTGGCTATTTGATGGTTATTGAACGATTTCAATCATTGATATGCCCGAGTTCGACTTCTTGGCCAAATTACCTTGTTTTGACTTTGCCAGTCCGAGCAGAAAAATTCCTATTCATATGCATAAAGAAACAGTTCAGCAAGAAGGGGAGCACAATGGGTTTTCCTGGTGGTGCCTACGTCTTACCCCAAAAGTTTACATACAGGTAATCAATGAGGAAGTCCACCATTTTGCATTTTGTTGAAAACGTCCGATGGCATTTGCTTTCATTCTTGATAAATTGACCTAAACCTCTGAAGATATGACTACATCTAAAGTCTCACACCCACCCTTTTCATACAGACTTGTGGACAGGTCTGTGTCACACAGAATCTATATGAATAGTTCTATATGCAAGTATGATGTGGTTTCGCTGTACTCTTATTTCCATGTTCATTATTCAGCCTTGTTTGACAACGGTAAAAGGATATATACCGAAACGTCGCCTTCACAGTAAATAAAGATATTTTTTTCTGTAAATTGTGTCTACTTTGCCTTTATAACAAGGTTTTTGTTTGAAAACAAACAAATGTGGGTACAGGTATGAGTTGTTTATTAGATAACTTTGACACATTTAAATTGCTGGTCAGGTTACCCACTGAAGCATTCATTTTAGTCTCCACATTGAAGGAATAAACCATATATTCGCTGCAATGTAACGAATAGCCATTATTTTGTGGATAGTTACAAGTTCTTGTGCCTTAACATAGTCTGAGATACATGTAGATAAATATTCTAATTTACTTCAGGTAGCCTCCAGATAGATGCACGTGATGGCGACAATGCCATCATTCCCTACACCGGTCCAAGTGGCCTGTGTCCTAGTGCTGCTGGTGTATGTACAGCTAACAACACAAGCCACCCCTCCTCCTTGTAACCGTAAGTATAATGTTCAAGAAGGCCTGGGTTATACATGCCTGTTGAAGAAGGCATTGGTGAGAATCGTGCAAAGAACTAGATTTCAGCAAACGTTTATTATGATTATGTAAATGGCTTTTGTTACTTTAAAAAATTGTATATAAGTAGGACTAATATCTAGATATATAAGCTCCTCCACAAAAAGAAACGCAACACGTATATTTTTGGCAATAAAAGCAAAATAGAGCGGACCAAGAGGTGCAGAATGAAGCGGTTCAATGTGTTATAGTGTCAGTGACAAATTTCCCTGATCAAAATGATCACATGGACATGCAAACCATTAGACGGGAAACATGTTCGATTCGGAAAAACGCACCCAGTGCATTAACAAAAGGGCCGTGGAGCTGCACGTACTGCGCGTGCAGCAGCACTATGAACGGTAGGAAAGTGCAGGGTTTTTGATTGCCTAGCATCTGCGTCAATCGAACAGTGACAGTTCAACGATATGCCAAGATTAACAGAAGTGCACAGAAACAACGTCACCGGCCGCTTGCAGGCAGGGGAATCCCGATCAGCTGTAGCCAGGGTTTTCAATGTAGCGCCCAGCACCATCACAAGGCTATGGGATCGGTTTCAACAGCATGAGTCAACATGTAATCGGCCAAGGTCGGGACGACCAAGAGTAACAAATCCCGCCCAGGATCGCTACATACGACTGCGCAACCTGCGTGAAAGGACGACCACAGCCACCTCAATCGCATCCCAAATACCCGGACTGCGCAGAATCTCCGACCAGGCCGTACGAAACCGTTTAAGAGCAACAGGTCTACGAGCAAGACCGCGGGGAGAATGTTAAGCCGGAAACTGCGTACAGGAAGTGGACAGGTTTGGTGGGGGTAGCGTTATGATATGGGCGGCTCTCTCTCATCATAGCAGGACCGGTTTGGTCCATATCCAGGACAATCTTACGGCCCAACGATACAGCAACGAAATTTTCCTGCCACACGTCCTCCCAATTGCAGCCAACTGCAACGGTGTATTCCAGCAGGACAACTCTCGACCGCATACAGCACGTATCGCAAGAACCTGTCTAATCAACAACAACGTTGATGTTCTCCACTGGCCCTCCAGATCCCCGGATTTGAACCCGATAGAGTACCTGTAGGATGAATTAGATAGACAGCTACGCCGACGTCAACCATAACCCCAAACGTTGCAGCAGTTGGCTTTTGCGTTGCAGGCCGAGTGGGCTACCATTCTCAAGGATGTGATTCGCATACTCGTCTCTTCCATGAGCAGGAGATGTCAGGCCGCTATCGCATCCAACGGGAGACATGCGCGTTATTGATGGTAGCTGACCTTCACCTTGGACTTTTCCTATGTACCGATAACTAGGATGACAACAATCACCAAATGCTTGTTTGGCTCAATACCTTGTACAGTTCCTCGTATAATTGTATTTTCCCAACTCACCCAAATCTGGCTTTGCGTTTCTTATTTTGGAGAGTGCATATAGTGCATTTGGTTATTCCCATTTTATTCTCCAAACAAAACGGTCGGAAAATCGATGGCGCCTTGGTGGGGTTAAAATGACGATGTGAAAAAGGTGTGTGAAATGTCACATATCAAAAGAAGAAGTAAGGATATTCAGCACACATTACAAACGAAAAAGAAAAAAAACCCTTTAGGTTGAATACATTTATAACAGTCAGCAACATTCACATCAGGTTAAATGGCGTTATATTACAAAAGTTTAGTGTTGAGAGTTCGCCTTTGTTTCACAAAGACAAGCAGTGCAGTGAATACAGACACTGTTCCCACAGGGCCAAAATATCAATGAATCTAACATTGTTCCATACTTTTCCGTCATAGCATTCAAATGTCATTTTTACACATGTTCAGAGATGTCCCAATTAAAGTTCCGTGATCGCACGAGTTAGGGATCGCAAGTATGTGCAACCATACGGATGCCTGAAATCATGAAAATGACTAACTACTTGGTGACAACAATCATGTATTACAATACAAGAAGTCAAGAACATTGAAAATAAGATACATAATAGGCTACATTTCCATGATGGACAATGTTTTTGGCAAAGCCAACCTTATTTACAATTAAACCCGACGTAAACATTCCACATATTTATCGTCAAAACAGCACAATATTATACTCACAAAAGCCTTCCTTTTATACAGGTCTCACGACAGTAAAAAATCAGCTGTCTTAAAACTGCTATGGTCAAGTCAGAGACAAAATGCATATTTTTCACATCTCAAAATTGTGTTTGGGCGACCCGTTCCAGTAATTAAGAATGGCATCTACCCCCCACTAAAATACATCCCAAAAGTAAGCATGATAAAAGAGCACATGGTATGACAAAGGTGTTCTGATGGTGTATACTTGGTGACAACATTATAAGATAGGATAACAATTTAGATATCTTTTTCTTATCCCCCTTATTTAATCAATATGATGGATAGGAAATTTGAATGAGTTTTGCATTATATTTCATTACCAATGACCATCCAAATGCAAGTGGACCCAACATGTTGAGAAAGTACACATAGAGCATTCCATCCCATTCCATCACAAGCTAGCAGAGTTGGGACTATTTCCTGCCATTCAACTCCAAACTAACAAGTCTTTGTCCCAGAGGAACCTATTCAGTCCTTAATTGATTTTTTGCAAGAATCAATATAATTCTGAGCCTGCTATGTTTTTAGTGTAAGCAAGTAATAAAATCAATTACCTGTTAAAATTGTATAATGTTTATAACCCTGTTTCATCCAGTAAACAAATTTCGATTTTTTGGTACAAAAATCCGGTAATTATTTTTTGATGGGGTGTACGTCAATTCTCGCTGATATACAGTTATTTTCCCGAGCGTCAAAGCCGTCCCCATCATGAGACACATGGAATATCCTATTTGTTATATACTTTTTGTGTAGTTGTCTGCTGGAAAATTGATTTATTTAATTACAAATGTAAAACCTTGAAGCGTAAATTCTCCCTACCTAACACACAGGGACGGTTCACCGCCCCTTGTAACTGCGACTTAAAAAGTAGTTTTGTGTTTGCAAAATCTAGAAAAATAAAAACCAAATGTATCAAAAGATATTTGGGGTCACGGAAATTCTCTTTCATACATTTACATGTGATTATATACAACATCAACTTTAATAAATGTATTCTTTAAAACTACGAGACCGCTGTTGGAAGCGAAAGAATACATGCTGATCTAGTAACAGTCTTGATTGACGAGTTAAATGAGAAATTTACATTTTACAACGAAACATTTTCAAGAGAATAACGGCAAGAAGCAATATTAACCCCATAATTGAACATATGTCATTATTTCGCCTTGTAAATGTAGAATAAACGTGAAAAGGAAGCCAGCAGTTTGTGTAGGGCTAGACACTAACCATAAAGGGAGACAATTTGAGGGGAGGTAAATCTTGTATGACAATAGTTCCCTAATATAAAAGTGTTATATTCACTGCAATAAAATTTCACTTTTCTCAACCAGTACAAATATCCTGCCATTTGTGTGTAACGGGATGTTCGTCAATACACGCTGCTATATGATCAGAAAGAAGGAAATGGTACTAGTGTATTAAGCAATGTATTTGGCATATATGTTTCCTACGCTGGGAATAATATAGAATCTATGATCAGCTGTATAATTCATACACTCTTCACAAAAAGGAAACGGACAGGTAGGTTTTTAGTAAATTTATTGTACCTAATAAAGTCGATATATTTATGTAATAGATACAAATATAAAATTTTGGAGCTCGATAGTCACCTATTGTCGTTGTAAAAAGGCATTGAAAACTGTTCATTGTCATGTCACATAAGGCCACAACATTGCGCTGAAATCAGTGTTCGTGTGACCACCCCGGGCAGCAATCACGCGTCTGTATCTCCTCGGCACTGGCTGGATATGTGTACGAATTCTGTCCTGTGGAATTCTGCGCCATTCTGCTTGTAACGCGTTGGCCAGTTGTGGGGGCGTCTGCGGCGTGTTCTGACGTTGACGTACACGTCGATCGAGTTCATCTCAGAAGTGTTCGATTGGGTTGAGATCTGGAGATCTCGACGGCCAGGACAAGACGTTGATGTGGGCATTATGAAGGTAGTCTACCGTGACATGAAACACCTCCCTCTGGCGGTCAATGATTGGAAGAAGGTGAGATTGAAGAATTTGATTCATGTAGCGATTTGCTGTCAAATTTCCTGAACCACAACCAAGTCAGATTTCGAGGTGTAGGATATGCCCCCCCCCCCCCCCCCCCCCCCAACGAGTTACGAATGCCATAACTTGCACGTGCATTTTGCTGCACAGTTTTCCTCCATGACAATTTTGAAAAAGTGTGAAAACAATGCGGTTCAAGACATCGCAATTCGATTATGATTGCGTTTTGACGCACCATTTTTAGAATATCAGGCCACCAACATTTTCCAATAACATATATCCAGTTTATATACCGGGTATTTTGTGTAGTCAGGTTCAATGAACTACATACTACCTGTGCGTTACCTTTATTGGAGAGTGTACATGCTAATGTAGAGCTATTTTAAATAATACAATATCTCACCTGTAAAAATTCCATAATTATGGAATCTTTATAATTAAATCTAACGTTGAGTATATGTACAGCAGAGTATATGGGACCTGAACATGTACAGTGAATATACGCGATACGTTAAACAGACGTTCCAGCTGACAGTTTGCATGAATAATACAATGTGCATGAATTTATGAGCACCCTTTGGTCACTATTCCAGCTGGAGACAACCTCTATGTCCCAGTCTTCACTGATTCAGAGGTGCGCAAGACCATTCCAGAAACATTACCTACAGGCGCCAGCGTCGCAACACTGAGAGCTTCAGATAACGACACTGTGGTTTGTTTCATGTCCAGTCTTCTTATTCGGGAGTAGTTCAAGATATCTGATCTACCTTAACTTTACCAAGGTAACCAGGTAATGCTGCAAGATACAACATGGTACATAGTATGCTGATGCTCGGGTTCATTGTCGTTCCCATAAACGTCATTTCCTGGTTATCATGATCGTATTTACTGTATGTATCATATCTATGAAATATACTTTTGCATGTAGGGTAACATGAACCTGCTCACTGGTCGTTTAAACATTACAGTGTAACTTTGGAACACTGACATACAACATTACCGGCGATGGATCTGCAGTTACCTATTTCCAAATAGACCAGGACACAGGAACAGTTTCTGTGAGAACTAGCCTGACAAACACATCCATCATGGACTTCACTGTAAGTAGGAATAAGTATTACAATACATAGCACGGATATTTCAGGCCATGTTTTGATCAGCTTGAAAACGTAGTACATTGCCATTTTGTGTGTAGGAGGTTTTATAGAACGAAAAGAATGACAGAAAGAAAGTCTTTCTTATTTCCTTTTATAGTCTCTGTAGTCTATTTTCTGTTTACCCGGGGAGGTCGGGTAGCCTTGTGTTAAAGCCTTCGTTCGTCACGCCGAAGACCTGGGTTCGAATCCCGAGATGGGTACAATGTGTGAAACCCATTTCTGGTGTCCCCTGATATTGCTGGAATATTGCTAAAAGCGGCGTAAAACGATACTCACTCACTCACTCTGTTTACCCGGTTGTCTCAAAATGTCATTTCTTTAAAGATTTTAAAATAAAGAAAACAATAGCTGAAATAATGGAAACCACAGGTTAGGTTTGTCGTCAATATTTGTTTTTGTCTCATTGCGCTCCATTGACTGTTTTCAGGTTCGTATTGAGGCACAAGATGGCAGCTCCCCCCCATGGATTGCCACAGCATTACTGTATGTAAAGGTTACAAGAAACTTTGTAGGCCCAGTATGGAGTTCTACAACTTATGCGACCAGCATCCCAGAGACAGCCCCAGTCCTTGAGAATATCCTGCGTGTCACAGCCACAGATAGCGATGCTCAGGTATTGATTACCTCCCTTGAAAAAATCCAATTTACTGATGTGTTTGAGTTGTAACATTCTATCATCAAGTTTTGTAAGTATTACAAACGTCATATCTTACATTTCAGCCCCCCAACAATGAAGTGTCCTATGAGCTTGTAGGAGATGCCTTTCAACTGTATTACTTTGAGATTGTCAGTTCCACTGGCGATATCCGCCCCAGGCGTCCGCTCACACTGGATACAGCCAGAAGAAATCGGTTTGATGTGAGTTGTTAAAGGAATATGACTTCCATATACACATATTAATCTGCTTTTGTTTGATTTATCCTTCATTCATTTTTCTGATGTACCTACCTGTAATCATGCTATAATGGAGTAAGATCAGAGAGAGATTTCCTCAATGTCATATCACTCTGTACTAAGAATGCATGGATCTTTTGAGAGTTTGAACATGTTTGTTTCAGTTTGTTGTGAACGCTCGAGATAATGGCAGCCCACGTCTCAGTGCTGCATTCAATGCCACTGTGACAATATCAGTGTACAGAAACAACAATGCCCCTCGGTTCATCCAGGATCCCTACTCCATTACAGTAAATCAGGGCCTAGGCAGCGGCACGGTGATCTCTGTCAGGGCAGTTGATGCTGACCCTACTGTAAGTGAAATCACCATGAACATTTGGCAACTATTAATAGGAAAAAGACTGATCTTGATCCTGTGATCATTAAATAGCTGTAAGTGCATTGCTTTGATGGGCCAAGACTTACCCTTTGACAACTATGACAGGCTATGATGAACTTTTGTGACAAGATCATTGAGTAATTTCCATATATTTCTTCTGTGGAATAACTCATTGCATTTTACTTCTTAAATTCTTACTTGTGACATACCTGTATTAAAAGTAATATTAATAAAGATATTAATAAACAACTGAAGTATTATCCTCTAATAATAATAAATCACTCTTTACATTATATTACATCATTAATGTAACTAGAGGAAATTTACTGAGTTTTTTTCATTTTATTTTTGTCAGAAGGGGTTAACACTGTCATATATTCCATATTTCCTTCACAGACTGAATTCAACCAGATCACATATTCCATTGAGGGTCCAGCAAACGCTCTAGCTCTGTTTACAATCGATGGGTCAGGCAATATTCAGCCAACAAACCCTGCAGCTATCAACAGTGCCTCTCAGACAAGTTATAAGGTATTTGTGAAACCTAGTATCCCATTTTTTGCTGATAGGGACATTGCATAAATCACACAGGTGTCGGACTCGTGTCATAATTTGCAAGTGTCAAACTCTTGCAGGGTTGCAGTTGTCTGCTAATGTTTCAAGACTTAGATAAAATCTATATAAGATTATCCCTATTTTAAATATGTTAAAACGTTAGTCATTTATTATTCAAGAAGTGTTATGCATTTGACATGTTTGCATTATCTTGATGTGCAATCTTACAGATTTATGTGCGAGCCGAGGACAGTGGCAGTCCCAGACTGTATGACATTGCCCTTGTTGAGCTCACCATCAACCGGAATCTGAACCCGCCAATCTTCAACCCAGTGAGCTATCAAATGACCATTCTGGAGACCAGGCCAATTGGAGACGTTGTTGTCAGAGTGACAGCTACCGATGCTGATAACCAAGTAAGCGGTTGTCGTATGTTGAAATATAAACTGTCAAAAAACTTATATATTTGCATCAGTAGACACAGTAGACTCTCTATCTCTTGTGAGTTGAAAAATGTCCTGTAAGAAACTGACTTATTTGCGACAATAAATAGATTTCTCCAGCCATTTTGTATGTTGAAAGATACTTTTTTATATGAAGATAATTCAGAATTAGGTTGATTGTGTTGGAAGTTAAGTGTGTTTTGAAATGTGTTTGTTTAGCTTCTTTATGTTTACAAATCATATCTCTTTCAGAACCCAAACAATGAGATTACATTTTCTGCCTTTGGATCCGGCCTGGCCTTTTTCAATGTCAACAGCCAGACAGGAGAAGTAACAGTTGTCAATAACCTTGTCCAGGATTCTACCCCAAGCTATCAGGTGACTAAGCTTTCTCCAAGATCAACTGTTGCTGTAAAATGTCGATGTAATTCTGTGAAACTGTTGTAATGCCTGATCATCTCTTCTTCTGTCTGTTATCTGTTATCTGTTCACCATCATATCTGAAGCTGAAATTGGATTTGACTTATATCATATTGAGTTTATTATAATGTATCCAGTGCAATGTTTGGGAACAGAGGGACATGATCCAATATTTTATTTTATGTTCTTCATATATTCATGTTTAGGCTTGATATGACCTTTGAAGTAGGGCTGGGAGGGTAGGTACTGAGTAGGACCCAGGTACCCACAGGACTACCCGGACCCGTGGTTAGTCACATGATATATTGTTTAATGGCAAAAAGTATATAGAAATCTATGGTTACACTACAGGGCACTAATGTTCGCATTTCTTTCTGACTATACACCCATTCCTTCTCACTTTCATATGGTTGAATAAAGATATAACTTAAGTCAACTTCAGTGCATGCATTACCAGATTGTTTAATACATGTATCTAAATACGTTTTGACAAGGCTATGGTAAAACAAATGCCCAATCAGACATTGTGTACCTATCTCTTGAGACCTACAGTGGGTACCCAGGTAGGGTCGGGTAATAGGGGGTGGGTACCCAGGTAGTAAATTCGGACTCAATTATTACCTCAAATAGGGCTCGAATTGGCTATATACTAGTAACACATGCACCAGTGCAAGTGCATGTAAAAAGATTCTAATTTTTGTCTAACTAATAAACCCTTCTTTGTCCAGACATCAATCTTTGAACATTCTCAGTACCTCTAAACTGTATTTTTACCATACTACATAACCAATTCCTTTCTCCTTTTTTTTTATGATTTATTATTTTTGTTGCATTTTACATAAGTTGCGCATACATATTAAACTTGTCACTACATTTTCTAACATAGTAAATGACAGCTTGACCAAAACTTATTAAACATGTTAACATTCGAATTCAAAGTTGCTGCATATTTAGTTAAGTTGTAATAGTCGGAAAGCTCCCGTTGGATGTCTTTGAAATCTGGCTTTTTATGTTGTATTCTTTTATTGGATATGTAATATTTTAATATAATTATCATGTTGAGAGGAGAATTGTTTCTTTGGGTGTAACCCAGGAATACTATTTCCTCAGATATATTTGTATTTATCTGAGCATCCGAAGAAAGCCAGACTTTCAATTCGTTCCAAAGAGGGCGAACACAGGAGCATTCCCAAAAAAAGTGAAACACAGACTCTTTCTCCTCTAGAGCAGTAACTGCACAAATCATTATCCACGTATCTCATTTTATAAAGACGTGAATTTGTGGGTAAAATGTGATGTAAGATTTGATACTGAAACCATTGGAATTTGGTGGCATTGGTGCATTTGAAAGGCAGTAGGTTATAGCTAGCACGTTGTCTTTCACCTATGTCATGACAAAATATGTGTTACCATTTCGCGAAATGTTGATTTCCATCCTTATGGTTTGTTATCAATATCTGATAGAGATATTGGGATCCTTTTTTAATTTTTAACAGGTGAGATCATTGAAACGGTATCAATGGACAGGCAATTTTGTTCATATTCACAATATTATGTTCCCGACAGTATTTCTTAATCGATTCTCTGATGCTTAAATAATCTAAGAAATTAACATCAGTAGAATATATCATACAAAAATCTCTGTGTGTATAAAATTGCCCTTGGTCATCAATGAAATCATTAACAAATTTTATTCCCTTGTCGTACAATTTTCTCATGAAAATAGTTGTGTGCCCCACCTGGATGTTATCGTTTAACCAAACTGATTGAGACATAATGTCTTTGTTCAGTGAAACATTTTTGTTTAGTCCCTCTACGAACATCCACCAACACTATACAAGATCTCTATAGAACGGGTTGTTTATACAGGAAAGGATATGTGTCTTATGATCTTTACTCATTATTTCATATACGTTGTGTTTAGTTATAAGTGGGGTATTTAGAAAGAAAAGGTTCCGCCATTTTGACTTCGAGGCAAAGGCGCGTCTTATCATGGTTAGTTTCTGAGAATAAATCATCTCTCTTATTTTAGGACATTTATGCCACCATCTTCTTTATCACATATAATTTGAGTTCTTTTTATCTGGTCTGGTTTGTTACCCCATATGAAACTAAAACATTTTTTTTGGAACCTATCAATAACGCTATCTGGCGGATTCGGAAGTGCTGAGAATAGATGATTGAGTTTCGGTAGTATCAGTGATTTGAGAATTGTATTTTTACCAATTGGGCTTAAACTACGTCCTGACCATATTGCCATTAATGTTTCGCATTGTCTAAGCTTACTTTCATAATTCATTTCAATCATTTCTTCCAAATCCCGAGAAAAATTGATACCAAGCAATTTAAAAGATTCCTGTTTGATCAAAAAGATCAAAAATGAAACTATGTCAAGAATGGCACTTAGATGCCATTCTTGACATAGTTTCATTTTTGATCTTTTCTTTGAACCTATCCATATGAGTTTGGTCTTATCTGTGTTCCCTTTTAAACCAGAAAAACGAGCATAGAAATTTAGAGTTTGAAGTAACTTATTCCTGTGTTATATGTAATTCATGACAAATGACACAGTCATCAGAGAACTGATTTTACTTTTTTGTAGACTAGTCTATGCATCTGTGTTTTGGGACCAGGTGCAACCTGGGTTTGTCCGGTGCAACTAGCTTTTCATGTCAAAACGCACCTGGTGCAAGTTAATATCAAGATCTATATTGTGATAAAACGAGTCTTACATCGCGAAGTGCATCAAATCACGTGAGCACCTTGATTAAAAACATGAAAAGATATAGAAAATATGTGTTGACAACGAGTTAGCGGTGCACATGCTTTGCAAATCCTGCAGTCAACCGAAATCTGCATGACACTTTACGAACCGGATTTCGATTTCGGTGCGCGATTTTGATTGGACTATGCATAGTCTCGTTAGTCCAGCCAAAATCTAACTCCATAATACCAGCCTAGTTCGGCAAGGGAGGAAACTGGACTTTTGTCAGTTAACGCACTTGCCTCGGGAAGATGTTTAAATCGAGCCCTGCACATATCTCCTGTGCACAAATTGTCTTTGATAAGTATTGAACTGGTTCTGTCATTTGGTCACAGCTGTAGGTGTCCAGCCAAATCAGTCAACATCACTGATCATAAGGGAATCTAACATCACATAATGATGGATATATATTGAACACAAATTAGAAAGCCATCTTGTGATTGTAATGTAAGCGCATAGTTGGTCTAATCAGAGTGATTGCAGAGTAATTGTAAAGAAACCACATAGCTGGTCTAATCAGAGGGATTGTAGAGTAATTGTAAAGAAACCACATAGTTGGTCTAATCAGAGGGATTGCAGAGTAATTGTAAAGTGAGTGTGAGTGTGTATGGTTTTACGCCGCTTTTAGCAATATTCCAGCAATATCACGGCGGGGGACACCGGAAATGGGCTTCACACATTGTACCCATGTCGGGAATCGAACCAAGGTCTTCGGCGTGACGAGCGAACGCTTTAACCACTAGGCTACCCGACCGCCCCTGTAATTGTAAAGAAACCACATAGTTGGTCTAATCAGAGGGATTGCAGAGTTATTATAAAGAAACCAAATTGTTGGTCTAATCAGAATGATTGTAGAGTGATTGTAGAGTAATTGTAAAGAAACCACATAGTTGGTCTAATCAGAGGGATTGCAGAGTAATTGTAAAGTGAGTGTGAGTGTGTATGGTTTTACGCCGCTTTTAGCAATATTCCAGCAATATCACGGCGGGGGACACCGGAAATGGGCTTCACACATTGTACCCATGTCGGGAATCGAACCAAGGTCTTCGGCGTGACGAGCGAACGCTTTAACCACTAGGCTACCCGACCGCCCCTGTAATTGTAAAGAAACCACATAGTTGGTCTAATCAGAGGGATTGCAGAGTTATTATAAAGAAACCAAATTGTTGGTCTAATCAGAATGATTGTAGAGTGATTGTAGAGTAATTGTAAAGAAACCACATAGTTGGTCTAATCAGAGGGATTGCAAAGTAAGTGTAAAGAAACCACATAGTTGGTCTAATCAGAGGGATTGCAGAGTAATTGTAAAAAAACCATATTATTTGTCTAATCAGAGGGATTGTAGAGTAATTGTAAAGAAACCACATAGTTGGTCTAATCAGAGTGATTGCAGAGTAATTGTAAAGAAACCACATAGTTGGTCTAATCAGAGTGATTGTAGAGTAATTGTAAAGAAACCACATAGTTGGTCTAATCAGAGGGATTGCAGAGTAACTGTAAAGAAACCACATTGTTGGTCTAATCAGCCTGTATGTTCTTCAGCTGATAATCCAAGCTCAAGATAAAGGTGCCAGCCCTCTGTCGTCAGCCCAGCCTGCATCTGTCATTATCATCGTTGTGAGGAACCAGGCCTCCCCAGTGTTTGTACAGACTCCTTACGACACAACTGTGTTGCGAACAGCAGGAGCCAACACACCAGTTGTCACTGTAACTGCTACTGATGCCGACACATGGGTACGTTCCTTACTGAAACATTGAGTGATTGTCCTCGTTGTTTGTATGTCCATATGTAGCTTGTTTTCATGTTTGTCTGTTATATATTTGTCTTGTAAATGTTTCAGAGTCCCTACAATGAAGTCACATATGGTATTGTCAGCATGACTATCAACAGATTCCAAATCAACCCATCAACAGGGGAGATAATTCTCACACAAGCTATTGCCTCAGATTCTCAGGCTCAATATGGGGTAAGAATTTTTTTACAGTTCAAGAAGTGGTGAAATTGTTTTCCAGTTTTCCATTCACTTATTTTAACACTTCTGTGTATATTTATGCTTATGATTTGTATTTTCTCATTTTTAGGTAACAGTTTTCGCACAAGATGGAGGAAACCCAAGGCGTTTGACCTACAACACATTTACAGTGGGAGTTGATCGTAACCTAAATGCACCATTCCTTATAAATCCCTCTGGACCAAACTTTGAAAATTCCACCACAGTACTGGAAACTATTGGATTTGATTACCTTATCTATGATGTGGATGCCTTTGATGCAGATTTATCGGTAAGAAGGGTATTCATTTAGGTACATATTCTGCTTTAGAGTTCAGTTGAAATTTGCCTCCTTCTGTGTATCTTTTGTTTTAGACATATCATGGATGTCAAGTTCTCTATGATCCTGTGGAAGTAGTTTGTTATTGTATTGTTATTACCTGTGTTTTGGTAAAGGCCAAGAATATGCATACATCTACAATAGAATGTTGTCAGACTAGGTCTTCCACATGTATTGTAATGAAGATACATTCATCCAGATTTATGAAGAAGATGCATTGATATTATATAGCAGTATGTATTGTGTTATAAAATATTGAGGTGGTGCTATTTTGTTTCTATTGTGTACAGGACCCATACAGGTCCCTACGCTTCTCCATCATTGGAGAAAATACTGCTCCAACCTACTTCCTGATAAATCGCGACAGTGGTGAGATCCGTCTCAAGTCCTCTCTGCTTCAGGACACCCTCCAGACTCTCCAGTACAGAGTAAGTACAGTGATCAAGTACGGTATAAGTTTGTTAATACCTATGATATTGGCCATTAAAAAAATATTTATTTACAATCTCTAATTTGTTTGTTTTTGCAGCTGGTTATAGCTGTAACAGATGGTGGCGATCCACCTAGGCCTGCCCCTACCACTGCCACCATTACAGTTAATGTCATTCGCAATCTGAATACTCCACGCTGGGTCAGTGAGCCTTACAGTGCCACGAGTGATGAGACAATTGGTGCAAATATTAACATTGTCAATGTCCTGGCAGTTGATGATGACACGGTATGCATGTTTTCTGTTGTATATCACCAAACTCTACATTCAGTGATAGGACTGAAATGCATAGAGTTGTAAATGTTGACTACTTGTTATCGATTACTTTTGTTTGTCTGCTGCTTATCACAACATATCATGTATATATATACCTCTCATCACTTGGTTGGTGTCATTCCAGCTTGATAACAGTGTCAGAATATACATTGAAATGCTGCTATATGCAATAAGGCAGAAATTGTCATCCATAAAGTTGTATGTTATCTTAGTGACTGAAATATGTGTGCGATCCAATACTTGTACCACGATGGAATACGTATGGCTCCTTAGCATAGCAAGGGCTGGATTATCATATGTCTATTGTGACAGTGTATCATTTCAGCCCTAAAGTATACATTAACTGCAATTTTCCAAAGTAGACACACTTCTTAGACACGGATCTATACCGAAACATCGCCTTTACAGTTTTAAAGAAGTTGTTATCCATAAACTGTGTCTACTTTGTCATCCGTCAACTTCTAAGTAATGCCTATCAAACAATGCAATTTTGCAACATAACAGTAATTGAGATAAACTGTATGGTAATGATATAATTGAAGATATTGCTTTGATAAATTGAAAAACAAGAGCAAAACATTTCATTGTAGTAATTGACTTTATCCCCAGAATGCATTCAACCGTGTGAGCTATGCAATCATCGGAGACGGCACTGCATCAGCATACTTCGACGTGACGCAAGGAGGTACTATCATCAGAAAGCAGTCACTGCAAAGTGTTTCTGACACTCGGTTCTATGTAAGTTTTACTTTTTACATTATCTGAAAATATAGGTGCACAAAATAATAAGATGTAAAATAATACAACAGTACAAATCTTACTGTAGGTGTAATTACTAGGATACAATTTTTGTCTCTTGTTTTGTACTCAATCAAGGTTTGTTTGTTGTCACTGTTGGCATAAGTCCAGATTTGTTTTGAAGAGAGAGATGAATGCTTCTAACAAAAAACTTTACCTGGTAGTTCACATGAAACATTATTTTACAGTTGAGAGTTGTTGCCTCTGACAACGGTGTTCCTCCCAAGACCAACACAACTGTGGTGTCAATCATCATCAATCGCAACCTGAACACACCTACCTTCTCTCAGCTGTTGTTCACAACAGAGATTGATGAAACTACAGAAGTAGGCACGGCAGTTCTGAGGATCTCGGCCACTGACCAAGATTCCGTGGTATGTGTATTTACACACTCCGGCGCAGTGATGCCTCAGCATTACATCACTGCCACAGGCTAATTTGCATATCACGTGACCAGACTTTTTTAAGCGTTGGTTGTATTTTGAAATTTAAGCTGTTAAAAAACTGATATATTTGTGTCATTAGACAAACTCTATCTCTTGTGAAATGAAATATGTCCTGTAAGAAACTGGCGTATTTGCAACAATAAATGAATTCTTCAGCCCTTTTGTGTGTTGAAAGATTTTAAAACTTTTTTTTTTTAGCTTTTGATTCCTGCGCAAGGGTGTATAAACTGTCTGTTTGGTTAAAGTTCTTCATAAGCATCAGCTTACGTATTATAAATTTGATTATCCTCAATAGAATATGAAATTGAACCATGATTTTATGTTACGATGTGTGTCATGTGCAGGGTTTATGAAGAGTCATGATGTTTTCAGAACATATATTTTAGCCCTGAGACAAGTTCAGTTGTATCAACGACATATACGAGGTAAGGTGTCATGAGAGTCTGTGAAGGTAAATGAGACTATGTTATCCATGGTTCGATTGTGAACAGGTCGCCAGTGCATTGCAGGAGAGCTACACTTACTATTTGTGTAAGTGGCGGGTGCTACCGCTAGATTAGGACACTACCTTTCCGCGAACGCCTGGTCTCATCACTGTTTTACAGTGATCCATTTATATATTTTTCAGAACTATGTTGTCTTTTACGCCCAAGGGAACCTGTTGCGGTTGATAATCAAGACTGATTATGATTGTTTTGGGTTTGGATGTATTTCTTAGACAGGTGATGTAGCTAAAGTCAAAACGTTGATGACAACCATGGATGTGATTGGTCTCACAACAATTTCCACCAGTGGCTTTGGTTGTTTTGATAAAATGTGTTAACATCTTCTTTTTCCCTCCTGGTGCCCATTGTGTTACCTGATTGTAACCTTGATTTCTATGCTCGATGAATGTTTTCCAAGTCCAAATTCACTCACGACTAGTGTTATAAGTAGGACAGGTTATATGAACTGCTTTCGAAAACAACTGTTACGGTTTACTTTGATTCATGAGTATAGAAATAAGAATTCCATTTTGTTTGTTGACTTTTTTGCTGTCTGTTGTGACAGATTCATCAACATAAAGACACGTGTACATAGAAGGTATTGAAGTTTTAATGTCTTCTTAATCCAGGCTCCATACAACACTGTGCAGTATGAGATCAACAGCCCCCTGTCCAGTCCTCTTGGACGCCTGTACTTCATGGTGGATCCAAACACTGGCGACGTCAGCCTTAGGTGCTATCTGGACTCGGACACAAGCTACACTAGTGTATACACAGTGAGTTGAATCACCACACATTAATGAAAAGCAGAAAATCACATGTGTTTGAGATATAAATATAAATATAATTTCGCTTATTCTAATTATAAATGTCATAATTATCAAGAGATCCCGTATTCATATTCCCCGTTTGAAGTCCGGGGAAGAATAGTTCCCAGCACCTAGTCCTGGTCTGTAATGTTATGCTAGATAACAGACCTGCAATGTTGGTGAGTGCGACATAAAATAACATTCACACACTCATTTGTGTCGGCTCTTCATCTGTCCCACTATCCACAAACAAACACCGTGTCCATGCCTGCCTGCAACATACTGGTCTGAGTCTTACCAGCTTGCTGATAGAATTTGAATGGAGATTATACACATTTATTTTGCTTATACTATTAGGTTGCAGTATTTTAGCAACATTATATGTTGCCTGTTTTCCAGTTGGTTGTTGATGCAGTAGATGGAGGCGGTAGAAGGGCAAACCTGCCTGCCAATGTTAAAATCACCGTGGACAGAAAGACACCGCTGCAGCCTACTAAGGACAACAATACCATGTCACTCAGAGCCTCTGTCTGTTGTCAGGAACCTCTACCACCGTACTGGGGTGGAAGCAGTAAGATTTATATCACTTAGGTACTCAGCACCAAAGGTACTCGAGTTCCATCATATAAAACAATGATATTTAAACAGTCACAATTTGCTAAATACTTAAATTTACAATACTATCTGGTTACAATATGTCATAAGCGTCTTCATCTGTCCGAGGTAGATTTCAATGAAGAGGAAAGTCTTCACGCATGCAAAAAATATTCTGTGATTATTTGTATTCCTGCTGAGCACATTACGATGCTGATACTTCAGTGCTACTTTTCAATGATCTAATGAAATTAATTTTAGTAGGTTGATATTCTCCCTAAAGGGAACGACCATAAAACTTGCAAAGGAAGTTCAAATCTAGAAAGTGTCAGTCCATCACCTATCTACGGGGTCCGGTACATGTCAATGAATGAGTTGGATGGAAGTGTGTGTGTGTGAATATATATTTATCACTGTGTTCATGTTTACATGTATCATTCGTATTTTTGTTGACAGTTGTCAAAGTATGCTTCGATTGATAATTGTATATTGATATCAATATTATATTTTACAATGTTTAACACATATACTTTTTCTTCAGAACAACTGTTTTGCTCAACCATTTCCAATGCTGTTTTTGCAGTTGACACAAACGATGTGCAATGGTAGAATATTACTGTATGTGTATTCTAGTCATTTCTGTATTCAACCATCTTATGCACTGAGGGAATACAATATCGGAATCATATATGTGTATGAGGAAGCAAGTATCATGCAAGGGGGGGAATGATTATCCAGTATTTATTTATTAATATATTTATTAATTTGTTTGTTTGTTTATTTGTTTGTTTGTTTGTTTATTTATTTATTTATATTCTTGTGCATTTTTTAATGATGTATTGAAACATACACCATATATGTTTAACTTGCAAAGTGACTACCATAGGTCTTAACTACCAAGACGTCAGATGAATTAGAAACAGTGCTTGGTAAGAAATTGCATTATGTTTGATTCTATCATAATGTCATTGCTAAGAAATATTATCAAACAGGTTACACTGTAGGTATAAAACTGACCCTTTGCCGTAGCACTGTTTTTATCATTATCAATATAATAAGAGCTTTGTCACTTTTATGTAACCCTGGGCTTGTTCACTTCTCTCTTTTTTCAGGGATCCAATCATGATTGTCAGCGCTATTTTGCCTTGTTTACGCCCAATAAACCCTGCCACTCCAAACTATCTCGCGTAGGCTGATATCAAAATGGCAATCTGGAGTAGCTTTAGGACTCAGGAATCATCACTGTTGCTTTCTACAATTAACTGCGTTTTACTCTTTTCTGATAGAGCATCCATGTATCAGGTAAGTCACATCAAATGTCACAGGTAAGCGTAAACGTGAACCAAGGATATGCCACACCCCGGCGAACAATGGACATGGCGCACCCTAATGAAATGCCTATGGGTAATGGCGGACAAGACAAAGAGTCGACCCATGAAATAGATTGGTGAGCTGGAAAATATACGGTGGGTAACAGAATAGTATATGTCATAAAGTGATTTCTTTCGTCAGTTTAATACCACAAAGAAGCCTGGGTTCCTGTCGTGTATTCACCAAGCCAGCAGTATTGGGGCAAATCAAACACACTTAGAATTTGTTTAAAGTTCAACCAGAAAGCAATCTGCTGATAGAATGCCAAGGGGAGTCGTGCTTCCCGATTATAGCAGGTCATATCGGGGCCTTCCTCACGTTCAGCTTCATTCAACAGAAAGGTAAAACGTGTAAGTTATATACTTATAGATAAAGAAATAATAACATTAAAGTTGATTCATCATCTCAATTTGGTGTATGGTAGTGTATTAACGCTCGTCATACTCATTTGAGAACACTGTGAAACATTACAGATTTATGTGCGGAACGAGGACAATGGCAGACCCAAACTGTATGACCTCGCCCTTGTTGAACTCACCATCAACGGGAACCGGAACCGGAACCTTCTAGAGACCAGGCCAACTGGAGACGTTGTTCTCAGAGTGACATCTTCGGATGCCGATAACCTGGTAAACGATTGTTGTAAAGTCAGTTGCTATCACTCAGATATTACCAATCAGTATCATGTTACCAACTGCTGATTGTGTCAGAGAGTAGATTTTTGTTTAAGAAATATTGTTTTTATTTCACTATGTCCACTATTCACGAGCTAGTTCTAACAATCATCACATTGCAGCTTCGGATCAGATAACTGAAAAAGCGAATATGGCATGCACGACACAACCGCACGTTTACAGTGTAAGTAGGTTTAAGGAAAATGCATTTATCTAAAATACGTGATACACCCTACCAGAAAGAAGACACAATTGTAATACAGAGGTTAAGCATAGATATAGGCAATAATTCAGAACTCCTTTTTTCAACGTCCACATTTGATAAAATATTTTATTCGGGTTTGTTTTGTATTTTGTACAGGACCCATGTGACCCATCGAAAAGGAGTCGCCCTACCTGTTTCCTGACAAACCTGGAGGCATCCCCAATATTCAGAGTGTCCACTCTCTCTCACACACGCTCACACACGTAGGGCCCCAGTAGTAAACATGTGAAAGAAGTCGACTTATGAGAATAGAATGGTTACAGAGTTTGACCTGGTTGATTGTGTGTCAAAGTGTATGGTTGTTCATTACTTCAGTCACTAGTTTGCCCGACCCGTAAAGATCCGGGTTAGAATAAGCCTTCAGCAACCCATGCTTGTCTTAAAAGGCGACTAAAGGGATCGGGTTGTCAGACTCGCTGACTTGGTTGATGCATATCATCGTATCCCAATTGTCTTGATTCTATTCTTTTACGGACCGCCGTCACATAGCTGGAATATTGCTGAGTCGGTGTTAAAAAACAACAAACAACCAGTTTTCCTAGTCCAGATTTGCTTGTTTACAGGTCATAACTAGCTGCAATATAGCTGCATGCGGCATTAGAATGCATTAACTCAGATCTTGTGTACATTGTTTATCTTATGAATTAATTCACATATTTGTAACCCAATAAACAATTGTTGTAAACTTGTTGATTGTTGTCTCTCAATAAAAGGATTCCTGTATATTGATGAGTGAGTGAGTGAGTATGGTTTTACGCCGCTTTAAGCAATATTCCAGCAATATCACGGCAGGGGACTCCAGAAATGGGCTTCACACATTGTACCCATGTCGGGAATCGAACCCGGGTCTTCGGCGTGACGAGCGAACGCCTTAACCACTAGGCTACCCGACCGCCCCTTGTATATTGATGATTATTTAGTCTCAAGTAAACAAGTACTATAACCCAGAAGTACACGTGTCAACCTTGTAACACTGTCCAATGTAACTGTATAGTCATCTCTTTTCCAAACATCCGGTATCATCATTGTAATTTGACGCTACATGTTCGCCACTTAAAGACCACAAAACGCCATTTTCTTTGGGACAGCGTGTCTCTGGAATCACACTGGCCCCATACGTTCATTTAGAAGACAAATACTATGTGTGTGTCTATTTCCGGGATTTTATCGAGTATTTGCATCCTGGAAATTTTTATCTTGGAGATGAATTTCCAAGATGCAAATACTCGATAAAATCCCGGAAATAGACACACATAGTATTTATCGACATTTAAAACCTATTGTTATCGATATTGTAAATATATTGCTTGCTTCAGGGAATGCAAATCATATTTTCACCCTTTGACATTTGGTCATGTGACCCAAATTAGCCAATCACAACACAGAACACACTTTCTATAGGTTTACAATATACAGCATCTATCAACAAATTGCATAATACTCTTAATTCGCATCTATATCAAACACTCGTTTCCCGCGATGGTGCCGAAATCATTACAAAACACAGATATAGCCTAATTCATGATACAAGTAAGGGCCGATAGCTATTTTAGCTCTGAACAAACTGCAAATAGAATGTGTGGGTGATTATTTTGACACCTTTGGTGATATTTTCCTTTTTCTCCGTATGTTATATGGAAGCATCACTACATTAATTGTTTGATCTTGGTACAAGTGACATATTAAATAATGCCACATATCAGGCAAGTATGTTAACTGAGGAAGAAATTTGCCTAAACCATGCATCAGTGCTATTAACTTTTGACGTGGCTCCAAAATCTGAAGACGATGTCCATTCCTCTTTTGTTCTGTGGTGACCATAGATATAGTGACATACCTATCTTCAGCGGTTCAGGTCAGTTTGTCGAAAATGAAAGCAAATGCTGTCTGAAGTTTACTGAGAAAACAATATATAAAATTCTGGACTCATTGATGACATCGATGTAAAATGTGGGGGTAAGACTTTGAGCCAAGAAGGAGGCATCCCCATGGGCACCAATTGCGCTCCCCTTTTCTTTATGTATTTGAATGAGAATGTCTGCTCGGATTGGCAAAGTCAAAACAAGGCAATTTTGCCATGACATTCAACATAAGCTTTAGGTACATTTGTATATCGATGATCTGATGTCGTTCAATAACCATCAAATACCAATTCCCTTTCACCGATTTACCCGTGGATGGACCTCTGTGTGAAAACCACAAGCATGGCGAAGACGGTAATAAAATGATTGAGCCACTCCATCGTGTCACTTAAGATACTGTGTTTGTGCCAAAGCTGGGCATCCACTGGCAATATGTTGGACAGTCTCAATAAATTCATTGCATACTCTACATTTCATATTTACATTTTGATGCAAAATCACACATTGACGGTTTCGAGTGGGAAGTGACTGGTCCCGAGCAGCAAACAGAAAGCCTTCTGTTTCACTTTTCAGGCCAGCGGACTTCATCCAAGCGAGGGGGTCCGCAGGGTTACATATTGATCCTCTCCACACACTGCAAATAAATTCGATGCAGTGGTCGTTCGTCAGATAGTCTCTTCTTGGAAAACAGTCTGGGCCGATTTGATATGGCACTTCACTTGGTTGACACTCATTTCTTTACCGTCCAGCAGTATGGTACCATCAACAATATCAACATTGACATTGAGATTATGTCCCGCATCCTTTGCTCGTAGAAGAAAACTGTGGAATGCCTTGTTTTCATCATGAGTCTTCACGTGCTTCACAAGAGGATCATCAGAGAAATACATGTGTGTAAAAGTGCACAATACAATTATATCATGAAGAGCCTCCACGTTAATTAAACCACGCCCTCCCATTATAGTTAATATACGCGACTGAGGGAGGAGCGAGGGTGGTGAGATCTATTGTCTGACATGATTCTTCATGTAAGGGTGTCAATACCCTGAATTTCTCGTTTCATCCAATCAACAGGACCAAAAGAATATGAAAGGCCATTACAGCATAAGTATTTGTGGCTTTAACTTAACTGCGAGCGTTCAGCTCTGAACTCAAGAGTTCATGTGCGTGTGCATGTGTGTGTCCGGATTAATAGAGATTACTTCACGAGTCAAAGTAAACAATTTATGGGTAACAACTTCTATATTCACTGTAAAGCCTAAAGCGGAAAATCACTTACTCACACTAACCACTACAACTGCACTAAGACCCATTTCAGCCCATGTCTATCATAAATAGATTAATCAAAGTATGGCACTTTCGACATCCAGGGCCAGCAAGCCAACTGGACTGGATCCAGGTGTTGGAACGGCACTAGTTGTCACACCCCAGCTTCACGTGTAGCCCTGTAGATTTATAGTGGGGGGTTTCTAACTTGAAGAAGACATCCCGTCTATACCATGTCCATGTTTAAGTGCCATGGTGTCGTAAACAACAGAGGGCACGGGTAGCCCAGTCGTCTGGAGCGCCACAGTTCGGTATGTAGAATTGCGTCCCTATTCTTGAACCTATGATTGTGGGTTCGAATCCAAGCTCCCCTAATGTTTCTAGGATTGTCAGCACCATACCCGTGCCCGTGGCTGTCCCTAATGTGGTAAACGTCTGAGACCTGCATCACTTCGGGATTTCCTCCTACACTAAGCTGACACGCCGTGTTATACATACTGTTCAAAGCGGCGTTAAACCCAACTCACTCACACACGGTAACAATATATACTTGAAAACGAGTACCGCTTTGTATTGGCACGAGGGGCAAAGTCTGATCCATCAGCTGGCAAGTTATATGAATTCGGGTTTCTGGGATTCCAAAGGACTGGTAGACTACATCCCGAAAAGTCAGGCCATTATTGTAAATATTATGCTGACCTGCTTAGGTAACTGGGTGTGACTTCCAAGGCTTAATGTCGCAGTGTGTTCAAGTAGGAGAATGCAATTGTTGTCACCATGGTGTTCTTTGAGTTCTTTCGTATTCACCAGATACAGCACAATCAAATTTCAGCCTCTTCCCAAACTTGAAAGAACCTTTTGGCAAGCATTATGAAAATGATGATGATATCATGCCTGCTGTTTGGGACTTTTTTACACCACCAGGAGTGTTACGGTCATAACAAAAAAATTATTTTTCCAAATTATTCAAGTCCGTGTTACGTCCTCAACATGTATACAGAACGGACACATGGCAAAGAAATGCAATACATATATTTTTGGCCATAAACGCAAAATTAGTGGACCAAGAGGTGCAAAATGAAGAGGTTTAATGTGTTATAGTGTCAGTGACAATTTCCCGGATCAAATGATCACAACAAGGACATGCAAACCATTAGTTCGGAAACACGTACGATTCGGAAAAACGCACCCTGTGCATTAACAAAAGGGCCATGGAGCTGCACGTACTGTACGTGCAGCAGCACTATGAACGGTAATAAAGTGCAGGGTTTTTGATTGCCTGGCACCGGCGTCAGTCGAACAGTGACAGTTCAACAACATGCCGAGATTAACAGAAGTGCAAAGAAACAACGTCATCGGCCGATTGCAGGCAGGGGAGTCATGTAAAACACCACCGTTTCAGCTGAGAGTATTTGCTTTTGATACTGCACACCCTACCTGGTCCCAGATGCCAATGCTCCACGCTTTATCCCAAGTAATCAGCATGAAACAATTGTAAATGTGAACTTGCCAATTGGGGAAAGAGTTGAAAATACCACTGTAATTGATCTTGATGGAGTAAGTATATTTTACAATGAGAAAAATAATAACATGTTGTTTTCAGTGAGTGTGTGAGTTTCGGTTTACGCTGCTTTCAGCAATATTCCAGAAATATCACGGCGGGGAACACTAGAAATATCACGGCGGGGAACACCAGAAATGGGCTTCACACATTGTACCCATTGTACCCGGGTCTTCGGCGTGACGAGCGAATGCTTTAACCACTAGGCTACCCGACCGCCCATTGTTTTCAGGATGTTAAAAAGTGTGCTATGAGCATGCTCTTTCTACCAAGTTTTGAAAGAGCATTATACAACACAAAAGTTGTTTGATCAAGGTTACAACAGTCAAGGCCTTAGTAAAGCCTTCAAAAGTTTTATGGTAGACATGTGGAGGCCATTTCCCAATTTGGAGGTATCAGTGAAAAGAATAGTGTCCGATGCAATTCCCTATTATCGCTTGTGGAATATGTTCTCGTGTTTTTGCAGGGGAACAACTGACTTGCCTTTGGATGTGTTTCTGATGGGTGCCCCCGGATGGTGAGGATACGCTTGCCTTTTGGCGAAAACCTGGTATCATCCCTTTTTGACAGATCATAAGCACATGATCATAATATTGTCGGAATCGTATAATCAACTGTTTTTGGCAGAGATTTCTTATAAATATAGAAACGATTTTGTTGCTTTTAATAATATACTCTTCAAAAAAAAGAAACTTGAAACTGGCTTTCAAAATGTAATGTAATGCGATTTGTTTCAAAATAGGACCCAGAAACCATAATTGAAACACTGTTTGAAGATCAATGAACACAATGTTCAAAACATTAATCGTGTCACCTAGACAGACACACGTACACGATACAGTGAATGTCACAGGGGTACAGAAAATGTCAGTATCGGCTGTGCCCACCACGTGCATCAATCACCGCTTGACACCGACGACCCATAGATGGAATCAAGTTGTCAATTAAGATGCACTTGGATGTGCTGCCATCCAAGTGCATCAAGAAGCCCCGGAAGTGTTTGGGGCGGTGGATTCCTTCTGCGAACGCGTCGATCCAACTCGTCCCACAGATGCTCAATCGGGGACAAATCTGGTTACCGGGGTGGCCAAGGTAATGTCTGGATGTTGTTGTGCTGTAAGAAGTCCTGACAAACACTCGCAATATGCGGTCGAGCGTTGTCCTGCTTGAACTGTCCGCCATGAACGTTGAAGTGAGGAAGAACGTAAGGCTGTAGGATCAAGTCTCTGTAACGCACTCCTGTCAATGCACCTGCCACATGCACGAGAGGCGTCCTACCACCGTGATGAATTCCGGCCCATACCATGACACTGCCGCCGCCAAAAGGGACAACCTGCTGCACACATTTGGGAGCGTAACGTTCACCCCGACGTCTGTAGACACGTGCGCGCCCATCAGCACGTGTGAGTAGGAAACGGGACTCGTCAGTAAACAGTACATTTCTCCACCTTGCACGTGCCCATCTAACCCTCTGTTGGCACCAAAGCAGACGGTCCGCCAGATGACCTGGGGTCAATACATGACGTCGAACAGGTCTTCGTGCAAAAAGTCGAGCCTCCCTCAGTCTGTTGCGTACCGTTTGATCTGATATTCTGCGTACCCCATGGATCTGTGTGGTTGTAGACGTGGCTGTGGTAGTGCGGTCTCGGAGCTGTCGCAGCCGGATGTATCGATCTTGTGCTTGGGTTGTCACCCTTGGTCTTCCTGACCTTGGTCTGTCATCAATTCTGTTGGTGTTGTTGTATCGGGTCCACAGTGCGGAGATTGTCTGTCTGGATACGCCAAAGTGCCTGGCTACTTCTTGCTGAGTTGCTCAAGCTTGTAATCTCCCAGTGGCGTTGTTCCGTTGAGCTGCATTCAGTCTTGGCATTCTGTCACCGCCTCTACTGCCGTTTTAAGGACTGTATGAACAGCCGTTGATGTGGATTTTTATACCCATTCAGCAGGGGGGCCTGCATGCCTAAATGCAGGATCCTATGCTGCACGTTTTTTACAGGCGGTTGCGTTTGGATGAAGCTGTAAAACTGATCCCCAAACGCTACGTTTATGTGCTTTTCATGTGTTTTCGCGAATTATAGACACATCATCTTTCTGTTTGACTTATTTGGTTCTCATTTAATGTAATTATTTGAGATATTTGGCAAAAAGTGGTTTTACATCTATGTCAAGTTTCTTTTTTTTAAGAGTATATATTGACGTAATGTAATGTTAGCCTCAAGATATGTCAAAACGTTTTGACATATTGTCTATTCAGGATTTATGGTAGGTTTTTGATACAATACTTTTTTTTCATGACATTTAGAATTGTTGATATGAAAAGTCTTGCTATTTGTGGATATGTTACCATCAACTATACCCCAACAACAATTCCTTCCCAAAGTTGCTTTGATAAGAAGGGTGGGCAAGGTGTATTTTGTTACGCATCGACTTCCAAATTGAAATAATAAGACGGAAATCTATATGTAAGAGAATTCAGTGTAAATCAACAGACAAAGAACAAATGGTATACAGTTAACAATTGTATTATAAGGTAATACAAATTACTACAAAGTAATTATGATGACAGTACACAATAGAATGGCAGTACAAAGTCCAATGACAGTATAAAATACAATACAACAATTAATAGCAGTGATAATTGCAATAAAGACAAAGATAATTATATTCACTCAGCAGGAACATTTGTCTAGCTTCCAAAATAGGCCTAAGCTGGTTATCCAGAATGAAAAACAATGATCTTCACACTTATGTCCCCTGATATAGTCTAACTCCCGTCTGAAAGGCTCCAGACAGTGCTGGTTTTCGTTCTTCATATTATGAAGAAAAGTCAATGGATTGTGATCAGTGTAGACTTGAATAAGAAAGTAGTGCCCAAATACACTTCAAATTGATGCAACCTTGGCTTATGACATGACCTAAACTTGGGACAAATTCACTTTTCACTAAATCAGCTTGGCTTCAGTGAGATCTCTCGCAGGAGGAACGGATCCGTGTTTGAACACTCCATGGAATTATTTATGACATCATCAATGTTGGCTTCAAGCCACTCAAGGTTGGCTGTAATGTCATTGATGAGACGCTGAAAGGTGGCTGGAGCGTTCTTGAGCCCAAATGGCATAACTTTGTATTGATAAAGACCACCTGGAGTGGAATCTGCCAATACCCCTTCAATAGGTCCAATCTTGTTGACGTACTTGGCTTGATTTATTTTGTCGATGCAGTCAACGATTCTTGGTATTAGGTAAGAATCAGTTTTAGAAACAGCATCCGTAACTATCAGAGTTCGGTACCACAAAAGCAAAAAATCATAATTATAATCACTCCATTGTTATTTCATTTTGACTTTTTTTGTACCGCGATCCAGCAAGTGATCAACAACTGAGTAGGACATGGTTATGTACCAAGGTTTACATGACTTGTGATTTAATTGGTGTGCTGATGGCAGGCTAATAAGTCAGGCAAAATGAACGTCTCTTCTTCTCTGATAAGACGCTCATCAATATGAGTGTGGTTGGAGGTCCCTGTGGTACATGGGCCTAAAAGCTACAACTGTTGAATCACATGCTTGACTATTCTCTTCATCTCCCCATATCTCCATGGAGGCAACATCCTTTTGGACCCCTGATACTGCTCGTCCAGATGCTGGATTATGTTGATCTGAACCTGGATCTTCTCACTGTCCTGCGTTATTTCTTGTTTTGACATCTTCGACACCTCTGTGGGTCAAGGCACAAAATTATGGAAGAACATGTTAGAAGAGTAGGGGAGATGTAAGGAAGATTTTCTTAAGCATTCAACGAGTTTGGAAAGAAAGATGACCTGGACCCCATTCCACAAGGAATCGTAGCGCATAGACGAGCTTAAACTCCATAGCACTGCTATCACTTTATGGGACCTGATTAGCATGTATTTAGGCAGTGTTCTTACTTTTGCTGATATAATTCAAATATCAGTAATGGAGAGTGAGAGAGAGAGAGAGAGATATAGAGAGACAGAGAAATAGAGATATAGAGAGACAGATAGGGAGAGAGAGATAGAGTTAGGGAGAGAGATAGATAGATAGAGATACAGATAGAGAGAGAGAGAGGACCAGACAATCCAGTTATTAATATCATGAGCATCGATCCACGCAAATTTGGGATCGATGACATGCATCAACCAAATCAGTTAGCCTGACCACCCGATCCCGTTGGTTGACTCTTACGACAAGCATAGTCGCCTTTTACGGCAAGCATGGGTTACTGAAGATATTTTCTACCCCGGATCTTCACGGGTCTAAAACAAATGGATTTTGTGATGAACGGTAATTTGATGTATCTTCTTTGGAGTCTTGTTTCTTACAAATATGTTTCGTTATCCCAATTAGCCATGTCTTGGTAGTACCACTTGGTTTAATGTTTGTTTGATGTTGTTTAACAATCCAGTGATTGGCATCATGAGCATCGATCCATGCAACTGGGATACGATGACATGCAGCGACCCTGACCACCCGATCCCGTTCTTCACCTCTTACGACAAACATAGTGCCTTTAAATTTCTGAATAATCCTGTCAGTAAAGCCTCTGTGTTTTCTGCTCATTCGGTTGTGCTGCTGGCCAGTATACCAGTGAATATAAGAATTGATGCATATCAATAACTTTTACCTGCACATGACGAATCTTTTTTCAATGATTTTAGGTCTGCTTCAATGCTGTTGTCACGACGATCGTGTACAGATTGTGTGCAGGTTTCAATTTCACACATATTTTCTGTAACAAACTATTCACTTTCGATTATACCGAATTACCTTTGTCTCCATTGAATCAAGTTCTTGAAAACATTCATCTTGGTGTCAAACACGTCATGTGCCTGCCAATATGGTGAAAACGTTCAGCATAGCAACAGCAGTCGTTGTAAGTGCATACCACTGCTCATTTGTGTTCAAACCTACCTTCGTCGGCTGACCTTACCTATTTCATTTGAATATAGCTTAATGTGGAATTTCATGTTCGTGTTATTTCTTGAAGTTCACGGCAAGAGCTCGAGGAACAAGGATGTTTTGTGAAAGATATCTTTCATTCGAACTGATATCGAACACGTCATCATTTGCCGATTTGTTTTAAACTTTCATACGTAGAGCTAGTCGCATTATTGTTTGTATAATGGCGGTTGTAACATAAGGTGAGGTGAGATGGGGTGAAATTGGGTTTAACGTCGCGTTCAAGATAGTTGCACTTATGTAGTGACGCGTGCATGCGTGCGTGCGTGTGCGTGCTAGCTCACTGAGATACCATGCCGCCGTTTAACATGAATACCCTAGACACAGTATACCGACACCGAGCCAGTACACACAAGTCGGACACACAATTATTTTCGGAGGTAAATTAGCTATTTCCGAAAATTCCCAAAAAAGAAATGGTTCACAGGTTCAACAATAATACAATCATTTCCCTGGGCATACTGGATGCCATGTAGCTAATATGTGGTGAGTAAAAACAGAGTGTGAGAAAAACAGTGTAGCTGTCTGACTGGCAGACTGAAATACAATGTTACACACTATCAATGAAAGTTGTTACCGCGGGTTTTCTCTTCCTTGACAGCTAGTGCTCTCATATTGTCGCCAAAGGTCGTATTGTCAGGGTCGTGTCCTTTGATGTGCGCTATAGCTCTCTTGATCATATCTTTCAGCATTCCATATCTCGCTATGAAGAACGTGCCTTTAGCGGCGACATACTCATCCTTCAGCACACGCACAATGTTACGAAGGCTATGTAACTTCAAAGTGAGCTGTATATTTTCAGCTTGTTCTGAAAAAGAGTACAGACTTCGTTGGTGCATATATTGTTCATAGGAGCACTTTTGCGTGTGCTAAGACATGACTTACTAGAAACGAAAAATTGCTTATCACTGTAGCATGCGAGTCATGAACCTTGGCAAGAGACTTGCCACACCAACTCAAGAAGGGGAGGGGTACTTCCCATTGCTTCCCTAGTTTGCTTAGTTTCATTGAAGGCTGGGTTCGATGGAATCTGAAATACTACCATTTCCCCCGAGGGTATGTGTGAAGATAGTGTTTGCTCTTGGTGTGTGGCACCGGATGACATCCGTTTTGGGACTTCAAAATGGATAAAGCTCAGAATCCAAAAACATATTGTAACGGAACAACAGCTTCGAAATACATTCTGAAAAGCTATATATTCCATCAATCGAAAGCACACTTCCACGTGGTGATGAACTCCTGGTTGGAGAATAAATCAGAAACGGTAATTCCAGCCACTCACATACGTGTAAACCTTAAAATACCCTCTAAACCCAATACTCTCTATCTCCTTCCTACCATGGTAATGATATTATAATATAGATTTCCAGCCTAGTAAAGCGATAGAAATAACAAGCCGAACAAAACCTGCATGTGGTTAATTCAAAATATATTTTCTTGTATTCATATCACCTAATACTTCTCTTTTGTCTTCTTGCGTTGACTCACATATACTGCTCAACACATACACTTTACAGTAGCAGGGCATGCCACAGTGTTGGGGTGTTCTTTGTAAAATATGAAACGTTGACTTACCTTTTCCCATATCGTAACGATTCTGTAATAAGAAATATTCTTAGAGAAATGAAGCAAAACGAGATAAACAAACTACCATTTGTTACATTCACACTTGTCAATGACGATAATCTGTTCGCGTATGTAGTAGTACTCTTCCTGTTCAGGGTGGGAATATACGGACAGTAACAACGTAGCGATACGAACTATATTCACCATAAGCAAACATAATTATATCTCTAAACAATAAACAGAATCAAATGTCATTTTTGAGTTAAATAACACCACCGTACAACGGCAAAAAAAGGAAATAGAATACCATTGAGTACACAGCGTTTCACAGTGTCTAGTTCAGTAACTGACTGACTGACTGACTGAGTATGGTTTTACGCCGCTTTTAGCAATATTCCAGCAATATCACGGCGGGGGACACCAGAAATGGGCTTCACACATTGTACCCATGTCGGGAATCGAACCCGGGTCTTCGGCGTGAAGTGCGAACGCTTTAACCACTAGGCTACCCGACCGCCCAGTTCAGTAGCTACACAGGGACATTGTGTACGGGCCTGTATGAAAACACAACAAGAGCAGATGGCTTTTTTAAAGTTCCCCGTTTTTCGGACGGACACTGGTAGAACGTCTAGACTTTCTTTGACTCGTTAATCCGGAAATCCAGCTCCAAGCACAATAACATTCTCTATATCTGGTGGATTGCTGACGACCAACTACAAACAGCGACATCAATATCACACACAATCCGACAGTCAATCACTGCGCTGTATTATAACACAGCATTATCAAGCAGTCGGCAGGTGTTGTTAACAAAACAGTAACAATACATACCTGTGTTGGCAGGTAGGCCCGCGCGAACAAGGTTATCTTGAGCGACCGCGACTTGCGCGTCACATACAAGCAACCCAACGGTCGAGGTTGGATTTAACTTTCCTATTCCCTGTTGTTGAAGGTCATACGTGAATTTTAAGTCCTCGTGTAGGTGAGTCGGAGAGGGGAAGTTTTACATGGGAATCTCATCTTTAGAACCATGTTTTCGGACCAGCGTTGTGCTTGACATGGGGACGCCAACGACTGTTTGAAGCCGAATTATGTGGACTCAAAAAACCAACCAATCAAGATCAGGTAACTGGTGACGTAAGGGTTTTCCCCACCTCCGTTTGACAATCTGTCTTCTGTCGTCAGCAATTGATTTAACGGTGTGGACTCGTTCAGGTACATACAGGTCGCTGTTCTGACAGTGATATATATTTGTTTGTTGTTTAACGCCCACTCAGCAATATTCCAGCTGTATCACGACGTTCTGAAAATAATCGAGTGATTGACATCATGAGCATCGATCCACGTAATTGGGATATGATAATATCAACCTTGTACGCGAGCCTGACCACCCGATCCCCTTAGTTGCCCTTTACACCAAGCACGGGTTGCTGGAAATCAGTTCTAACCCGGATCTTCACGGGTTGTGATGTATAATTACCTCAGAACAAAGCGCAGACAGGTATAGCGAAGATAGGTCCTCCCGTATTGTTTTCAAGGTTATTTTTTCTGCGTGTGTAGATATTAAAGGTTATGTCTGTCATGGCATATGCGATATGATTGTTTGGCAAAGGTCGTTATATTTTAAGCGAGCCATGTTTGAATCGATGAATGCCTCTCGATTTTTCTTTTCTTTTCTTTTTACGCCACACACAGAAATATTCCATCTATATGAAGGCGGTCTGTAAGTAATCGAGTCTCGACTGGACAGTCAAGTGACTGACTTCATGAGCATCGATGCGTAATGGAATACGACTCCATGCATCATCCAAGTCGGCGAGCCCACCGCCCAATCCTGTGAGACGCACCTTACAACAAGCAAGAGTTGCTGAAGACTAATTCTACCCCGGATCTTTAGCGGTTATACTTGCCAGTAGTTCAGGAGTATATATTGACGGCGTCTGTTCACCAAAGATTTCTTGATTTTCCGTTTCCAAAATAGATCTTAACAAATCAAGCCGCCTTCGACAAGCATGTGTCGCTGAGGACCAATTCTAAAACGGAAACCCCACGGAATGAGAGTGAGAGTGGTATGCTTAAAGACTGGGTAGTGGTTGTAAATGGTAAATGGTCTATTATAGCAGTGTTCGAAATACCTGCCTGCCCGACCGTCCGAGACGGGTTGATTTCAACTCGGGCTGCCAGATTTTCAAATCCCCCTGCCCGACGGTCGGGTTATATTTCATATGTGAAAATATTCAAAATATTTCCCGATGATAAGCATTAATTCACATGTAAAGATGAATGATAAAATGTAACCAAAAAGAAACCCCGTTAGCTTATCCTGAGAAACGTATGATTATAGTGGGCAGGCAGGTTTTGGTCAGGCTGTATTTCAGCTAGCCAGTCATGTGGTCTGGCTGAAATTTTTGGGAGTTTCATACCCTGGTCTATTGCAGGATTTGGTAGGAGGGGTGGGGTGGCCATCATACACTGCAAGGTTTAGAGTTGGGAGGTGTATGGCCAATATATTATCTCTATCGAGCACTAACATTTTATTTTAATGAGATTACATTAATATCCACAACCAAATCCTGAATTATTACTATAATAATTCAGGATTTGGTTGTGGATATTAATGTAATCTCATTAAAATCAGATGTTAGTGCTCGCTCCACCAAAGATCTGAGGACATCTCCTTGCAGTGAGAGAGAGTATGGTTTTACTCAGCTTTAAGCAATATTCCAGCAATATCACGGCGGGGGACACCAGAAATGGGCTTCACACATTGTACCCATGTCGGGAATCGAACCCGGGTCTTCGGCGTGACGAGCGAACGCTTTAACCACTAGGCTACCTGACCGCCCCATCTCCTTGCAGGTCACGCCACAGCGTTTCGCGAACTTTGACCGACCAATGAAATAACTACCAGGAAGTCGACAGCCAATTAGAAAGTAGCTGTCTCCAGCTTTTCGGCACAAGGTTCAAACTGTCGGCTTCCATTCCAGACTAGTTCTCGATTCAGAATTTGAAAATTGAAAAGAAGAAAATCTGGAATGTCTGTCCCGTGTTAACCTTTTGGAGGTTGCATGATTAGAAAACACATTCCTACTGTCACTTTCCCCATCTGATAAGCGACGCTCTGATTGGTCAGATGAAAGGTCGTTCTTACGTGACCCGTAATGAGACGTCCTCAGATCATTGTTTATCGGAAGGGAGAGCTAAGATCTGCTTTTGATGAGATTAACGTTATATTACTGGATTTGGATGGGGCGTGGCTATCACATATGATCAACGATTTGACTAAGGATCGGCCGTCTGGTGACTGCGAGCGTCTATATGTAGCAGCGTGTGCAGCTTACGTACATTACCAGCACGAGCTGAAGGAGAAAATGTACAGATATAGTATTTAAACCGCGATTAACCAAGTTCACTGATAAACATGACCGCTGTCACATGACTACTGATTCTTACCCGGATTGTAACCACGTGATCCAAACTCAACGCTGATGTTTATCCCTAGCAAAATATGGAGATTTCTTAAAAAGTGGGCTTTGCAATTTTTGACATTACTTTAAGTTATTAATATTCCTCATCGACGGAATGGCTTACAAAGTAGACACAATTTATGGATAACAACTTCTTTAATACTGTAAAGGCGACGTTTCAGTACAGATCATTATACCGTTGCCAAGCTAGACTGCTTGACTTCTTCCAGTCTTGCTTGACAACGGTATAAGGATCAATACAGAAACGTCGCCTTTACAGTATTAAAGAAGTCGTTATCCATAAATTGTGTCTACTTTGTCAAGTATAAGCGCACATGCAGCTATCTTCTATAATTCATCATCGCGATAATTCTTGATTCTATTTCAAGTTTCTTGTCAAAACATAACAAGCATATATGAAGATTGTTTGTTTAATAGCAAGAATAAAGTATATGAGGTGTGTGGGAAGAGGAAGTGACGCAGAAGTACTTGACACTGATTCAAGACACAACCAATCGATAAAAAAAATATATACCACAAAACAGATTAATACCAGTGTCCCTTTTCATATAAAGCAATGCTGCCTGTCCCAGGTAGACATATTTTGACGAAACTCTAGACGACACATGTTATAAATATAGCATACGTTAGGGAGCCCTCGGTAGTTCCAACCTTGTTAAACCGGAAACGTCTTCCAAATGCAATACAAATATGAATACAATGTATCTTCTTTAGGCAATCCCGTATTCCAATTGAGAACGAACCACCTCAATTAACGTGGGCCTTTTATGAGTAATTGTTACCCTTATTTGTGGATTAGTTGCAATAAATCTACGTTGTAGACGTAGAAACAGAGGCATATCCATTGCACCGTAGAAATACTGCACATCTCCCCATCTCACACAAGGCAAGTACGTCACTTCCGGTCAGAGCCCTCTCAACTCTGTTTTCCACATTGGTTATGTTGCATGGTGGTGCAAGACTAGAATGTTGAAATAAATATCGATAAAATGTGATAACGTCTGCGAACAAAATGTATCTTAAAAAGTCATTTCTTCTTGTTGCTTAAAAAAGATGATCGATGGAAATGTTCTTCCTTATAGAGTCACCGTTCAACACACTACTCGCCTCAATCTGCTGCTGTTTTATTAAAGAAGTGAATTGTGTACTCGCGCGGGGTACCACCGAGTGAACGACTCAAGGCATATCAGGTGATATGTGAGCAGTAGAAATAAAGCTACGTACGCACAGTGTAAAAATAATAGACGCAAGACAATGGCAGCGAAGGCACATGTTATAAGTACTTCGCGAGTCAAGGGGAATCTTGATTGTGCCGAAATTGTGTCATTCGCAGCACTGCAGATGATGAACAATACAATATTAGATGGTGCGGAGAACCAACCACAGCAACCACTTATAGTTTACTATCCATTACTGCAGACAGTTTCCAGTATTGCACATCACGCCACAATATCGCGCACCAATACAAAACTTTCACTGGTTAAATCAAGTCAGTCATTTCATTTCAGGCTGTCAAATGGTTTACATAGTATTGAAGATTACAGTAATCAATACAGTCACTGCAATAGTGTCATAATTACCGGTGCTGAAGATTATGCAACCATAATATCCGATGTTGCAGATCATATCGTCATACAATCTACTACCATACCAGATCAACAAGTACTCCAGATTATACCTCAAGTTATCTACAGCTGTAGTATTGCAGATATAGGCATTGCGCTTGAAATTCAAATCTCCATAAGTGTTAAAGAATTGCAGATCACGTTAGCATCGGTTAATGTAACATCACAAGTTAAACCAATTCCTACTGTTATTTACGCATCCGCAACACTGTCCATTAGGTATCATCTCAGTCAGCCGAAACCCGAACTCATGTAGGACACACACACATTCCAACAGACATCCATGGCCTGCTGGGTAGCCTGCTTGTGAAGATAGACAACAAGGTGACCTGTGTTCTGCTTGAACTGACTCTTGTCCAGGACACACATACATCCCAACAGACTATCATGGCCTGCTGGGTAGCCTGCTTGTGAAGATAGACATCGAGGTGACCTGTGTTCTCCAAACAGACTCTTGTCCAGCACACACACATTCCAACAGACAATCATGGCATGTTGGGTAGCCTGCTTGTGAAGATAGACATCGAGGTGACCTGTGTTCTCCAAACAGACTCTTGGCCAGGACACACACACTTTCCAACAGACAATCATGGCCTTTTGGGTAGCCTGCTTGTGAAGATGGATACGAAGTTACCTTTGTTCTGCTAGTGCAGACTCTTGTCCCGAGTGACGTCCTTGATCATGTTCTTCATGATCCCGTATCTGGACAGTGGAAATGACTGTTTGGAAGTCTCGTAATCCGTCTTGAGCTGTTCTAATCTGTTAAAGGCTCTCATGAACCTCGGACCAAATGCCTCGATGTGTTGCCTCTTGAGCTCATTGTCTTCAAGCACTTCCTGTTTTGACATCTTGCTGAGATCTGAAAAATGTGGCAAAGGCGTTGGAAATAATAATCCTATAACCAAATGATTTAGGACGAGTGTTTCAAGTGCATTGTCAGCACTTTTCCTACCAACCCTTTTTCATGACTATCCCTTGGGTGAGATAAAAGTTAATCTTCGATCGCTAAATCTGGAATCATTAATAAGGCCCTCAAAGGTCTGGGATCAAAGGACTACCTACTGTGGTCAGTTACCTATTAGTTTATGGGAGAGCACATTCACATGTGGAGTGAAGCAAAACATACAAGGCAAATCTGAAATATATTGAGTCAGCATGGAATACGTTATAGGCACGGCTATCAAAGCTGTATCCTAGTACGTGTCAACTTGATGTGGAAGGAAATCCCAACGTCTTAGAAGTATATTTTACATGTTACGAGCACGCCTATGGCACTGACAAACCTAGAAACATAATCGGTACGACCGGGATTCAAACCCACGATCATAGGTTAGACCCCCAGCACACCAGAGCCGTGAAATGTGACTGAAATATGACTGAAGTATTACTCCTCATAATTATACACAGTGTGATCATCAACCACCTCAGCATTCTGGGACCCATTCTACTTCTTATCCATTGAATCCCATGGTACCTACCTTTCTTGGCTGAAGCAGCTGTTTCAATACCATCCGACTTCCCGGCAAACGCCTTACACGCAGACAGCAACCCTCCCATCCCGCCTGCTTGAGCATCACTACCACTGGCAGAGTTACCTGCCCCTGATGCGGGCCTGTCCTTATCGGCAAATTCTTTCGCCCTCCCAAGAAGTCCAGACAAACCGGACTTAGGTTTGGAAGTATCCTTCTTCGCCAGGGCTTCAGCCTTCCTGAGGTTCTCCTCGTTCACACACCGTTTGATCATCCTCTTTAGTACGGAGTAACGCTGTATGGGGAAGGCACTGTAGCTGTTGTCATAGTCCTGCTCCAGCTGCACGAAGATAGCCCTGATCTCCCGGTACTGTGTTTCCAGCTCGCGGATCTTGTGGCCCAGCTTCATGTTCTCCGACTTGAGACCGTCCTTGGTCCAGATCACCTTGGTATCTGAGAACAGTGACCAGAAACAGTTAGGACATGACACTTTGTAAGGAATAAGTGCAATCCACGAAATGAACGAGTAAGTGAACTCGGAGATACACCTATTCCATTCTAATGTTTTCGGTGGTTCATCGTTTATTACACACCAATCACGATAATTGCGTGGATCGAAGTTCATGATGTCAATCACTGGATTGTCTGGCCCAGACTCGATTACTTACAGACCGCCGTCTACAGCGGGAATATTGCTGAGTGCGGCGTTAAACAAGGAACAAACACAACTCGTTTAACAAACCATCAGAATTTAAAAAAGAATAGAATAGGTTTACCTACATTCTACCATGACTAAACCAGACGTATTCGCGTATTCAGTGCATGCCGGTGAATCTTGGAATCGCAATGGAACAGACAATTTAAATGAAAATTTGTTGTTTGTTTGTTTGTTTGTTTGTTTGTTTGTATGTCTTAAGGTCTTAATAGTTGACATCAAATGTACATCACGTACATTTCACTGTGAAATAACAAAACATATAAATTACAAAAGGATCTAGTTTTGCATGGCGAGATCAACAACAGCCAAACATCCCTACATTCAAATGGAATCAGCTATGACCTAGATCAGGCCCTGTGCGAAGTTTAAACTTGGTAGATGCTGATTACCACACTACTGTCACTAATTTGAAATAAGCCAGACATTCCATGATGGATACTCTGAGAAACATTAAACATGGATGTTGTTGGTGTGGAAATACCTGACGGGACAGAGCTACCAGTAATTTGGAGCGTATTTTAATTAACATTTAGAAGGATAAACTGTACTGTATGATGACAAACTGTGCTGATTTTTGTGGCTCACCATTTCCCTTGCCTCAACCCCAGCATGCGATAACAAAGTAACAGTCGTTGCTCTAACACACTGATTGATATAAATAGTTTTCAAGCCGCAATCTTATTGGTTGGTTGGTTGGTTTGTTGTTTGGTTGGTTGGTTTGTTGTTTAACGCCGCACTCAGCAATATTCCAGCTATATGACGGCGGTCTGTAAAAATCGAGTCTGGACCATACAATCGAGTGATTGATATCCTGAGCATCGATCCACGCAATTGGGATAGATGACATGCATCAACCAAGTCAGCGAGCCTGACCACCCGATCCCGTTAGTCTCCTTTTACGACAAGCATAGTCACCTTTTACGGCAAGCATGGGTTGCTGAAGACCTATTCTACCCCGGGTCTATCACGGGTCGAGAATTTATTGATAACCTCAGCACCATACCGGTGCTCGTGGGTCTCACCGAAGTGGTAAACGTCTAAAACCTGCATCATTTCGGGCTTTCCTCCCACATTAAGTTGACATGCCGCAATATAACTTGAATACTGTTAAAATCGGCGTTAAACCCAACTCACTCATTCACTAGTGATAACCCTAGTAGAACAGACGACGTGTTCGTTTACATGTGCCGGGGTCATGACGTGCAAATTTTTCCCGAAGTGAAATGAGAAGTGGTTATCACACATCAACCACTTAAAGCCAGATCATCATTCAATGTCATGGTATAATGCTGTTTAACGCCACAGCAGAACCATTCCAGTTATATCACAGCATTTCACAATGCAAAGTCAGTGTTACGAGGATGGTATAGAACGTCTACCTTACGTATAGTTCACAATACATCCTGGCGCTGGGATCAACTTTGGCAGATACTGCAGATGTATGTATACTTGGTTTATGTGATGTTTAACACAGCCCTCATCAATATGCCAGCTATAAAACTACGATCTGTAAATAATGGTCAACCTCGAACAGACAATCCAGTGATTGACATCATGAACATCGATCTATGCAATTGGGATACGATGACATGCCTCAACCAAGTCAGGGAGCCTGACCACCCGATCCCCTTAGTCGTCAGTTACGACAAGCATGTGTTGCTGAAGACCAATTCTAACCCAGGTCTTCACGATATATACTAGCACTGAAAGAGTGACTGAGGTATGAATGCTATCAGTAATAATTCAGCTTCATCTTGGTCTGAATTTAGGTGAACAACAGTGACACACAGTCAGTCTGCAAACAACCAATCACACAAGCCTGATTGGTCGATAAGCAGGGGATAGTGTGGACCTATATCATGCCCCAGACTCCCCACGGGGTGCAGCAACAAGTATTTTCTTACTAAGCAGTTTCATAAGAACAAAGATTTTAGATTCAACATTCATTACATTAAACGACCTGTGAAGATCCGGGGTAGAATAGATCTTCAGCAACCTATGCTTGCCGAAAAAGGCGACTATGCTTGTCGTAAGAGGCGACTAACGGGATCGGGTGGTCAGGCTTGCTGAATTGGTTAATGCATGTCATCGTATCCCAATTACGTGGACCGATGCTTATGGTGTCAATCACTGGATTGTATGGTCCAGACTCGATTATTTACAGATCGCCGTCTAACAAACAAACAAACAAACAAAGATTACATACTACACATGTTGAAGATTTACACTGAATCGAAATCACCCAGGCCGTTCTTTTCGGGCGCTCTATAATGCGGTAATATCTCAGTTTATAAGATAGTTGATCATTTAAATAAAATGTCCGCGTTAAACGTGATGTATCTGTGACAAGTCGTATGATAAGATTTACACAAAACCTCAAGCGTAGTAATTTTTATTAATCACTACAAGCGACATTTCTCTAATCTGTCTGCACAGTCTTTCACAGTTCCCGACAGCAGTAATGCAGAATGCCTCTATTGCAAGCGCAATGCTCAAGGGCAAAACGTAAAAAAAAAAGGCTTAACATGCAAATATTGTGAGACAGGAAATGAATTCTTTTCTGTTACATCAGTACTGGCGAGCATTACAAAAGGTTGAGATGAATTTGGGTTTAACATCGCGTTCAAGATTATTTCGTGGACATAGCGACGTCCATGCTAGTACATGTGTGTGGCTAACTGGACTTGTGTCGGTCTTATAGAGCTAGCCCACTGAAATACCACGCCGCAGCAAAATATGAATACTCCACTCAGACACAGAACAGTCCTTGTTGTATCTCCCCTTAAAGACCCTCGGCAACGTGTTAACAGCAAATATACAATCTTTCAACGTACAAATGTATTTTGATATGAGGCGGTCGAATATTCCAACTACCGCCTTCCGATCTCGGGACAGGCCGTCTATCCACTACACCTCGGAGGCGGTATTGTCATGATATAACGATGAACAAAAGACTGGTTTTCCATTCCGGTGAGTATATTTCCGCATGCTGGGTTGTGCAGACTCCTTGTGAATGTTACATGTGGAGCTATCAAAACATGGTTCTGATAGATGGGCCTATGATCCGTTAATGCTTCAGGTGGAAATTGTTAAAATGATTAATTAAACATGACATGAATTCCTCTTGCTGCATCAGGTTTCCACCCGAAAGGCTACCCGGAATCTCAGATTTCCCATCCATTCTGGCATATCAATACTCATGCACTTGGCGCAACATATCAAGCATAAGCCTCCAAGTCTGGTGAAACACACATCAATTCAGATGAGCATAAACCACCCTACCCCCACCCCTTTTTTGAAAACCAAATGTAGCATGTTGTCGGCAGTAACATTGACTGAGAGAGGATTTTGATAATTGTGACCCCTCACTTTTAAAAATGCCGGATCCGCCCCTGATGAGTAAGGGGTGGGGGCCTGTCTGATCTTCGGTGTTACAGCCAACGCTTTAACTACCAGACTTCAACCTACTTTTGCTTGACGCAGAATCAACAGTCGTGGTTAGACACGACTATTAGTCCGCTAATGTAAATCTGGAAGGACTACATCGAAATGAGCTATGAACAAGTTAGATATAACTCGTATCATTTACCGGTTAAATGTATGAAACACGAAGTGCGTGACTTGCCTTTCCCCATATTGTCCGACTGAGTGTCCTCCGTCAGACTGGGTGTGTCCTTTGACTGCGTGTGTCCTGTGTCCGACAGTATGTGTCCGTCTGTGAGTGTCCTACGTCAGACTGGGTGTGTCCTTTGACTGCGTGTGTCCTGTGTCCGACAGTATGTGTCCGTTTGTGAGTGTCCTCCGTCAGACTGGGCTGTGTCTACTGCTGACCATACGTGACGGGACAGTCACATATCACCCAGATGACTCAGGTATGTCTGGAATCCCTCCACCTGATACAGTGAAACAGTAACACATTGAAACAGCATCAAACATTGCACACATTCATGAATTATTTAACTACGCATCGTATAAACCAATCGAGTAATATCAGATACTAAAAGATAAATATTATTATCTACCACTGAGAGACGACTAGAAAGAACTTAAGTTAACGCACGGAGCGCTGGTACAAGGGGAGGAATTCAAACCTCGCTTCCATCCGGCTATTAAATACGGATTACGAATGTCACACTGACATTTGATTCCACATAATGCGTCCCCGATTATAACGCCACCGTATTTAAACACTGGTAAATCACGAGTCTGTCACATAGGTGTGTCTACGTGGTTGTACAGCTTGCAGAGCAGAGAAGCCACCTTGACATATGTCGAGAGCTCACGAGGTCAATCTATTTTGCACGTGTCAGCAATCAACCGTCGTACATTTACCAAGCACCCATCAATAACCCGCAGCAGTTGTGCCAACAAATAATAACCATTAAGTGTTAAATAATTCATACGTTTTGAGAGAAACACAATATTTATCAATTGGCTTAGGTGATGTTTGGCCCAGGTAATGAGACAGTTGCCGAAGCAAGACGACCCACATCCACAGGAAACGTGGTTCCCCGCGTTCCCATGTTTACCTGGCAACGCTCGCATGTATGCTGGCTAGTGCAGCTAACGCTGCCAGTCTGTTGGGTGCACTGAGACAAACACGTTGTTTAACTCGCTAGACTTGACGCAGGCTCCTACTGGTTCAGTGGCAGTCGATATTACCGTTTTATCCGGGTCGGAGGTGTGTGAAATTATACGGCGGAACTGTTATCGTGCTATTGTATGTATTGACTCTAGTTGTAGCTCTGTGTCTAAAAACCAGGGAAAGGTGATTGTATTAAATCCCAACACACCAAAACATCCTTATCAACGTTATCGATTGTGGAAATACCAACGCTGCAATGCAGCATATTAGATAGCTGAATATAATTCAATACCCGTCTTAGCTAGCCATCGTAACATGTGATAACACTAACATTTTCCATTCCTGTCACGCATTGTTGTGCAACTCCTTGAATACAAAGCATCAATGGCCTACATTTTTCCTAATATTCTAGCCTACTGAAATACATTTGCCGCTGATATGCGTTTCCGTCCTCAAGTCTACACGAGCATTCCGCCCTATATACATGTATATTTGTGTCATGACTGGTAACCTCGCCCACTCCTACACCATCATCAGGTCATGCATGTTAGGCACGGAAACCCCGACATGAAAGAACAATCGGGAGTCACCAACTCGAGGCAGTGTTCTAAGAACAGGTCAAGCATGTCATCTGTTCCCCACGTGTGCGTTATAAAGGTGGCGTTATAAAGGTTATGTCAATAATGGGTCTGCACCGCAGTGCCGCAACACAGAGGTGGTCGGTATCAGTGACTGGTAGCCTGGGTTAATTACATAACCACCCGACAACCGTAACCCATTCACCTGACCCCTGTCGTCGCATACCGCACATACCTCATGACCTCGCGACATTTCCCGCGAAAACTGAAGAACGTCAATAAGCAATGTCAAAGCCTCAATATGACAAATACAATTGTTGTTTGCGTGGAGATGCAGAGCATTATGGTACAAACTGATCATAAACCTATAACATTCCTACTTACCTGCTCGCTATGGTGAACTATCCCTACAGATGTCTGACATACGCATCCAGAATATCTGGCTGATTAACTAGGCCATGCCGTGAGCTCGCTCTATCTCTCTCGTGCTTTGCCTCTATCGTCTGCTCTCTGTCAGGCGGACCGCCTCACTGTCACTGTAGCATTACGCGGCGTTTCTCCCCCCGTTGGTAAGATCACTCCGACATGGTAGTTGGGGGGGATAATGTCCGTACTACAGATGCTACATCCTCCGAGTTATCGATCTACAGGCGCTGGGCGTACTGACAACTGCTTGACAAAGATGGGTCTCTCTTCATCTCGTGTAGAGGAAACCAGTATCTTTATATGAACAGAACAGAACAGAATTTATTTCGTATAGTCTGGCCATGAGGCCAATAGTACAGATGGTTGGATATTTGACATATTGTGACAGCGCTTCAGTTAATATTGGCTTTGGAATTTCTAAGTTTAAACATTTTATCTAAATAAAGAGCTAGCTGAAATAAAATGTTGTCGTCATTTGTTGAGTAACAATACAGGGTATTGTACAGGGTAGGATATTGATAATAATACGAGGGTAAATACATTATCCTTAAGTTAGTATAAGCTGGACATATAAATAGTGAATGGTATTCATCATCTAAGTCTTCTTTACAGAAAGTGCATAGACTGTCACAAAGTCATGGCCACTAGACATTCTATATTTATGTATTTTAAAATCATTTGAACAACATCTTAATTTTGTTAAAGATCTTCTTAAATGTACAGTCTTAATCGATGATAGATATTTTTCAGGTTGTAGTCAGGATTTGTAAGTGCAATATAAATCTAGCCTTGGTGAATTAGATATACAATCTGATCATTCTTGCATAAACAAATATCTTGTTCTTTCCTTAAATGTATAAATAAAAACATCACAGTCTCCGACATCTTACATCAACCATACATAACCGAAACCATAACTAAACAATGTATATCTTACATATGAAACCCAATTTGTATAACCTAATTCATCATATTTACACAGCATGAAATAGCCATGTTTTGGATATTTACCCAGAGGCATTCTTAACAGTATCTTTATATGTAACGTGTATGATAATAATTAGTTTTTCCCTGTGAATGGCAATGTTTTAAGGAAATAATTCTCACTGCTTATCATGGCACACGATATTCGTATCCTGCAATGTATGTCGTCTGACGGAAGCATGGGTCTGAAGCATGATCATGTTTCTAAACTTGTCATCAGCATACCAATCCCCTGTGGGTTTCACCGATGTGGTAAACACGTCTGCATCAATTCGGGCTTTCCCTCTCTTCTGCAATATCGTCTATTTCTTTGCATGTGCACACACACACACACACACACACACACATACTGTAAACTACGTGTATAACGAACGAACACGCTTATAACGAACTTACGGATATACCGAACTCTTTTTGATCCGATCCATTTACTGTCTAAATGCAGTAAATGTGCTTATAACGAACTACGGTTATTACGAACTAAATTTAGTGGTCCCTTTGAGTTCCGTAGTTTACTGTAATACATGGTTGATGTAGTTGATGTGTGTCACTGATAGCGTTCCCTGCATCGCTTCCCCTTATCCAGATGCAACACATCTTATAGTACACATACAGTTTATATCTTGCGGCTTGTCCACACTTAAGACCCCACAAGCATTCTCCCTTATCACAGGGTTGAAAAATAGCCGCCGATGAAAACACGGCTTCACTCGCTCACTCTAAAGTTATCTCCCTTTGACCAGACGTTGCGTGTTGGATTCCTGTCATCGTTTCTTGTTTTACCGCACAGCCAGCATCGGTCCTGTTTATCTCGACGACCTGTGAATAATCGAGTTGAAACAAGCCCTAGCAGTGGTTGCTAGCATGAGAAACAATCCATGTGACTCCCCGATTAGAAAGTACGACATACGTGGGGACGAGGGGACCCAATCTGACTCTGAATACTCATGGTACTTTTAGGACAGGAGTGAGTGAGTGAGTGAGTGAGGTTTTACACCGCGTTTAGCAACATTCCATTAATATCACGACATAGGACATCAAAACTGGGCTTTATACATTGTACTCATGTGGGAAATCGAACCCGGGCCTTCTCTTAATCCACTGGGCTACCCAACCGTCCCTATTAGGACAAGAACACAATATTGACGCAAAATTTCAAGGCGGCAGGTACAATGCATTTTGAAAGAGGGAACAACAATACAAATAAAAACAAAACAATTAATGACACGTTAAAAAAAACTTTAATTATTATGTGGCTGCAATATTGTCGATGCGATGTAAAAATCTATATCACTCATTAAGGTTTAGTGAATTTTAATACTATTTATATTATAATTTATATTAAATAACTAATAAAAAATATTTTTTCACAAGTAAAACCTAAAGCAAATTTGTGAAACTCAACTAGGTACTCGTAGGGAAAGATAAACCTCGTTTGAAATGAGTGTGTGATTGTGAAAGGATGCTGGGTACAATACCATGACTGTCAGCTAGTAACAAATTGTGTTAACCATCACGACAGACTGACGCAAAATTCGTATTGATTCACATCACTCCTGTTTGGAAATCGACACGCTGAATGTGACACATGTTCAGTCTTATATGATGGATGTGATTTGGAAAATACCAATGGCTGCTTACTCCAGTCACATTGTTGAACATCGATTGTTTTACGCATAGATCGATCTAGTTAATTCAGTTCTAAGGTCACAGTGCTTATGTGTGTGTGTGTGTGTGTGTGTGTGTGTGTGTGTGTGTGTGTGTGTGTGTGTGTGTGTGTGTGTGTGCGGCTGCTTTAACGAGTCCGGACTGATGCCGATTTATAGTGCTAGCCATCTGAGATACCATGCTGCAGTTTAGTGAGTGTGTGAGTACGCCGCTTTTAGCAATATTCCAGCAATATCACGACGGGGAACACCAGAAATCGGCTTCACACATTGTACCTATGTCGGGAATCGAACCGGTACCGCAGTTTAAGATGAATACCCGTCTCAGACACGGTATACTGACTCCGAACCGACCAGTCCTTAGTTAATTCAGTTCTAAGGTCCCAGTGCTTATAAATATATGTATAATTATTACACACACACACACACACACACACACACACACACACACGCACACCTGTGTGTGTGTGTGTGTGTCTGTGTGTCTGTGTGTGTTTGTTTGTTTGTTTGTTTGTTCACTCTAAAATATCACTCACTCACTCACAGTGTGGTAGTTGTTTCGAGGAGGACATTTATTTTCACGACACCCTTTGTTTCAGGAAACTGGCATATACGGCAGAAATGTTTCGGTTTCTTCATCCATAACGCGAAGCACGTTGTGTTAATGTGGACCAGTGAGAAAGATGAGTTGACAAGCTGCAGTTCAGTGACGCCACACTCAGTCAGCTGACAGTTTTGTCTTTTCCCTTCCGTCAGCTGAGTGTTGTTGAGTATGGAATCCTAGAAGGGATATTGTCGCGGCGTCTCCATTACAAAAACAAGCAATCATTATAAACAAAAGCGCGACAAAGCGACATTTCATCAAAAGTTATCAAAATTTTAATGATACATGATCTTTGATTGTAGTTGAATGCCCCCAGGGATTAAACTCAGCCACGGCAATTACAAATGCGCATGTATACGTCCGTAAAGTGTGTTTGTTGTTTAACGCCCAACTAAGGTATCCAGGGACTGATATCATAAGCATTGATCCACACACCCGACCCGATCACGGTAGAACGCGTAGATGGTGTAAAATACGATGCTAGTTTGTTCATAAGCAGTCCTCAATACGTCTACCTCGTCTGCGGCCCGTTTGTATCCAGTACCGAGATCGTGTAAAAGTGCACGTTCACCTCATCCCGACAACGTTTCAAAGCAGTTCGAGCACGTCCGTAGCCGTTCTCAACCCGCTCTTAACCAGTTCAACCTCGTTCACAATACTTCCAAGCCAGTTCAAACTAATTCTTAACACGACCAACTCGTTCGCAGTACGTCCTCATGTCGTCCCAAGTGCGTGTGTATTAGCGTCCTGGATACCGAGCGCGTTGTAGACAGTCTTCATTCAAGTTCAGGGCTACGAGCTGTACACATCATGCCTCCAAAGAGACGTCGACCCGGTCGGTGTGCACACGTTCTGAAATTTATGTCCGACTGCACCACGTCGAAACACGTCCCTAGTATGTTCGACGTACGGCAATTCCGTTCGTTATACGTCTTTCTCGTTTTAAGTATGCTGCCAATCCGACTAATTGCAGAACGGGATGGACGGGATAAAATTTTGAGCAGACTCAAAGTTCTAGAGCACCCTCCCCGTCCGAGCCCGTCCATGAAGTTCGTAAAAAGACTGTCAATAGTTGCTACTACATCCACTACGTTCATACACAGTCGACAACATTTTCACGAACGTATTGAGAACTAGTTTGGTGTGATGGGGGTATTAGACGATTGATTTGAAAAATTGTTGAATGAAATAGAAATGCAAAGAGTTTATTTGTTGTGAAAACACTTTTATATTCCCTTTGGTACTTTGGTTTTAGAATCATTTAAGCTAAAAAAGATACCATTGGAGTTTGAAAGGGGGAATAAATATTTCTGCGCATGCTTTGAACAATTCACTTTAATGCAACACGTGCGCAACATTAAAGGAGCAACACGGCAAAGCGACATCATCATATGTCGAATATTTAACGCCTTTTTTTACACAATTTTAAAATTGGTCGTCACATCGACCATGAAAAATGTCACGTTTTTTAAGGGTAAAATCCAACAAAATATTATTGAAAGCGTGACAATGCGACAAATATCGCATTGTCGCGCTTTGGTTAATTTGGACACGTTTTGTTTGTCTGTGTAAGTAAGGGGACAGCTCGAAAATGTCTCTTCTTGGATTCCATACACTTTGCTCTGTCTCTAAAAATCGCAAGTATACGACGCGCAGAGAGAGCCGCTGACAGGCTTATGGAACAGACACATGACGTCATAAACGTGTGACGTCACAGAAAGGATACGTCACATAAAGTCTTAGTCTTTTATAGAAACGAGACGTGTTTTCTATTCACGGATGCTTTTTGCAGCGATTTGATCCAAAATAGCTCAAGTGTTGCTTTGGACATCGGTTTCCATTACCTTGTTGGACATGGAGTTTGGTAAGTAACACCATTTTGTCTTGTCAGTCTAATAAACTTATACGGGGTAAGAGTTTAGTTTCATTATCTGGAGCAGGGTCCTTTTAAAGCTAAACATTTGACGTGATTGTTTCATTTCAGTCTCAAATCATTAATTATTAAATGTGTGATTCAGACCTCCCATTTCAAGCGATCTTAATTTCAACCCTATTGGCAAATTAGAGCAAACTGTCTGGACGAAATACAAATATAAAGACTACGTGCATATGTTTCGTTTTTTTCTGCTTGCCTATTGGCCATGATCTCCGTCAACGTCTTAAGCAAGCCAGGATAATTCTATTGTTATGTTTACATTTACCCCTATTATCCCTTTAATCTGATGACTTTCCTCAATTACAATGTAAATCTGTACTGAGAATGTGATTACTTTAAATGAAGACAAACCTCAACTTTTACATGTGACACTTTGATGTCCATGCGTCTATGTTGTTGCCTTAATGGAATAATTCATGTCAATGTGACACAAAAGTAATATGACATCATGTTGTCTTTAGATCCTCATCACGCTGAAGATGTCCACAACGCGGCAGCAGAAATGTGGCGAAAGTATTTGTTCATGGGGCGACATGTGGAGTCTGTGTCCAGTCCATCTCCCGTAGATGTCCCGTCTCCCCCTTGCCATCAGCACCACCTTGAAGACTGGCGGTTACCGCTTCAATCAAGGAACGGGGTTCTCCGCTCACTCCCACACGACCCGTTCATCGGCCTTACAATCCGTGGCTACTTCTTCAGGGGAGTCATAACCTCAGGTGGTTCAGCCACTGTGTACAGTGTGTTCAAGGATGGCAAGGTGTTTGCAGCGAAAGTGTCACACCCAAGGAACAACGAGCCGGGCGAAGCTTCGAAAGTATGGACCAATGAATACAGCATACTCAGTCAGGTCCAACACAAAAACATCATCAAGGCCTACGACCTCTTTGAACACAATGGGCGCCAGGTCTTGATACTCGAGTATGTCGGCGGATGCAATTTGGCGGAATTCATGGACAGGAGGTGTGTGGCTCGGAGACAAAGTTCGATCAAGAAAATCATGAAACAAGTTCTGGACGTTCTTCAATATCTCCATCAACATAACGTAGCCCATCAGGACATAACACCATCCCATATTCTCATTGGACAGAGTGGAAAGGTCAAAATCTTAAACTTTGGCGATGCGACCAGGCTTGGCACGAACAGCTTGTATCCACAGAACGAGGCAGGGGATGTTCAAGATGATATTATCAAGTCATTTGATGTATGGAGGTTTGGGGCGTCTGTATATGAAACTCTGACGGGGAAGACGCCACACTTTATGGGACCAGACCGCAGTGAGCCTGACGTATCTGGTGTTCAGAGTCCGGACAGAAAGCTAATGTCGCTTATTAAGAAGTGTCTAGATTTAAATCCTTTGTCTCGAATTACAGCAAAAGTTGCTTTAAAACACGACTACTTCAAACGTTTTTTCAACTAATTTTCCTTAACTTACACTTAATTTTTAAATTCAAATGAAATTGTTTACAGTTCAATTGTCAGTCCTAAAAACACTTACTGAAAATGTAAATTCATGTTCAATCAAGAATTTGTCCAGGAATGTTTCATGTATGTATAGTGTCTCATGGAGAGGTATTGTTTTACTGGATTATCTATTGTTGTAAATCAATACATATACAATCAAATTAATCAATTCTGGGTTTTGTTTTCAATTAATTCCTGAACGAGCCAGTTGACGTGTGATCCAAATATGAATGTTGTTTATACCACTCGAAGCGATAATTACACTAGTTAAGACACAATCCTGCATTAATAGTTTATTTACCAAAGTGCACAGGTATAAACGCCCTTCAAAACCACTTTGCATACAACAGGAATAAACTCAAAACTCAAAGTGCACATCTGGCATGAATAGATAACTCTGGACGTAATATAATTGCTTCAAGATAAGGAGGTAAGAGTTAGTTCCCTTTGTTGAAACTGCGACTGCACTGTAGGAAAACTAATGTCACTAACGTTTATTAACTAAAGTACATAAAGTGCCTCAAAAGCGAGAACTAATACCTAATTAATAGCATCAGGACCTGTGAATACATTTCCGAAGTGTCATCTTGAAACAGGATAGCGTCTGTAGCCCCAGATGGCCTAAAGTCTGGTACTAAATTCTATACTTCTTAGTCCAACCCGATCCAGAGCACCATTCAGACAGAACCCACTGTGCGAGGGTTGATCGCGCTATAGGGACACGGGTTGTCCACTAACACCTTTGCAGATGCTTTGAGTCTTCTATATATAGTCTCTCAGAGCTACTTCCTGCTCCTTCATCGGGTGAATACTGAATAAGTGCATAGTTTATATACATATATACCTCACTATAAGGTAGGGTGAATGTTCAAAGATAACAATATAATGACAAAGCCAAGTAACCAAACAAATAATCCCATTTCCAAGTCAAAACCAGCCCCACCACTCATCCTCGTCAGCATCCCATACCAAGGCCCTACCAGCCACCAGATCAGCAGGCTACTCACCTAAACAGCCAACACGTTACTCTCACTTCCGACGGGGCACTGAAAAACATGAAAAACCCAGAGGATGTGTGTATGAGTTTTCACACAACTGTGGACCCTGGCGAGACTTCACGTACTATAGCCATCAGAATAAAAGAACTCGAAAATCTAACATAAAATCTGCCCTTTCGGAACATCCCATCCAACTCCTTGACCGCCATATTTCCTGGTCACAAACCAAGATCTACATACCAACATCGGTCGTTGGAAAAAGAGGAAATTTCAAGAAAGCATCGAAATCCAAAGAAAGAAGCCAGCCATTAACAGAGGCCAATGTACCTACCTACCCAGTGTGTACTCCACTGCGGACGGTGGACACCTTGATTGCCTTATTGCTTGTGTCCTCATAGCCAGATCCTTGTCATCACGACACCTTCAGTGTACTTCATTGGTTCCTCTCCTGTTGATTACACCGGCTTTGTCATAATATTGTTATCTTTATACTTGTGTTGTGTAAACATATCGTAACTCTGTGCCATTACTCAGCACTCTCCTCACGAAGGCGCAAGACGTAGCTCTGAAATGTCGCGACAAAGAATAAAAGGAGTTGCTATGCAAATAAATAGTGTCATGTATTCAGGTTTTTCCAACTTCTAAATGTCTATCAAAGACCAATCTCATTAAAATCAGATCTTAGTTCTGCTACCGCTAAGCAAAGATCTGAGGACATCCCATTACTGGTCACGTCAGAACGACCTTTCGTTAACTTTGACCGACCACTGAAAAGACTGACAAGAAATCGACATAAGCCAATCAGAAGGCAGCTTTCTCTAGCTTTACGACACTAGTTTCAAACTGGCGACGACTTTCGAAACATATTTTGACGCATTCTCGATTAAAAATGTTAAAACTGATAAGAAGAACATTTTGGAATGGCTTATAGATGGCCTAGATGGATATGGATATAATCATAAAACCCGTAACTGTCATTCGGAATACCCCCTGTTAAATATGTCGTGGTTGCATGATCAGAAAACACATTCCGACTGTCACTTTCACGATCTGGTAAGCGACGCTCTGATTGGTTGGATGAAAGGTCCTTCTGACGTGACCCGTAATGGGATGTCCTCAGATCTTTGTTTAGCGATAGCGAGAACTAAGATCTGATTTTAATGAGATTTGTCAAAGACTTTCATACCTTTCCACTCATTCAAGGCAACACGCAGTGAAGCTGCGTTAATATCCATGTCCCTTTATCACACGTTGTTTAACTATCACAGGGATCACAAGAACAATGATCATTACGTGCGTCCTTATTTCTGTGCCCAGGATTTTGCAGTGCACCTCTCTGTCCTCTATATCTGCCGAAGCCCCGGAAACGTTGGTAACCACTGTAACGGCCTGAGCTTTGTTGATTCTGCCGAAACTGTCACCTCTCCTGTAGCCGCCTTTCCGGAATATCGATGTTGAGGATGAATCACGAGTAAATCTTGTCATTGATGCTAGGTTTGCAGCTGTGAGCATGTAGATTGTGAAAACCCTATTGCGTTACCCTGTAGCGTTCTACAAATGCGTGCAGTATCAGAGTTGGAGTCGCTTTTAACAAATACATTTGCCTGCCCTTCCGGTAAATATTCAAATATTTAGTAGTGAGTTGGTTTAACGCCGCTCTGAACAGTATTCCAGTTATACCACGGCGTGTGAGCTTCATGTAGGAGGAAAGCCGAAAATGATGCAGACCTCAGACGTTCACCACTTTGGTGAAGCCAACGAGCACGGGTATGGTGCTGACAAACCTAGAAACATAGTCGGGGCGAACTTGGATTCGAACCCACAATCATAGGTTTCTTGTGTGCCCAAGGGACGGAACTCTGCACAGCGAAATGCGGCGCCTTGGGCAACTGCGCAACTCGTGCCCCCGGGGCCAGACAAAACTTTAATAGGTACGTCGCTCATTGACCTTACAATTTTTAACGCAGTCTCTGAATGCAGCGACTTAATACACTAGCACTGGGTTGTGACTCACGTTATCCCGACTTCTCTTCACATACCACTACATGGTCAGGTACTTTTAGCTTGTTGTACGGCTCTCGTACTTGTCTATACCTACAAGGACGTGTGTTTACCTCAGATGTACAGAAGCTGCAAAAGCTGCGTCGCGTGAACTTGACCTATCAAAAGGGCTGCTGCCTGACCAGCATTCTAGACATCGATATTCCCCTACTCATGACCGCCTCCGTGGTCTAGTGGTCGAGCGTCCAACGGGAGTGCGGAAGGTCCAGGGTTCGTTCCTAGGCCGCGTTATACCAAAAGACGTTAAAAATGGTACTTGTTGTTACCCTGTCTGGCGCTCGGCTAAAACAAGGACTTCGTCTCGGAGTCAGTGTAGTGTGTCTGAGTGGGGTATTCTTGTTAAAACTGCGGCATGGTATCTCAGTGTGCTAGCACTATAAATCGGCATCAGGCCGGACTAGTACAAGCACACACACACACACACACACACACACACACACACACACACACACACACACACACACACACTCTCTCTCTCTCTCTCTCTCTCTCTCTCTCTCTCTCTCTCTCTCTCTCTCTCTCTCTCTCTCTCTCTCTCTCTCTCTCTCTCTCTCTCGTTCATGGATTTTGTCAGCCGTGCGGTCTCTTCGGACAATATCTCATACACATAACTTCTATTCTTCTCCAAAGCTATCTCAGCGCAGATCACTGGTTCTGCCGGTGAAGGACACACTGGCAAGAATGTTCTACAGACAATACAACACACATCTGTAGTTGTGTGTAAACTTATTTGTTGTTTAGTTTCATGGGAAGGTGATAATTAATGTACTCGTCATGTCATACTTGACGCATTTGTAAAATAGGCGGAGGAACATATCCCTCGGATCTTGCCCTCGCGGGATTACCTCCTACCCTGAACATGATGACCTACAGTCCTTGCCACTTGAAACCGAATCACGGAATATCCCGATGATTAGTTTACGAACATGGCTCCATGACTGCCGAAGCTTACCCGGATGGTAGTCCCGTGATCAAAACGCAGTGATGATGTTTGTCACAAGCAAAATGGATATTTCTTAAAAAATGCACTTTGCAAACATTTGTTTTTTTAGCTATATAAGTATTAGCACATATGCAACTATCTTCATTAATTAACAATCGCGATATTTCGTGAATCTATTTCAAGTGGCGAGGACTTATCTACTGAAGCTGCCGTGGGATCTTTTATTTAGCGAATCGTCCATAAAATCATCCATCAACTCGCACTTCGTGACAACGAACATCTTTTCACGGGGATATATTTCATAAGGTAAAAAATGTTAAATATAAATGTAAACAGTAATTTAAATGCTGATGGGTTACCTGATGTGGAGATAGTGAGTGTTGAGTGTGAACGTTTTTGTTTATAATTTTGTCGACTATAATTTCTCCTCCAGAATGAAAATGTGTTATATAAAACAAAACCAAAATGCGAATTCTCTATAAATTTCACGTTTCTTGAACTATAAAAAATATCCATATTCATGTCTGTATTAATCATAGAGATTCTGTCCCATGCTACACTACAGGGATACCAGGCTACCTTGATAAAGTAAGCATTACTAAAGTACTCACGGAAATGAAAAAAACAACTTTTTTCGATCTCAGATTTTAAATAAATGCAGTTAATATACAAAATATATAAATATTCAAACAACTCAATTAGTACTTATTGGGCCTTGGCACAAATACAGCTTATCAAAGGTTTTTATGTCTTTTTACACGTAAAAGTGTGTAAAAATATGAACTAAACAGACTGAGCACAACCAGGTGTTAGTAGATCAAGGTGAATGTCCATGACCTATGATACCTTGACGACAGGTGAAAACAGCTGCTTGAAACCCACGTGCATGTGATTTGTCAGTGGTTAGTGATTTGTGAGTGGCATTGTGGGATAGTGAATCATCGTCAAAATATCAGAACGTAAAAGTAATATATTCCCTTCTCAAACAACAACTTACATGTAATTATTATTATGTACATAAACATAGCTGTTATTTTTATTGTTGTTTTAATAACTTTTTTCCAGGCTAATTTGCATAATGCCTATAGCCTGTTTCTGCCATGTCAATTTGGACTTAGATTCATTTTTGAATGTTGAAAGTGCCTACAAATTACCTCCTGTAAAGTACATTTTGTATTGAGCACTGAGATAAAACTAGCAAATCCAGACTAGTACTTTTCCAGTTGTTTTGTGATTTCGTATTTACATCTACGTAATGCTTTGTGTCGATTATTAAATCCAGCAAAACAGGGTTTTTTTCATTTCCATGAGTACTTTAACAGTTCAGTCATCCAGCAGAGGGCACCACAAACACATCACTAAGTGCGTCGCTAACAGCTGCAGTTTAGCCGTAGTAAATGAGGGCACCCAAGCAGGCAATCCATTCGCCTCTTTGATGTTTCATGCGATACAACAACACTCGACATTAACGAAGGAAACAAAAGGGCGAAATACCATCAGTTGACCATGTGCTTTATATTGAACATTGATTAAATAAGTATGTATTTGTTTTCCTTTTCATGTATATGATATCAGTTTATCAGTTGTGCGGTGGTAGGGTAGCCTCGTTATCGTGTTCGCTCATCATAGCTGCAATCCGGGCTGGAATCTTCACACTATGTATGTCTCATTCGTCACCACTCGCCCCTTTCCGTAACCTGGAAGAAGACTCGTCCCCCCATCGATGAATGTTATGTGCGAAAATACGACAAACCAATCAGAATGCGCGTATGATTTTAAGTTCTTCGTCAAAGAATCCCTCAGAATTATTTTTTGATTTTACATATGTCTTGCCTCTAAAATATACCCAAGACACAGTTAAATGTGTTCAATCATACTGTATAATTCCGCACGTCCCAATGTGCTTTAAATTGCATCTGAAATATATGTTTTACATGGGGAAATAATATGTGAACCATTTCGCAACGAGTTGACAATTGTTGTGGGTATGCCCGTTTGCGCTAAGACGGAACCCGGTCGCAAAAATGGCCATGAGAGGGGCACGAGTCGCTATTCGGCTTGTCCCGGAATAACACGAGTTGGTCACGAATGATGTATGTCTGTGAAGCCCACCTCTAGTGTCACCCACTGGTTTACGACTGAGGGTGTTGAAATGTCCTGACATACTGATCTCCGTGATACACGACCCGTGAAGATCTTCAGTAACCCATGCTTGCCGTAAAAGAGGCGACTGACGGGATCGAGGCGTCTCTCTGACTTGGTTGATGCATGTCATCGTATCCCAATTGCGTGGATCGATGCTCATAATATCAATCACTGGATTGTCCCGTCCAGACTCGATTATTTACAGACCGTCGTCATATAGCTGGAATATTGTTGAGTACGGCGTTAAACAACAAATAAACAATCAAACAAACAAACAGAACTAAGATTCACACCACTATGTGATATACAACATCCCACATTTGTCCTTCTTTCTTCCTTCCTTCGTTCATTCCTTAATAATAAATTCCTATTGTAGGTTAATCACATATACACGAACACGCGTACACGCACGCACGCACGCACGCACACACACACAGGCTCGTACACCATCATGCCAGGGTGCAAACGCACACATACGCATGGATCACGTGGAGCTTCTTTATAATCGTAGCACTACGAGCACTTTGCGCAAGTGGACTTATCTATTATTGTGTTGGCTGGGACTTCACTCCCTATACACTTTACGTTGTGTTTGGGTAACGTCAAAGAACGATTAACACAACCGCCTCTATGATGCATCTATTTTTAAGCCAATATTAACGAGTGCAAAATATCCTGTGACAACACAGTGTCTGCAGTGCCGGGCAGATCCCCGCTCCCTGTGGACGTGGACGCACCAGTCCAGGATAATTAATGAGATATTGCCTACTCCCTCCACATACAAGATGAATCAGAAGCTAAATCAGTAATCTCATGAGTAGACCGTCACCTGATTATATTAATATCTTCTCAATCAGAACACAAAGCACATAGCATAGTCTCGGACCATACGTCTTACTTAACGTCATAATAAACACTGACCAATATCCTATAAACCCAGTATATCCCTATTTCTCGGCAATATATCGGCAGTAAATCAAATAAATCAATCTTTATTGGCAATATATTTTTGTTGAGCATATTTTTAATTTCAATCATTCGTTACTATGGTTACTGGATGTTAAGTGTCAGTCACCTTTTTAAGAGGAAAGGGGAAAGTCCTCGCTGTACATGGTGAAGAGTATCTCCAAGGTTGAAGAGGCTACCAATTTGAGAGACATGCAATTTCATCGTTTTTTCGTGATATGAATGTATGTCAGTTTGCGGGGAGGAGAATATCATGGGATTTAGAGAGTGAATTCTATGCGAGAAGACAGCCTCCGTGGTCTAGTGGTAGAGCTTACGCCCGGAGAGCTAAAAGCCCGGGGTTCGATCCCCGGTCGCGTCATACCAAAAGACGTTAAAAGATGGTACTTGTTGTTACCCTGTCTGGCGCTGGTCACTAAGGGGCTTAAACAAGGACTGGTCGGTTCGGAGTCAGTACCTTGTCTGAGTGGGGTATTCATGTTAAACTGCGGCACCGGTTCGATTCCCGACATGGGTACAATGTGTGAAGCCCATTTCTGGTGTTCCCCGCCGTGATATTGCTGGATTATTGCTAAAATCGGCGTAAAACCATACTCACTCACTAAACTGCGGCATGGTATCTCAGTGGGCTAGCACTATAAATCGGCATCAGTCCGGACTCGTAAAAGCACACACACACACACACACACACACGCACGCGCACGCGCGCGCGCGCGCACACGCACGCACACACACACACACACACACACACACACACACACACACACACACACACACACACACCAGAAAATTGTTCCCGGCATGGCTTTTCTCAAGCAATCACATTACTATCCCGCCGAGTGTCGTCGCTTCAAGTTTGGCCACTCCACATCAAATCATGGTTTAATTCACATTTGTAGCAGTCAACGTAAGGTCAGTATGCGCTAATATGTTTATATGTATATTCTCCAAGGGGCTAATATTAGAGTGTGCTAAATTATCGGCAGTACTGACAAATGGAGCCAGGAGTCTTATGGAAGTATTCTACAAAGCCCATCCCATTCTATAATATCGTGTTCACGTATTTCCATGAGCGAACATGATCTCAAAAGAAAGTATACACTTGAAAGTCGGATTTACAGAAAAGCTTACAAACGTTATAAGAACGTTAATAGGCAGAAAACAGTCGCCGAAGCATATGGGTGTATACTTTCTTTTGCCCGGGTGTTCATGTTCGCTCATGGAATTGCGTGAACCTTACGTGATATCACAGAAGGCGATGTGCTCCATTTGTCACTACTGCCGACAGTTTCAGGAAACATAAATGTAGAGTAAATTCCCCCAGCAGAAATAAACTGGAAATATCATGTGTCTCCCGTAGTTAATATACACATGAATATCACGTATATCTATTATTTAATATTAATCCCATATTCGCCACGATTCACAAGTTTGTCGGCACCATACACATACCCGTTCATAAGAGTAATAAACATAAATGACCCGTATCAGTTCGAGTATTCCTCCAAGAGTACCTGATACGCTAGGATGCATCTTAAATATGCTCAACAAAGCTTTGTTAAAACACTCACTCACTCGCAATTTCACTTGGATCGTCGTCCCTGCTTGTAGTCCCTGGTTTGCATGTACCAGACTTGATTATTTACAGGCCGTCGTAGTATGGTTACGTTATTGCTAAATGCGGCGTTAACAACATTCACATTACTAATAAAGGTATTGTAGTTAAGATTACAAATATAACCAATCATTTCCCATAGTTCCAAGCACGAGAAAATGGTTTAAAAGCAATAATGTAAATAAAACTGGAAATACGGCCAACCATAGATACAACTAGCATACCCCAGACAGCCACATCATGAACGACACAGTGAGTATCAACGTCTTTATTGCTATCGCCGTATCGTCTCTGACCACGTCTTGGTACAGCAGGATTCAATCAAATCCATGGTGTCAACGTGACAGACGGTATAATGGTTACGTGACTATTTCCGTTACTGTCAACAGAATACATTCAGCAATTTAAATAGTGATTGACAATTCAATGTATTCACATAATTCAACGGGGAGCAATCAACATGTGGATAACAACCGCCACGAACATGTTGATGTACAATATGGTGTTGATTTTATAACTGAAGCAACTTAACTCGTTTGTTACGTGATCCAGTCGCGAATAGTTCAAAACTGCAGACCCAGCGTAGAGTACAACTCATTCACCAACTCACTTATTCACTCGCCATTTCATAGCGAAAAAATTATAACGAGATGGGTGCTTAATGACTGGTATATAGGAAAGACCAGTACTGCTTAACACTTTATCATCATCATCATCATCATCATCATCATCATCATCATCATCATCATTATTATTATTTTTATTATTCATAATTTAAGTCCGCGTCATTGCGCTTTGCACGTTCTTGTATTCCGAATAAAATACAATATAACCAGCAAGGCAGACACGTGACGCGTTACAAAACTAAAACAAATGGAAACAACACTATATGCATGGGTATAGTTTGCTTATCATGATTCTTTTTCTTGCGCGCGTATTTGGAGGTCCGACAAACCCATCAGGTAATGTCCATTATGACCGGTCAGTCCATGGACTATGTGTTTGTTCCAGAACTGCTGCCTCGAGGGGGGTGTGGGGTGGTCGGGATGGGGTGGGGGTCTAGAGTCATATTTGGAAAATAACGCTCAGCGCATCATGATGTGGTCACACATTAATGTCATCACCACATATGTACGGTATCAAGTCGTTTTGCGAGTATAAGGTGAAGTACATCTTTGTAATAGAGAAAGCTTAAATATACCATATTTACATGTACGCAAACCAAGGCTATACATACACAGTCAAGACAACCGACTGCACTCACTTCTCAAGGCGGGGGCTCACCAAACACACGGGTATTCACTCAGCTACTTACAGTTCTGCTGCTGTCTTGTGTGTAGTGGCATTGTGGGACACGCACACCCTCTAGTGACACCAGGGCACGAATACATGCTCTGGTGACACGTGGGCATTAACACATGCTCTTGTGACATATGGGCACATGCATACGCTCTGTTCTCACGTGGGCACAAACACACGCTCTGGTGTCACGTGGGCGCAAACACACGCTCTGGTGACACGTGGGCATAAACCCATGCTCTGGTCGCATGTGGGCACAAACACACTCTGTTCACACGTAGGCACATACACATGCTCTGGAGACACGTGAGCACACACACATGCCCTGGTGGCACGTGGGCATACACACATGCTCTGGTGGCACGTGGGCACAACCACGCTCTGGTCACACGTGAGCACAAACACATGCTCTAGTGACACGTGAGCACACATACATGCTCTGATGACACGTGGGCACAAACACATGCTCTGGTGGCACGTGGACACAACCACGCTCTGGTCACACGTAGGCACATACACATGCTCTGGTGACACGTGGGCACAAACACACTCTGTTCACTCGTAGGCACATGCACATGTTCTGGTGACACGTGAGCACACACACATGCCCTGGTGGCACGTGGGCATACACACATGCTCTGGTGGCACGTGGGCACAACCACGCTCTGGTCACACGTGAGCACAAACACATGCTCTAGTGACACGTGAGCACAACCACGCTCTGGTCACACGTGAGCACATACACATGCTCTAGTGACACGTGAGCACACATACATGCTCTGATGACACGTGGGCACAAACACATGCTCTGGTGGCACGTGGACACAACCACGCTCTGGTCACACGTAGGCACATACACATGCTCTGGTCACACGTGAGCACAAACACATGCTCTGGTGACACGTGAGCACACACACATGCTCTGGTGGCACGTGGGCATACACACATGCTCTGGTGACACGTGGGCACAACCACGCTCTGGTCACACGTGAGCACAAACACATGCTCTAGTGACACGTGGACACAACCACTCGCTCTGGTAACACATGGCCACATACACACGCTCTGGTGACACGTGAGCACAAGGGAAGCTGACGGTTGTTTCTCGGGCTCCATTCACGGTGTATCCCCTTGGAAGTTTTCATCAGCTTTTGAAAATTGATTTCCATAACATGTACGAACTATTCCTTCATTACAAATGTGACGTCACTTTGATGACCCCACGATAACGGGACTGATACAAATATCCACGTTTTATCTGCTTATCACGGCTGGTGGCAACAGCTATTGCTCATGCTAACAGCTATTGAATATTTCTGTTCACTTCAAATGAATTATTCCTACGTTTTTCACAGGTGCTACAGAAGCATATGTGCATCGTCTTGGTTGATTATTTTCGGGTCCTCGAAAGTCCGAATGGTCACCCAAATGATTCAGCCAGCATCACAGACCTCACTGTATGAGTTTATCATGAATGACTGTTTTGATCATGTCTTTGATCATGCCATATCTCTGTACCACCATGAAGCGCTTGGAGTGTTGGTAGTTACGTTCAAGTTTCAGCACAAGGTCCCGGATGATGGAACACTTCCGCTTCAGCTCCTTCTTCTGTTCCTGGAGCTTCTCGTTGTCAGCCATGATGTCCTCCTTCCTCATCCCTGGAAGGGAAACATGATATGAGTGAGTTATATCACAAACTAGACGATATAGAACAGCTTGCCAGTGTGTGATATCACATACGTGACGGTATATCACAGTACACCAGTGGATAATATCACATACACAAGGCGGTATAGCCTAGTATATCAGTGGATACCATCACATATACTAGGCGGTATATCACAGTATATCAGTGGATACCATCACGTATACTAGGCGGTATAGCACAGTATATCAGTGGAAAATATCACATACACAAGACGGTATAACCTAGTATATCAGTGGATACCATCACATATACTAGGCGGCATAGCACCGTATATCAATGGATAATATCACATATACTAGGCGGCATAGCACCGTATATCAGTGGATAATATCACGTATACTAGGCGGTATAGCACAGTATATCAGTGGATAATATCACGTATATTAGGCGGCATAGCACCGTATATCAATGGATAATATCACATATACTAGGCGGCATAGCACAGTATATCAGTGGATAATATCACGTATACTAGGCGGCATAGCACCGTATATCAATGGATAATATCACATATACTAGGCGGCATAGCACAGTATATCAGTGGATAATATCACGTATACTAGGCGGTATAGCACAGTATATCAGTGGATAATATCACATACACTAGACGGTATAGCACCGTTTATCAGTGGATAGTATCACGAATACTAGGCGGTATAGCACAGTATATCAGTGGATAATATCACATACACAAGACGGTATAGCCTCGTATATCAGTGGATAATATCATTTATACTAGACGGTATAGCACAGTATATCAGTGGATAGTATCACGTATACTAGGTGGTATAGCACAGTATATTTGTGGATAATATCACATACACTAAATTGGAGAGCATAGAAATCTGTGGATAATATACATACACTAGCAGGTAGAGCACGGTATATCAGTGGATAAAATCAAATACACTGAGTGGTTGACACATTATATCAGTGGATAATACATATACACTAGAAGGTATAGCGAAGTATATCAATGGGTGATACCACATACAAGTTGGTATTTCACAATACTTCAGTAGGTGATATCATATATGCTATGCGATGTTATATGAACATGTTACGAAAACTTAATTAATCTGCCTGATATTTTTAACACATTGTTATTTGTCTCGGTCATCGATACCTACAAAGACCACGGGTATTTTTCACATGGTCACAGCGGTTCTGTATTCCAGGATGTTTACAGGAGTTGTCTCCCTGATACGCACTGAATGATCACGTTGCCTCTGATTGGTCTGATTATGTTTAGACATTTGTAGAAGGACAAAAATAGGATTTATCATATAATCTGTAGGTTTCTCGGCAGGATAACGGATAAATCGGTATCCGTTGGGGTCATTTGCAGATGAATATGCTAATAAAAAGGGGTAGATAGGTACTACTTTCAGTGTTGGCGACGCACAAACAAGGTGTCTCCTTTTTCTATCGCTATCGATTTAGCAATGACCATCATTGACCTGTTAGCATTGATCTCGACAAATTACTGGAATCATCATTGTAATCATTATCCCATATAACTATAGTCTAGGAAACCGAAAATCGGCGTCTAACTGTGGTGTAAGCTGTAGTATATTACAAGTGTAAACATATATAAAAGAAGCAATGTAGCGAGGACGGTTGGTATATCCATTTCCATACACGTGCTTGTAGACCTCTGCGGCTTGGGGTCTGTTTCCGAAATAAAAATAGTTGGATTTGGCCGAAATTTCACGTTTCTAAATTTTATCGCTGTATGGCTGCTTTTCGTAACGTCTTGACAATGTAATATGACGCAGACTCCAAAGAAAGACAACAAAACCATTTCCATATCATAAAACATAAAACATCCATTGTACGATTCCGACTATATTGTAAGCATGTGTTTATGATTCACTATCAAATAGTGATGATATCAGTTTGATAAAATTTATCGAATAGCTTATCAATTGTATCTATTTATCAAACAATTTCATAACAATTCTCGACCTTTTCCGTAATCGCAAAGGAGACTCGGCTCTGAAGGCTGGTTGTTCGGTTGGTTTGTTGTTTAACGCCGCACTCAGCAATATTCCAGCTATATGACGGTGGTCTGTAAAAAATCGAGGCTGGACCAGACAATCCAGTGATTGATATCATGAGCATCGATCCACGCAATTGGGATCGATGACATGCATCAACCAAGTCAGCGAGCCTGACCACCCGATCCTGTTAGTCGATTCTTACGACAAGCATAGTCGACTTTTACGGCATGGGTTGCTGAAGACATATTCTACCCCGGATCTTCACAGGTCTGGCTATGAAGGTAGGAAATGGGGCAACTTGTACCCATGCAGTAAACATGCCTTCGCCAAAACACACTCGCGGATGTGCCTTTTGTGCGCGTTATTTGTTCATCTGTGTTTCTTTTTCGCTCGTCCTAAATATTCGTAGTTACTTCTTCAGAGGTTTTTATCCTAAATATATTCAAAAGATACTTCTGTCCAACAAATTTTGGAATTTTGAACGTATAGTTCCAACTCGAGGAAATAGCTTCCATTTGATCAGACCTATGGATTGTCGCGAAAGACTAACACTGACGAATTATTTCTGTGATTATCGTTGTCGTCACAGCGCTTGCCACGAAGGTGTTCTTTCAGTTTAGGAAACAGGTGGAAATCACTTGGTGCCAGGTCTGGCGAGTATGGCGGGTGAGGAAGATATTCGAACCCACATTGTCGCACAGTAGCCTTTGCAAGTCGATAGGTGTGAGGAGAGGCATTGTCATAAATAGCTGAAATCCAGCAGTAAGCATTCCTCGCCGTTTTCTTTGATAAAATGTCTCAGGCGATGAAGCAAGTCAGCATAGTAGGCACCGGTAATCGTCTTATGTCTATAAAGTGACCATAACTTTCTTCAATGATCTTGAAGACTTGAATTTCTGTGGTGCCGGGGAATTGAAATTGTGCCACTGCATTGATTGACGTTTTGACTCGGGATCATAGTGGTAGACCCGTGTTTCATCACACGTTACTAATCTCTTTTTAAAGATGTGACGAAATCCTCCTCAAATAGCTTTAACATGTCTCTGGCAATGTCAGTTCCTTTCCAATTAAGACCAGAATTTAGAAACTTTGGCACCCAACGAGCAGATATCTTATCCATCTGTAAATGTTCATGAATAATAGTTTCAATGGATCCATGACTTATACCTGTGTCTTCCTCAAGTTCAGCAATGGTAAAACGTCTATCTGGCAGTATAAGGTTTCTGTCTACTTGATTGAATCTTTATCGAGGGAAGTTGGGGGACGTCAAGACCTAGGGGGATCAGAAGGCGTGTTTAGCAGTGGAACAGCTAGGGAACCTATCCCCATACATTTGTGACATGCGGTCATGATTTTCCTGGGGAATACTTTCTCTGAAGTCAAAAACTTGATGACTGTTCGGTACTCGTTCTTTTCCAATTCTGTGTCGGGGCGGTCCGGTAGCCTAGTGGTTAAAGCGTTCGCTTGTCACGCCGAAGACGCGGGTTAGATTCCCGACATGGGTACAATGTGTGAAGCCCATTTCTGGTGTCCCCCGCCGTGATATTGCTGGAATATTGCTAAAAGCGGCGTATAACCATACTCACTCATTTATGTGACTGTCCATTTGGACCCTATCACGTTCAACTGGCTGTCACTAATATACAAACGGCCTCAACAGACCAAATACACTTGCAATGAACTACTCAAACACTGTACTACATTGACTAGTCCACTTTGTTATGACCACTTGTTGAAAGTTAGTCAGGTTTAGAACTTTTTGACCAGTCCTCGTAATGTGTAACCTTTTGATACCATGCTCCCTGACAATGCCATGACGGGGAGACAACTCAGATTTTGTAGGCGATGTATATTAATCACATATACGTCCACAAATATCTTTGTGTATGTAATTTCTTTCTTTGTTAAAGAAGAGAGAATCCTTGAAATACCATTACTCCAAGCTGACGTCTTGAACGTGGGTGTATATATCAGAAATGAAGTGTCAACGTTTATTCTCGGAATAAAAACTTGATAATGACTATCATTTTCAGACTACCACCTCCAGGCAGATATACTGGAATTGTTTTATGTAACCAGAAATGAGGTTTGTCCCACAATGTCAATGAAGCTTCAAGTTTCTGTGACGTCACATTTGCAGAAGCTAATATTGTCCCAGGAGTTGTTGGGCAACGTGGTGTATGCGTTTACCCCTCCAGTAGATATTCTGGGTTCGGATCCAGACATGGAGCTTCGTCCCACAAAGTAATCTCGGTGTTAAAGTATACTGCAGGTGCAGCGCTAAGCACGCTTTTGGGATCCATTGACTGGTTCCTGTTTATCCTCACGAGTACACGAGCGGTAACTGGGATTGGACGAGATCAAACACCATTCATTGGTCCTCGGTATCGATTGAAAAAAAATGTTGGGAAGTTTGTTTTTGTAATTCGGCAAAATTTACATCTGCAGAGCATATATTATCATTATTATTGCCCCAAATTTTCGAGGCGTTTATTTTAATTCGTAACTGAAGACGCTACGCATGCGCATCAATAACCGGATGTTGTACTGTGTAGTAACTGTCTGGCCGCATCCTGTTTGTTAAAGCGCTAAACTTGCTGATGGAACCAGCAGTTAAACTGTTTAATACACAACTGAGTTGGTGGCGAAGACCGTAACACTATCAGCAACGCCAAGACTGTCATCCTTGGCACCGTATCCATGTTCGTGGGTGATCATGAACATCTACGACCTACGCCACTTTGGTTACTCCCCTCACATTGAACTGACACACCGCGACTAGAATGATATTCTTAGGCGCATTAAACAATAACTCACTCATTGACTCAGATATATTCTCGAGTTTATGTTTCTGTGTCAGACTGGCAGCTTCAGTAGAATTATCATCGAAGTACTGGAAAACATATACATACAGTAGGAGCGGAACACGTGGGAAGCTACAATCTCA